CGGGCGGCGGCGACGGCGACGGCGGTCGCGGCGGCGGCGGACGGGACGACGACGACGACGGAGAATGGGAAGCGATGCGCGCGCGATGGGGCGAAGACGGATGATGGGCGCGCGTCGGCGCCGGGACGGGACGGAACGACGTGGGGGAAGACGGGCGCGCCGAGCGCGCGAGACGTGCGCGCGGTCCAGAGCCTGCTCGAGCGATCGTTGCGGCTGTACATGTCCAAGGAGGAGGTGGTGAATCATCTGAAAACGCTGGCGAACATCGATCCGCTGTTCACCCATCTCGTGTGGGCGCAATTGGAGAAGGATAACGAGGAGTTTTTCAAGGCGTACCACGTGATGGTTCGGGTGAAGGAACAAATCTTACGGTTCAACTCGCTTTTGGACAAGTATTACGAGTTAGCGCGAGAGAAGGGAGAGATTGATGCGGATAGACACCCGATTGGTCAGGCGAGTGAGGCGAACGGGAGCGGAAAGATGGCGAAACAAGAACCCGCGAGGAGAGGCGGCGCGCAGAGGAAACAAAGCACGGCCAAGGCGAATACCCCGACGAAGACGCCGGTGCGAGCGACGAACGCGTCCGGAGCGCGAGCGAGTGAATTACCAGTAATGACTCCCGGGGCGCTCGCGGATTGGGGCGCAAGAGGTCCAGAGACAACGTCAGCGGCGGCGACTCCAAGAGTTCCGGCGTTCGTCTCGCCGTACGAAGCCCATCCCGAGCTCAGCGATGAGATCGCCAAGCTCATGAGAACGCCCCAAATGATCGGTATGGCCGATTTACAGCTCGATTTCGATAATCACATCGGTCAGCTCACGTCTCCGGATGCGGAGCCGTTCCAGTTGGCCAGCTTGTTCCCGCGAGACTTTTCCCTAGACGAGGTACCGGACTTAGGCATCTAAGCGACGATGGACGACGTAGACGTACATAGCACAACGTAGACGACGATTTTTGATCGCGGAATCGCGATCGGACACCATTTTTTGAACCAGACGCACGACCGCGCCGCAAACCGCGTCGCCCTCGCCGCGGCCCCAACCGCGACCATCACATCGCGACTCGGCGACCTTCGAAGGCGTCAATCGTCGCATGCCCCTGCGTCACCTCAAGCGCGTGCGCGTGCAGTTCAACCCCCTGGACAAGCGGTGCGTCGCCGCCAGGGAGTTCTTGGCGCGCGTCACCTCCCCCGCCGCGCTCGCATCGAACCCCGAGTGCTCGGTGGAGCCTCGCGTTCGGGACGACGACGCCCCGCCCGTGGTCGCCGTGGAGTTCACGAGCGGGACGAAGGATCAGTTTAACGTCCATCGCATGACCGTGGACGACATATCGGGAAGGATCAAGCGCGTGAGCGATCAGATGGCAACGCGACAGGCGCTGAGCGAAGCCGGGTTGAAGTTTGACGAGTTGAAGTTTGACGTCAAGGCGACGTGAGAGCGGAAAGGATGACGGACGAAGGAAATGGTGCGTCCATCGTACATGGTGAGGCGCTGCGGAGGCGCGCGGCGGAGCACAGGGCGCGGTGGGAGGCGCAGAAGCGAGCGGACGAGGCCAGGCGCTCGCGCGAGCGAGAGGACGAAGCCATCGCGAGGGCGCTGAGAGCCGCCAGAGAGGTCACGAGCGCCGGTGGGGAAGCGAGTGGGGCGAGTGCTCCCGCTTCGGGATTGTCCACGCCGAGAGAGGAGCCGGATGAGGATCGTCAATGTCGAATCTGTTTCTCGGGCGAGGAGACGGGACGGCTCTTCTCACCGTGCATGTGCCGCGGCAGCATGGGATTGGTGCACGTCGAGTGCCTCAATCATTGGCGAAATATGAGCCGTAATCCACGGAGTTACTACGGGTGTGATCAGTGCGGTTATCAGTACAACCTCGAGCGCACTCGCGCGGCGGCATTTCTGGAGCGACAGGAACCAGCAACGGTGCTCGCCGTGGTGGGTATCTTACTCTTGACCCTCGCGACAGCGCTGTCTTGTCGGTTTGCGAGTCACGGTGCGTTTTGGACGGCAAAACGCGTGCAGAGTTTCCTCCAAAAGCGCGGAGCCCTGAACACAAGACCGGGTTTTCGACGACAGCTCGCCGCGCTAGCCATGGAAAGCGTCGAGACGCATCGTGGTGTGGTATTGCACGCCTCGCCGCTTTACGTCGAGGTGCTCTTCTACGGACTCGTAGACTGGATACCGCCTTGGCGAAACCTTCGTCGAACCGATACATGGTTTCACAATCCACGCATCGTCGGTTTGCATGAAAAATTGGACCTCCTCACAGGAGGCTTCTTGATCGTTGCGCTCGTCGCCTTCTGCATGAGCATGTTCAACAAGTATCGGCTCCTGGGCGCGAGGCGCATGGCCGAGTACATCGGACCGAGCTTCGCCATAGTGTTCTTCGCGCACGGTTCGCGGGGACTCCGCCTGGTATTGTTCGCAGGCTCGCTGTACGCTTACGCGCGCCTGCACGATCGAGCGAGGCTCAAGTGTCGAGAGCTCCTCATGCGCATCGGCCAGCGCGTGTTAGAGGTGCAATCTAATTCGTAGAATGATGAGAAATGAAATGAATTAATCCATCGAACGTGACGCATCGACGCTCGACCACTCCGCGCGTAACCTTCGCCGAAACTCAACGAGTTGTTGACGACGACCCTCGCGCTCGCGTCTAACCGCGGCGTCTCCACTCGGCGTCACCACGCCGCGCGCGTCGACGCGAGCGCCCTGTCGAGCGCCTGCGTTCTCACGCGTGCGTTCGCGAGCGTCCTTCCGCGCCCGTCTCGAGCGCCGTGGAGCCGCGAGCGAGCGTCTTGATACCGTTCGTCGACCGGGACAATGTCGGATGACGACTACGGTTTCACGTACAGCGACGAGGAGGACGTGGACGAGGACGAGGCGGACATTGAAAACGCGTATTACAACGCCAAAGGTGCGCGCGAGGAGTGATCGACGCGCGCGCGCTTGGAGAGCGGCAAACGAGCGAGAATGTGGGACTGACACAGCGCGTGCCGTTCCGCAGGATGTCTGGAGAGCGGCGACGCGGCGAAAGCGCTCTCCGGGTTCGAGGAGGTGATCTCGATGGAGAGCGAGAAGGGTGAGTGGGGATTCAAGGCGTTGAAGCAGATGGTGAAGGCGCTGTACAAGATGGGGGACGTGGAGAAGATGCTCGAGCGGTACAAGGAGCTCCTGACGTACGTGAACGACGCCGTGACGAGGAATTACAGCGAAAAGGTGCTGAATTCCATCTTGGACACGATCGGGACGAATGAGAATATGATGTTTTTACAAGATTTTTACGAGACGACGCTCCAAAAACTGGAGGAGACAAAGAATGAACGTCTGTGGTTCAAGACGAATCTGAAGCTGTGTAAACTGATGTTTGACGTGAAGGACTTCGCACAGATGCAAGTCATTTTGCGCGAGCTGCATAAGAGCTGTCAAAACGACGACGGGACAGTGGATCAACGCAAGGGAACGCAGCTCTTAGAGGTGTATTCAATGGAGATCCAGATGTACACGGCGCAGAAGAACACGAAGAAGCTCAAAGAGCTATACACGAAGGCTCTGCAAGTGAGATCGGCTATTCCGCATCCACGCATCTTAGGCGTGATTCGTGAGTGTGGCGGCAAGATGCACATGGTGGAGAGAAATTGGGAAAACGCAGCCACTGACTTTTTCGAGGCTTTCAAGTCTTACGACGAGGCTGGAAGTGCTCGACGAGTGCAGTGCTTGAAGTACCTCGTGTTGGCGAACATGCTCATGGAGAGCGAAGTCGATCCGTTCGACGCGCAAGAAGTCAAACCATATAGAGATGATCCAGAGGTGACTGTGATGCGGGCACTCGTGGGCGCGTACCAGCGCAACGATATCTCGAAGTTTGAGCAACTGCTCAGGACGCATCGCGAGCAAGTGATGGGTGACGATTTTATTCGCGATTACATCGAGGACCTACTGAAGAATATCCGCACTCAAGTCCTCACCAAGCTCATCAAACCATACACCAGAATCACGATTCCGTTCATTTCTACCGAGCTTAGCATCCCCGAGCCCGATGTTGAGTCGCTTATTGTTTCACTCATCCTCGATGGGCGCATCGAAGCCAAAATCGACCAGGTTTTGCAAGTAGTCCACATTGCCCGCCGTGATCCCGAGAGCGATGCCGCGGCCGAGCGCCTGCGAGGTTTAGCTAAATGGTCCGAGCGATTGAAATCAATCCATTCGGCCGTCTCGAGCAAACTCAGAGTCGGTTGATCTGATCACCCTTGTAACATTTTCTTTTGATTCGCGTTCTATGACAAAGCGCCAACGCCAAACTTCTATCATTCTATTCGTGCGTTCCCTCGGGACACGCGCCACACGATCGCATACAGTTCCCCTTTGACCGTCCTCTACCCACCATGTAATTTTTGTTTTTCTCGCATTCGCCACTCTTCGCCCATGCCACGCAGGCTGCGTGCAGGTCCTTGCACACACCGGGCGGCAGAAGAAGTCCGTTCGAACCATCCTCGATTGGCGATACGTGCATCCACTTGGTCGCGCTAAATTTGACTCCACGAATCACCGGACAGCCCGCGTGCTCGCTAAAGGTGTCAGGAACGCCATCGTGACGTAAACTCCTGAAGAAGAGAGCATCACCCTTTCTCGGTCGAACGGCGAGCTTATTGCGAGCGCACTCGCTCGCCTCGCTTCCCGCGGGCGTTCCGTCCTCAAATTTCGGAAACACCGTCTCACCGCCCTCTTCGACGTCGCTGAGATACATCAATACCGTTCCCATGCGCTGTCCCCCCTTCTCTCGTTTCACGTTGAATTTATCGTGAAAGTAATCGTAATGCGCGCGATACTCCTGATGCTTTTCGTATCGCAGCACCTGAAACCCCTCCCCGTGACTCTCCGGCACGTGCGTCCACGCCGCTATCCGCGCTTCGATCGCCTCTATCACATCATCCTCCGCCCTACCCAAAAACATCCCGCTCGACGTCCGAATTTCACTCGACGCGTCCCCGCCCGTCGACGCGTCCACCACCGTCGACGGCTTCAACTCCGCCGTCGCCAATCGCTCGATGTGCTCGCACTCCGCCTCGGTGAGAAACCCTCGGTAGACCTCCGCGTGCGGGGCCCAGGACAGGCGTTCGATCGCGCCCGCGTCGATCGTCCCGCCCGCACCGCGCGCGTCGCCCGCCGTCGTCGTCGGCGCCCGTCCGAGTTCCATCGAGCGACCGACCGATGCGTCGACGCCGTCGCCCGTGCCCATCGGTCCCACGCGCGCGTCGACGCCGCGCGCGCACGCGAGCGCGCACGCGAGCGCGAGCGCGACCGCGACCGCGCGCGGCATCGGCGTCGCGCGTCGACGCGTGCGGTCGCGATCGCGATCGACGCGTGCGCCGGAGACGCGCACGACGCGTGCGCCGCGTCCGCACACGTCGACGCCGAGACGACCCCGCGCGATGGGCGCGCGGGCGATCGCGTGCGGATGCGCGCTCGCGCTCGCGCTCGCGCTCGCGACGCGCGCGGAGGCGTTCTATCTCCCGGGCGTCGCGCCGGTGGATTACGAGCGGGACGATTTGGTCTTCGTCAAGGTGAATAAACTGACGAGCACGAGCACGCAGTTGCCGTACGATTACTACTCCCTGCCGTACTGTAAGCCGGAAAAGGTGAAACACGCGGCCGAGAACCTCGGAGAGGTGCTGCGGGGGGATCGGATCGAGAACTCGCTGTACTCGTTGGAGATGCGTTACGACGATCAGTGCAAAGTGCAGTGCCGAAGGAAGCTGACGGAGGCGGAGGCGAAGACGCTGGGGGATAAGATTAAGGATGAGTATCGGGTACAAATGTGCGTGATTATTCACGACGACGCGACGCGACGCGACGCGACGACGTGATGGAAGAGGCGAGGGGAGATATTTGAGCGAAGGACTGACGAGTTATCCGCCAACTGGCGCCGCGAAACGTCACAGGATTTTGGATAATCTTCCGGTGGGCATGACGCGCTACATCGAGGACGAGAAGGGGACGAGGAAGAAGTACGAGAGAGGGTTCCCGGTCGGATTCTCGTCGACCGATGGCAAACGTTACGTGAATAATCACATCCGATTCACCATTCTTTATCATAGAGATCCGGATACAGATTTGAGTCGCATTGTGGGATTCGAGTGCGTCCCTTTCAGCGTGAAGCACACGTACAAGAAGTGGAGCGACGATAAACCGGTTCTAAAGACGTGCGACCCTCGAAGCCAGGTGTACGTCTCGGAGGCAAGTGACCCGCAGGAGGTAAAGGCGGGTGAAGAGGTCGTCTACACGTACGACACCCTGTTCAAGGAGAGTGATATTCGCTGGGCGAGTCGATGGGACACGTACCTCCTTATGGCGGATGATGAAATTCACTGGTTCTCTATTATTAACAGCATGATGATTGTGTTGTTCCTCTCGGTAATGACGGCTCTCATCATGCTTCGCACGCTTCACCGTGATATCACGGTGTACAATCAGCTGGAGACTGCGGAAGAGACGCAAGAGGAGTCGGGATGGAAACTGATCCACGGTGACGTCTTTCGCGTTCCTGGGAACTACGTTTGGCTCTCGGTGCTCTCGGGCACTGGCGTACAGCTCATCTGTATGGCCACTGTGACCATTTTCTTCGCCGTCCTAGGCTTTTTGTCGCCTGCGAACAGAGGTGGCCTGATGACGGCCATGGTTATGCTCTACGTCATCATGAGTTACGTCAACGGCTACGTCAGTGCGTTCTTGTTCCGTATGTTCAAGGGCCAGGCGTGGAAGATGAACGCACTGAGGGCGTCGCTCTTCTACCCGGGCATTTTCTTTGTCGTGGGGACCGCGCTGAACATTCTCATCTCGCGTCAAAAGAGCAGCGGCGCTATTCCGTTCGGCACATACTTCCTTTTGATGTTCTTATGGTTCGGGATCTCCGTTCCGCTTACCTTTGTCGGTAGCTACATGGGATTCAAGAGGGACCCTCTCGAAGAGCCGGTTCGAACGAACAAAATTCCGCGCCAAATTCCGCCTCAGCCGTGGTACATGCACGACATCGTGGCGGTACTCGTCGGGGGCGTGCTTCCTTTCGGTGCGGTGTTCATCGAACTGTTCTTCATCCTTACCAGCATATGGTTACAGCAGTTCTACTACATCTTTGGCTTTTTGGCTCTGGTGTTCATCATACTTATCGTGACGTGTGCTGAAATCACCGTCGTCATGTGCTACTTCCAACTCTGCGCCGAGGACTACAGATGGTGGTGGCGATCATTCTTGACCAGCGGCGCGTCCGCTGTCTACATGTTCGTCTACGGCATCGTCTACTACAACACCAGTCTCGTCGTCACGCATAAAATTACGACATTCATCTACTTTGCTTACATGAGTGTCCTGTCGCTTGGTTTCTTCATCCTGACGGGCGCGGTGGGTTTCTTGTCGTGCCTAACATTCATCCGCGCGATTTACTCTAGTGTCAAGATCGATTGATCGTGATACAAGTAGTTTTATTGCAATGCTCACGACAAGCGACCGCTTTTCATGAATCACCTAAACCTCACGCGTCGCATCGATCAGAGCCTGAAACTCGGCGCTTTGCACTGCATACATGTGCGTCAACGCGCTCATCTTGAGCTTGAGCATGTTGTTGATGTTGTTATGTCGTTGATTTTCGGCCGTGAGAGCCTCGATTTCCTCGCGCAACAGTTGTACTTCCCGTAAAAGGTCGGCGTTTGCCTCATTTCCATACACCAAACCGTCCATCTGATCCATATCCTGCCGAGGAGGAGGTTGCGGAATCTCTACGACCTCTAGAGGAGAAGGTTGCGGAATCGTCGTCTCAACTGGGGGTTTCGGTGGTGGCGCCAAAGTCTTGTTTTTGAGCTCGTAGAGTTCTGCCACCAATGCGCTGATTTGATTGTTTTCATCGGCGGAACGTGTTTTGCTCGCTTCGCTATTTCGTGCTAACGGTGAATGCGAGTTGAACTTATCCGAACCGAGCCTGATGAAGTAGTTGACAAAATCTTTGAACCTCACGACGCGCTTCTTATCGATCGCCATCGCCTTGAAGACCATTGCGACCATGCTTTTCGTGTACTCTGGATTATCAGAAACCGTTGTTCCCACGTCGAGCGCTACCGAGATGTTCGTATTGATGGTGCACTCCGACAGAAACTCTTGGATTACGATGCGCTCGTTCCTTTCGTAGTCAATGAGTTTGAACACATCGCGAAGATACGACTTCAACACCAACAAATCGGAATCCTGCATCTTGCTCAAGTTCTCTTCCTTGCGATCTTTTTCGCTTTTCCTCAGTCCAGCTTTGAGCGTTTGCTTACTAACGAATCGAATGCCCCGCTTGAACGCACTCATACTTCTAACCTTTTGCTTGTTTGCCGACTCAATGAGCGCCTGCTTCTCTTCGGGCGAAAGTTTATTCAAAGTATGGGAAGCGTTCTTGTCTTGCTGCACCGTGAAGTACTCCACAAACTCATCGAAAGAAACGCTCTTGTTCTGATCAGCATCCATCTTCGAGAACACATCGCTGACGACCTTCGAAACATCATCGCCTTCCGCCGTGCCTTCGTCGAGCAAGGCGCCGATTTCTGGGTTCGAGTGCAAGGCGGACAAAAACTCGACCAGCGTTACCTCTCCGTCTTCGTCGTAATCGATCAGCTCGAAGACTTTGTGCAGATACTTCGTATCAACAACCGCCGGCGCCGGCGCGACCGTCGGCACTGGCTGCGGTTTGATTCGCACTTCCTCCGACTTCGCCGTCGGCGCCGCCGGAGCGACCTCCTCCATCATCCGCGACTCCGCGACCTCCTTCGACGCCTCGACCTTCGCATCCCTGACATCTTTCACCAATTCTTCCTTCACATCCTTCGCCCGGGCCACATAAAATAGCGCGATGAACTCATCGACCGTCGTCTTTCGCGTCGCCGCCGCGTCGAGTCGCGCGAACACCGTATCCAAATCGCTCTCCGTCGCCCACGGCTCCGTCCCGCTCTGCAGATCGTCCGTCATCTCACCATCCGAGCGCAATCGATCGAGAAACTCCTCGACCGCGATCGAACCCGCGCGTTCGGCGTCGATCGTCTCGAAGCACCGTCGCAGGATGTCCTCCCGCACGATCGATGGCCCGCTCGCCGATGCCCCGTCCTCCCGTCCCGCCGCGCTCGTTTCTCCCCGCGCGGCGCCGCGCGACGCGCGCGTCTTTCGATGTCCTCGCACCATGTCCACGCGTTCCGCGCGCGCGTCGACGGCGTCGTCTGACGGACCGACGCGCGACGGACAAGGTCGACTTTTTTTTCAAACGAGCGCTCGGCGCGTGCCGTCACACGTCGTCGCGGCCGCACTCGCGCGCGAACGAATGGCGACGCGGACGACGACGTGGACGACGACGGTCGTCGCGCGCCGTCGCGCGCCCGTCGCGACGGGCGACGCGCGCGCGACGCGGCTGGTGGACGCCGCGCGTCGTCGACGTCACGCGGCGGTCACGTGGGCCGGGAAGCGGCGTGGGATCGGTGATATCCTGAGCGATGAGCTCGATCCCGAGCGCGCGAGCGGGCGCGAGGCGAGAGCGAAGACGAAGAAGGGCGGCGCGCGAGACGGCGGCGCGCAGTTCGACGCGAGCGGGTCGAGGGGGGGGGTGATGAGAAGTGGCTCAAGGTTGGAAACGTGCGCGAGCTGGACGAGAAACCGATCAAGGCTTTGATCCTGGCGAACGGGAACTTTTGCATGGTGAAGTATGGATCGATGGTGTTCATCACGGCGTGTAACTCGACGGCGTATCAGTACCCGCTCATCGATGGGGAGCTGTTCGAGGGAGCGATGGGGGCGGCGATTCGCTCGCCGCTCGACGGCACGGAGTACGATCTCGCGACGGGAGAGGTCTTGAAGTGGTGTCCGCAGGATAATATGATGCGCAAGCTCTTGGGTGGGTTAAAAAAAGCTGTGAACCCGATTCCTTTGCCGGTCTACCCGACGAAGATCAACGAGGACGGTGACGTCTTCACGTTCTTTGTATAATTCTTTCGCGCCGCAATTTTCTTGAAATTACGTGCGTTTCATTAATACAAAACTAAACAATGCTGCTAATGCGTTCTATTTTCTTGTTGGCTTGCTCGCTCTCTTGAACTCGAGGTTCATGCGCGTCGCGACTTTGCCCGCGCCGCCAAAACGCTTCAGTGCGTTGACGATGTCCGCTCGACCAGCTTCTCGAAAAACTTTCTGAGACGGCATGACGCCAGGGTTTTCTCGCACGCTCGGAACATCGGAGTTAGCGATAAATTCATTTATCTCCAGTTCCAGCGTGTTCAGACTCCAGTATCCGCGAGGACGCGTCTTAGCACCTGTCCAATCCATTTTTTGAGCCACTCGGACAAAGCCTCCAAGACTCTCTATCTTCTCAATCGCCACCCAATGACGCCCTGCGCGAAGTTGTTCTCGCGTTGGCATCAAACCATCCTCGCCAAAGCCGAGACCGATGAGCTCTTCTCTAAGAGCGCGCAACATTTCCTCAGAGTCTTCTGAGCGACGCTTGACGACCGAGGACGAGAGTGTCCCGGACGTCTGCTCTTCCACTATGTCCTCTTCGTCCACTGACATCCCCTCTCCCTTGAGCACGAGATCGGCAATTTTTATGTTAACACTTCCAAACGACTCGACCTCCATGTTCGCGATGTTCTCCATGAAATCTCTCGCCTGTTTGAGCATGGTGGAAATTTCCTCGAACACTATGCGCTCGTTGAGTGGGTCCAAGACTTTAGCTCCCATGTCGTTCTCACGTCTAACCACGCCCTCGATGGCGAACTTCAACACGGATGCTTTGGAATCCTCCGTGGGAACGACGAGCCACTTCCCTTGGAGTGCGCCGAACTTTGGATTTTGCAAGATTCGAAACTGCAACTCCGTGCGATCATCCTTTTGCACCACGTCCATGCCCACTGCCTCCTCAACCGCGTGAAAGAGCTCACATTTCACGAAGACGTGTCTCAAACGCAATCTCTTCACGTCCTCGCCTTCGCTTGGATTGATTTTCGCATTATAGCGTTGAATGAACTCGACGTGCATGAGATGAGGGACATACTGGGGCATGTTTTCATATGTCGTCAGCAAATCCCAAATGAGCGCCGGAGGAGCCTCTACGCGAACCGCCGCTAGAGCTCGCCTGTGCAGTAAACTCTCGGTGTCGTATCGACGCATGTGAACCTCGAGTGCGCCTGGGTTCTCAAACGTAGTGATGTCGCTCGAGAACCATTTCTCACCAGGAGAGCCCCCACCAATTGCTCGCCAGCTCTTGGGAACATTTGCTTTCGGAGTGATGCCCTGCTCTCCCCGTGGACGCATGCGCACGGTACTGGCCGTCGTTTCTTCGTCTTGACTCGAATCTACATTCGACGATGGTACGCTTACCTCGCTTAAACCAAGATAACCCGAGGGTGTGAGTGAATCTGTCGGTTTCGGTGCGAGCTCCTTCGATGTGGAGAACGGTGACGTTTCGAGCTCTGCAAAAATTGCCGGTGACCGCAGTCTTCTTTGGTCATTCTTCACAGCCTGCTTCGTGAGGCTCGCTATTACGAACGGTATGCTATCCTCCACGGCTCTCCGCAAGAGCGCGCTCGGAACTGTGTAATTCAGCGGCTTGAGTTCGGCCCGATACTCAATGCGACACTTATACGACTCGCCAAAAATTGGAAAGATACAAAACGAACCGACTAGCGTGAAGTCACTCCTCTCGTCCACGTTGCGCGCCACGAAAGCTAGCTTCGCTGGTCCGTTCTTCCAATTCGGCGGCCCTTGGACTTGTCCACGATCCTCACGCTCACCGTGTTCAGCATTCTCGGCGTGAACAGTGTGTAGTCTAACGCCAGTAAACGCACCTCCGTCTCCGTCGAACCGTACTGCTTCGGTCCGAGCTTGGACACCAAGAGCGTGGGAACAAACTTGGATAGATTTTCACCCCTCTGCAGGCTCCTCCACACCGACTCCGCGGACGCCATGACGTCCACGCGCGCGGACGCCACCGCGTCCCGGTCGCCTCTCTTCGGTCCCGCGCCCGCATCCGCGCCATCCTCCGCCGCCTCTACGTCGTCATCGCTCTCGTCCCAACTCGTCGACGCGTCCAACGACCTCGACGCCGTCGTCACGCTCGCCCGTCGTCGCCTGACCGTCGTCCATCGTCGATGCACCACCGACGCGCTCGCCGCCCCCGTTCGCTCGCGATCACGCCTCCACCGCGCCACCGACCCGACGTCGACGCGATGCATCGACGTCGACGCCGCGCCCGCGCTCGCGCGCATCGAGCTCGCGCGTCGTCGACGACCGCGGCGCGCGGCTGCCTCGCGCAGTCGTCCAGCCCCCAAAATGTGACGATATTTCTTCACACGCGACCTCGCGCCCGAGATCGCGCGTGATCCACACAATACGAATCCTGACTACGTGTCGATCATTTCATGGTTCGACCGTCTCTTTCGTATTTCACACGACATCGACACCATCACTCGTTACGTTTTAAAACACTTTCGGGTTATCGGCCCGCAGGTCGTTTTTCACCGCCGTCGGCGCGTGTCGACCCCTCGTCCGTCCGTACTCGCGCACGCGCGTCGGCGTCGAGGTGCGCGAACCGTCGACGCGTTTACGATCGTTCGTTTCGATGCGCGCGCGGTCGTACGCACGCGTCGCGCTCGGCGCACATCGCGTCAGAGATCGCGCGCGTGGGCTCGAACGATCCCGCGCTTTCCCGTTTTACCCCGCGCGCTTCTCGCGCCGTGGACGCGCGCGATACGCCGTGGACGCGCTGTGAACCGGCGTCGAATCGTGCGATCAGCGATCAACGATCGATCGCACGCGATCGAGCGTTCGCGACATCGAAGCCTTCGGCGCCGGGAGAATTTACGCGCGAACCGTGACTCACCAACGTGCGCGCGTCTCGTCCGATGCAGATCGCTATGCCGACGACGACGGCGAGCGCCGCGGCTCATGCGGTGTCGATACGATCGTCGAAAAATAAAGGTACGTTTCGGATTCGGCGTCTCCCGAGCGCGAGAGCCGAACGAAGCGTCGTGAGCGCGAGAGCCTTGGAAGAGATCTTCAAAAGAGAGGGCCGTTACCGATAAGGGGAGAAAGCTCAAACCTAGCCTTTTTGGTGAAGCGTGTTGAGACTGACCGCGAACGACGTTACGTGACGCAGTTTTGGGCGATGTGCGACGGGGAATCTCGGCTCGAGCGTCAGTGCGTCGAGCAGATTCGACGCGACGCATCGCGGTGGCGCGCGCGACGAACCGTGACGTGCACGTGGTGCGCGCGATCGCGGATTCATCACCAAGCACGTCGGAGCTATCCAGCGCGGATGCCCTGGCGAAGTATGTCGCTGAACGAGGAGGTAAGCGCGTGATCCGCAAGGTCTTAATTGCGAACAATGGCATGGCGGCGGCGAAGAGCATTCTGTCGATGCGTCGCTGGGCGTTCAACGAGTTCGGCGACGAGAACGCGATCCAGTTCTTGGCCATGGCGACGCCGGAAGATCTCGGGGCGAACGCCGAGTTCATTCGTTACGCCGATGACTACGTGGAAGTGCCTGGTGGGTCAAACAAGAACAACTACGCAAATGTACCGCTCATCACGGAAATCGCCAAGCGCGAGGGCGTGGATGCGGTGTGGCCGGGTTGGGGTCACGCCTCAGAGAATCCGAAGCTCCCGACGGCGCTCAAGGCCATCGGCGTGCAGTTCATCGGTCCGACTGCGCCGGTGATGAGCGTGCTGGGTGACAAGATCGCAGCTAATATTTTGGCGCAAACAGCCAAGGTGCCATCGATCCCGTGGTCCGGCGACGGCCTCGTCGCCGAGTTGACTGCAGAGGGCACCATTCCCGAAGAGACGTTCAACAAGGCGATGGTCACCACGGTGGAGGAGTGCGTGGCCGCGGCGAAAAGAATTGGCTTCCCGGTCATGTTAAAGGCGTCCGAAGGTGGTGGCGGTAAGGGTATCCGTATGAGCGCGGACGAAGAGCAGCTTCGGGTGAACTTTGAGCAAGTCAAGGCTGAAGTTCCGGGCTCTCCGATGTTCATGATGCAGCTTTGTACACAAGCTCGTCACTTGGAGGTTCAGATTGTGGGCGATGAGTACGGTAACGCGATCGCGCTAAATGGACGTGATTGCTCCACGCAGCGTCGTTTCCAAAAGATCTTTGAGGAAGGCCCTCCAACGGTGGCAAAGAAGGATGTCTTCCGTGAAATGGAGAAGGCGGCACAACGTCTGACGAAGAACATCGGCTACATCGGTGCAGGCACTGTCGAGTACCTCTACAACGCCGAGACTGATAAGTATTTCTTCCTCGAGCTCAACCCGCGTTTGCAAGTCGAGCACCCGGTGACTGAAGGTATCACAGGCGTGAACCTTCCGGCCACACAGCTGCAAGTTGCCATGGGTATTCCACTCTCACGCATCCCTGAAATCCGACGCTTCTACGGCAGAGATATTGACAGTACTGACGATATCGATTTCATGGAAGAGGATTACAAGTACCCCGAGACACATGTTATTGCTGCTCGCATCACTGCCGAGAACCCAGACGAAGGCTTCAAGCCGACGTCTGGTGGAATCGAGCGCATCTCCTTCCAGTCCACACCAAACGTGTGGGGTTACTTCTCCGTCGGTGCCAACGGTGGTGTTCACGAGTTCGCCGATTCTCAGTTTGGTCACATTTTCGCCTCAGGGCGCAACCGTAACGAAGCGCGAAAGGCTCTCATTCTTGCTTTGAAGGGGATGGTCGTGAGAGGTGAAATTCGCACCGCTGTCGAATATTTGGTTCAACTTCTCGAAACGGATGAGTTCAAGGCGAACACCATCGACACGTCTTGGTTGGATGGGCTGATCGCGAAGAAGCAAATCGCGAACAAGCAAGATGAACACATGATCGTTCTCGGCGCGGCTATCTTCCGAGCTTTCAATATGGCTAAGACAGAAGAGGCTGCGTTCACGGAGTTCTGGCAGAAGGGCCAAGTCTCCGTCCAAGGTGTAGACAAGATGATTCGATTCCCGATCGAAATCACGTACAATGACGTGAAGTACAGCTTCCAAATCACTCGACCCGGTCCTGACATATTCCTGGTGAGCACTCCGGAAGGCCAATCGATCGAGGCAAAGATCCGTGAGCGTGCTGACGGCGCCCTCGTTGCCATTTTTGGTGGCGAGCAACACGAGATCGAAGGTTTGGAGGAGCCGCTTGGCTTGAGAATGATTCTTGACGGCCAAACGTGGTTGTTGCCGACCGTCTTTGATGCGTCCGAACTTCGCACCGACGTTACAGGTAAGCTCATTCGCTTCCTGCAAGATGATGGAGCTGAGGTGGTGGCTGGCAAGCCGTACGCTGAGGTTGAAGCGATGAAGATGGTTATGCCGCTTGTTGCCACCGAGAGCGGTAAGATTAACCACGCCAAGGCTGCGGGTGCTGTTATCGAAGCCGGTGACTTGCTCGCCTCGCTCACACTCAAGGATCCAAGCAAGGTGAAGAAGATCACCACGCACAGTGGCGCGCTTCGCCTGCCAGTCTGTGACGAGGCTCCGCCAGGCCCAGAGGAAGCTCTTAACGCCGCCATCGGCCGGGTCAACCTCTTTCTGGACGGCTATGAGCTTGACGCTAATCAATGCGTCTCCGACCTCCTCAGCTCTCTCACGTCGCTCCCGGCGGATCAAGGTCGCTGGGAACGCGCAACGGATGTCCTTGATCAAATCATTCAGCGCTATCTCAGCGTCGAAAGCGTGTTCGAAGGCAAGAAGTTGGACGCTGTCATGCAGCAACTCATCCGCGCGAACAGCAGTAACTTGCAGCCGGTTTTAGATCAAGTTCGATCGCACATGCGCTCGAAGGAACGGCAAGGTCTCATCTTGAGCCTGCTCAAGCAGGCGCCGACGCTGCCGCAGCGCGTCATGTCTCGAGGTCCCATTTCGTGGGCGGACGATCACGCTCCGATCTCTGACTCCTTGCGCAAGAACATCGAACGTCTCTCCAAGCTTCGAGGCGGTGAGTACGGCGATATCGCTGTTCAAGCCTCAAACATATTGCTTGAGCGCAGGTTACCGTCAATCGACAAGCGTTTGGATGAGTTGAAGAAGATTCTCCTCGGATCTCAGCCGTTGTTGCGCTCTTGGAGCATCGGTGGCAAGGCCCCGCTGCCCGGAGATCTCCAATCTCTGGTTGAGTCGCCGACGTTGGCAGTCGATTTGTTGCCGTCTCTCTTCTCTGATAAGGACGAAAAGGTGCAGAACGCTGCTCTCGAGGTGTACTGCAAGCGCGTCTACCGAGCTCACAATGTCCTCAGCACCTCGGTCTCTCGTGACAATGGCATGACCTCCATCAGCTGGAACTTCAAGTTCAACACGTTCCCGGATGAGAGCCCGCTTCGATGCGGTATGCTGGCTCGTGTGGATACCGTTGCGGACGCCAAGCAAAACTTCTCCGCCATGTTGGATCGACTCGAGTCAAACGTCAAGGCGGCGGGCGCGGGTGGGTCCAGCGACACCCAGCTGCACGTTCTCCATGTGGCCGTTTGCAAGCAAAGCGCCGACGATGGCTTGCCCACTGATCTTGAGGCATTCATCGCTTCTCACAAGGATCGACTGAACGCGATGGGCATCAAGTTCGTCAACTTCCTTGCGTATTCTGATCTCGAGTTGCCGGCCTACTTCACCTTCCACTCCGGTAAGGACTTCAAGGAAGATATGCTGTACAGAGGTGAGCGACCCACTGTCGCCCACTTGCTTGAGTTAGCTCGTCTTGAAAACTTCAAGCTCACTCGACTTCCGACAGTAAACCGAGACTTGCACATGTATGTGGGTGAGACTTCGGCGAACGTCGGCAAGCGTGGTCCGGCAAAGCACCTCTTGCTTCGTCGTCTTTCCCACTCCAAGGATATGATGGACGGAGGCCTCGAACGCGTGCTCGGTAAGGCTTTGGAAGCCGTGTCACTCTCGTTGGTAGACAGCAGAGCCAAAGGGGTTTCCTCCTCCAGGCTGTATGTCAACTTCTTGCCAGTGTTCGAAGATCTCAACTTCAACACGGCCGTAGCCACAATGAAGAGCAAGCTGACCGACTACATCAGCCGCGAGTCAGCTCAGCTTCTCGCTAAGAAGGTCGATGAGATTGAGGTTCGCTTCCGTGTGGGCAAGGAGAAGGTTCCGCTTCGATTGATGGCGACTTCAATGTCTGGCCAGTGGCTCAAGGTCGACCTCTACAAGGAGTACCTCGAGTCAACGAGTGGCAAGGCTGAACAGTTCTGCTTGCTCGGCCCGAACGGAGAGGAAGAATCTTGCTTCCTTGAGCCGTACCCGCAGCCGGGTGCGCTCGCGCAGAAGCGTGCCGTTGCACGCGCGATTGGCACGACTTACATCTTCGACTTCCTTGGTCTCTTTGAGAAGGCTCTTGTCCTTGACTGGCGCACCCACATTGCTGATGTCGGAGGGACGATGCCGTCCGACTTCTTTAGCGCTTCGGAGCTTGTTCTCGGTAATGATGGGCAACTCACGAAGGAACAACGCCCGGCGGGTTCGAACAACGTCGGGATGGTCGGCTGGCATTGCTTCATGAAGACTCCCGAGTACCCTGAAGGGCGCGAAGTTGTCATCGTCGGCAATGACTGCACGTACATGTCTGGTTCCTTCGGTGTCAAGGAAGATGACGTGTACGATGCCATTTCGAAGTACGCTCGTAAGTTGGGCTTGCCGCGTGTGTACATCGCGTCCAACTCTGGCGCGCGAATCGGCCTCGTCGAAGAGCTTAAGCCGTACTTCAAAGTGGCTTGGACAGATGCGTCCAACCCGGGCTTGGGCTACAAGTACCTGTATCTCACGCCAGAAGACTACAAGTCCTTCCCGGAGGGTACTGTCAAGGCGGAAGAGGTCAAGGAGGATGGTGAAATTCGCATGAAGCTCACAGATATAATTGGCCAAATTCATGGCATTGGTGTTGAAAACTTGCGAGGCTCTGGTATGATAGCGGGCGAGCAGTCCGCAGCGTATGCGGATGCCTTCACTCTCTCGTACATCACCGGTCGCTCTGTAGGTATCGGCGCGTACCTGTGCCGACTTGGCCAGCGTAACATCCAAATGACGAATGGTCCCCTGATCCTTACCGGTTACTTGGCGCTCAACAAGCTTCTCGGGCGCGAAGTGTACACGAGCCAAGATCAGCTTGGTGGCCCACAAGTCATGATGCCAAACGGTGTCTCGCACTTGCAAGTCGCCGACGATCAAGAAGGTGTCAGATCCATCTTGAACTGGCTCTCGTACACGCCTGCTACGTCGAAGTCTCAAGTGCGCGCTCGTCGTTCGTCTGATCCGGTCGATCGTGACATCGACTTCATGCCGTCGAAGACTCCTTACGACCCGCGCAACATGCTCGCAGGTGTCGAACAGAATGGTAGCTTCGCGAAGGGTTTCTTCGACACTGACTCGTGGACCGAGACTTTGCCCGACTGGGGTAAGTCCGTCGTTACCGGGCGAGCCCGACTCGGTGGTGTACCGTGCGGTGTCATCGCCGTCGAAACACGGATGATGGAGCAGCGAATCCCTGCTGACCCTGCGAACCCTGAGTCTCGCGAGGCCGTGTTGGCTCAAGCGGGTCAGGTGTGGTTCCCGGATAGTGCGCACAAGACGGCTACGGCGATTCGTGATTTCAACAACGCTGAGAACTTGCCTCTATTCATCTTCGCCAACTGGCGTGGATTCAGCGGTGGTACTCGGGATATGTACGGCGAGATCTTGAAGTTCGGCGCGATGATTGTCGACGAGCTTCGCGTCTACCGCCATCCTGTCTTCATTTACATTCCGCCGAATGGTGAGCTCCGCGGTGGTGCCTGGGTTGTCGTTGATCCGACCATCAACGAGGGACGAATGGAGATGTACGCGGACGTGGAATCTCGAGGGGGCATCCTCGAGCCGCCGGGCATCTGTGAGGTCAAGTTCCGCCCCAAGGACCAACTCGCCGCGATGCACCGCTTGGATCCGGTTCTTATGGAATTGGACAAGGACGCTGAAGCGAACAAGGACGAGATCAAGAAGCGTGAGCAAAACCTGTTGCCGATGTACACGCAAGTCGCTCACGAATTCGCCGACCTTCACGATCGCAGCGGTCGTATGAAGGCGAAGGGTGTGATTCGTGACGTGGTCGAGTGGAAGAATGCGCGCCGTTATTTCCATGGCAGACTCACGCGCAGACTTGCTGTCGATGCCTTAGCTAGCAAGATCAAGTCTGAACTTGGTGACATCAAGCTCGACAGACCTGTCGAGGAATACATCGAGGAGGCGGTCGCCGCGTCAGGCGTCAACGCCAATGACGATAACGCCGTCGCCGCGATGCTCGAGAGCAACTCGGCGAAGATTGGGAACGACGTCATGATCAAGGGTCGTGCTGCCAAGGTTGCCCAATACGTTGAAAAGTTAAAGGGCCTCGACGCTGAGGACCTCAAAGCCATCCTCGCCCAGATGTAGAAAATTCGTACCGTACCGGTACCGGTACCGGTATGCTTTGCCAATGCGATAAAAAGAACATTTCTTTAAAAAAATCGATGTTACAACAAACATGTCTCCAGGCGTCGAACGAGCGCCTCTGAAAGACCCCTCCAAAGAAACTCACCATAAATGATTCGCGGCGAGTGGATGCAGACCACTAGCGCCGTGGCTAAATCGCTAAGAATATCGTCGTCCGCGTGCACAGAAGCAAACTGTACGCAATGAAACAAGTCTCTTGTATATCCGCTGGCATGATGGAGCGCGTGCTTCTCAAACGATGCTCTGATGAGACGCTTCAGCACCCACACGATAGCACGTTCCGACCCATGAGCGAGCGCATGCGAGATATCGTCGTGGATATCGTTCAAAACCTGCACTGTGGGGACTCTTGCGCTCGATGGAAGACTATCGGGAAGGGGTGAGCCAAAGACGGTCACACTCTGCGTCGCCAGTACAAACCTCAAAGCTGGATCACTCACTTCGGTCTCCGACGACGCGTACTCGAACTGAAGATCGCTCTTTCTGATAAAGTGAGAGAATCGAGGCAGCCAACGCTCGCTAATTTGATCCCGAATACTATCTTCGTTTACGTTTGCTCGAGCAATGACGATCAAATCGACATCTGAAATTTTTGCTCGCGCTCTACCTCGCGCCACAGAACCCCGACAATAAATACCAAGCAAGTTCTCATCACCCACGCACTCTCGCACGATGAAAGCGCACTCCTCGGTGGCGATCCGCCATTCATCATTCATCGAGCTTTGCCAGCCCGAAACATCGATTGGCGCGACCTCACCTGTTCTCGCGTCGCGATCCATGATGTCGCCGGCGTGCGAGTCAACGAGTCCGAGCAGGATAAGTCGCGATAACGAATTGGGTCTGTCTCGATGATCTGTCCATCGACGAAACTTACTCGCCACGTCATCATTACTCGCCGCCTCATCATCTCTAGGCTGTTTCTCTCTCCTGAAACGTTGCGTCACCGACATGGAGATGCACTCGTCGTCGTCTCGTGCAACAGACTCGGTGTAATGAGCGAAACGCGGAGGAAAGATGAGCACGTCTCCGGGCTCCACGATTGCCTCCCAAGCGAGCTGTCTCTTCGGAAATCGTCTCCCACGTCTGCGCAAGGGATGCCAATCTGGATACAGCGCCATGGACGCCAACGCGAACGGCTGATACAGCAACATGCGCTTTGATCCCGAACCTACCTGCGCAAGCGTGCTCCACGACGCGTCGTAATGCAACGGCGTCACCGATCCCGCGAGCGAGAGCCACAATCGTTTCGCCTGCGATTCCTCCCCCAGAGTGTCGAACGCGTCGCTCGCCCCACCCTCGCACTCGCGCTTCATGTCCTCTTCGAGCTCGGCTTGTACGTACGCGCCGCCGCCGCCGCCGTACCCGAGCACCCTCGCCAACGCCATCGCGAACGGCATCCGAACCGTCACGCTCGGCGCTTCGAACGCCCCACGTCGCACCGCCTCGTGCGACTCTTCGCAGTACGTGAACGTTCGACCGCTCGTCGTCGCCTCCTCGGCGTCCCGCGGCGCGCGCGTCTCGCACATCCACCCCCCGCGCGTTCGAGCCAACCCCTCCACCGTCCACGCGCGAGACGACGTCCAACTCGCGCACCCACCGCGCACGATCAGAGGGTCTCGCAGCACCGCGAGCGCCTTCCGCAGCCCGTCCGTGTCGCCGTTCCACGCGATTTCCGCGACGCGTCCTCGCACGCGGGCATCGTCGCTCCGCTTCGGCGGCGTCAGCGCCCATCCCGCGCGCGCTCGAAGCCGTCCACCGAGCGCGCCGATCACGCGCACGCGCGCCTCCCCCGCGACGTCCGCCAGCGCGGGCGCGGGCGCCATGACGCGCGCGCGATTGTCGAGCTCGCTGCCGGCACTCGTCGTCGACGACCCGCATGGCGCCCGACCGCGGCGACGACCGCGCGCGTCCGCCCGCGAGGTCGTCGACGACGCGATTCAAAGACGCGGTGACGACCGTCGTGGACGACAATCGCGCGCGGGACGCGGGGACGAGGCCGAGGAGGTTGACGTCGCTCTGGGACGTCGCGAACGAGTTGCGGCGACGCGCGGGGCGAGCGCGGCGACGCGGGCGCGCGCACGCCCGGGGAGGGGCGGGGGTGAAGCCGTTGCCGGTGTTCTTCGATCGAGACGGACGAACGGGGGCGTCGGCGGTGTGGTGGCGGGACGCGTTCGCGGTGAGCGCGGCGTTGGACGGCGACGGGGCGCGGGCGGAGAGCGCGGCGGAGGAGAGTGATTTAGGGCACGCGGCGAGGGCGATGCTGTTCTTCGCGCAGGATATGTCGAGGGAGTTGTTGAGCGATTTAGAGACGGCGACGACGTCGCTGTCGTTCTGGGAATTGCTCAGGGATCGACCGACCGGGCAGGCGCGGTTTCTGTTGCTGAACACGGGCCCGAGGAATTTTGTAAACTTGGTGCGAGAGGGGAGTTACAGACTGTTCTGCCACGCTCGCGCGGCTTTGACGGGGAAGGAGACGACGTTCGCGCTGCCGAGCGCGAGCGCGCGGGTGATCATCGATGGGCGAGTGAACGCACTGAGCGAGCTTCAGGTGGCGCTCGCGAGCGTCGTGGGACGGGTGCACCACCACGCGGACGCCGTGGCGAACTCCTCATACGCGAGTTCGGGGTCATTAGACAACTCGTTGACGCGAGAAGAGACAAGACAGTCGATCATGGACGCCACAGACGGGCTCTTGGAGTGTCTTGAGGAGATAAAAGAGTACTCGACGACGACGATGGAGAGGCACGGCGACTTGGCGAAAGTATCCACCGGTTCGAGAATGTCCGTCAAAGATAGTCCAAGAATACTCAAGTCGCTGAGTCGGCTGGGCTCAGGAGTTTTGAAAGCGATGCCGGATCTTCCGGAGCCATCTCCTCGATCGAGGATGAGCGTCGATTACGACAGCTCTCCGGCGGATTCGCCTCGGCCGCCGAGTCGCCTGCAACGATTGGCGAGTATGGACCTGAGTAAGCTATCCGAGGACACGGCTGTGGGTCATCGGTTTAGAGAGCCCCTCATTGTGGACGGCAACCCGTTGCCGTTACCGAGGATAAACGATACGTTGTGGCAAGCATTGAAGCGCGTCGAGAAAGAGTGGTACGATGTCAGAGACACATCTCACGAAGCGCTTTACGTGCACGCAAAGCCTTCAAAGCACGTGCGAAGATGGATGTTGTATTCCATCGGGAGTGTTTCACTCACGGTGGTCACCGTTGTCGCCGTTCGTCACAGTCGTTTGTGTGGAAGCGACGACTTGGACAACTTGCTGCAGTCGATGTCCTCGGCGTGTACAAACTTTATGAAAACGCGCATCTTTGATCCACTGAAAGAGTTGAGAGACGAGCTAAGAGCTGCATTCGTATCCGATCGTCCGGATGATGCCACCGAGCGCTTGGAGGATGATAAAGAATCGTTGGACCGTATGCTCGGTGAGTACATGAAGCAAGCGTCTAAACCAGGAGTCTCTGAGTCGCTCTATCGAGCTTATAGAACAGTTGGAGGTGGTGGCAACGCCACTGATACCGAACAAAAAGAAGTTGAGGCGTCAAAGATCGATCCGGCTCGACTCGTCACCGCTCGAGTCGAAGAAGAGCTAAAAAATCCATTGACAAATATGCTCGCGGGAGACCTCATGCAACTGTTGCTCTTGCAGACGCAAGTCATGAAGGTTGAGATGGAGAGCGCTCTGATGCAGATGGACCAGCTCATGCGAGCCAATCGCTTGAACTTCTCCCTCATGGCGTGTTTTCCAGCCGCGCTTGGATTATATGCGGGAACGATCGCCATCAAGGCGTCGCTCTCGGTCTCAGTGTACCGCCGTCGCAAGCGGCAGCGCGAAGAGATGCGCATGCTCTTACACGAGGCCGAGCGCGCGCTCACCAACCTCAAGATCGCCGAGCGTCGTTCGGTGCAGCACGGTATGCTCATTTACGCTCTCAACTCTCTCTACGCCGCGGTGCAGAGAAACCACCACCTATTCACTCGCGCGGAGTGGCGCTCGGTGCGCGTCGACGTCCTGGAGCTCGCCGACCCGAGCGTACCAATCGACAACAAGCTCGTCACCGTCGCTCGGCTCGCTCGCACTCGCGCACTCGTTCCCGAGCCCCATCGCGTCGCCGGTGCTCACCTCTAGCGGCGCCCTCGTGATCCACGGATCGCCCGTAAACAACCAGCCAACCAACCGTCGCGAACACTCGGGCACTCCACCTCAACGCGTCGCGACACGTCCTCACTTCGAGTCACGCGCGTCATGTTCGCCGCCTCGCTCCGTCGCGGCGCGCCGATCGCGCGCGCGGGCGTCTCTTCGAGCGGCTCGGCGACGCCGCGCGTGACGCTCGCGACGACCGCGATCGCGCGATCGACGCACTGGAGAGGAATTTCAACGTTGGATCGGTACGAGCGATACGATCGTTCGCGAGAGAGCACGCCCGGGGCGTTCGCGCTCGGCGTCACGGCGCTCCTCGTCGGCGGCGTCGCCGCGTTCGACGCCGTGTTCGGACCGGCGACGCACGGGCGGGAAAGCTGGAAGGAGTGGATGACGATCAGACGGGCGCACTACGAACGCGAACTCGCTCGGTTGAACGTGTACGCGCGAGAAGGGTTCACGAAGGAGTACAAGCAGGACGTGTTCTTCGCGTACGAACGGCGGTTGAGGACGTTTGCGCCGCCGGAGAAGGTTTTCGATTATTTCGCGAGCGTGCGAAAGAACGGGAGCACGTACATGACGTTGAGCGATTTGGTGCGTTCGCTGCTGCCATTGCACCCGGCGGTGGGGAGTCGAGACACGCGTGCGGGAAAATTGCACGGAGAAACGGACGGGATGGAGGAGCGTGGGAAGAAGGTGAGCCGAGAGGTCATCACGAGCGATTTGTTTCGATTGTTTGATACCGATGGCAACGGGATCTTTGACTTCGCAGAGTACTTGTTCTTCAACACGCTGCTCAACACGGACAGGCAATCGTCGCTGTCCGTTTTTCAGAAATACGATGCGGACGGAAGCGGTGAGCTTGACGTGGACGAGTTCACGATGATGATGAAAGAAATGCGCACGCAGGTGAAGCACGCGACGGGTCTGCGCACGGGCTTGGACACCGGCATGTCCAACGTAGACAATATCGCTGATGGTTTGCTGGACTATTTATTCGGCCCGAATAGAAACAAGAAGTTGACGTTGAAGCAGTTCCAGGCGTTCTTGCGTACGCTGCGAAATGAGATGGACGCGTTAGAGTTTGCTCACTACGACGTAAACAAGGACGGCCTCATCACGATGCGAGACTTTGGATACAGCCTCGTCAGCGGGTGCAAGGTGGACCACCTGCAGCGCTTCATGGACGAAGTCAAGCGACTTCCGGGTTACGAGTCTAAAGTTCGAATCAATCGCGCTGAATTTTTAGCGTTCGCTCGCATCTCGAAGCACGGCGATGGCTCATTCCAGCGCGAGATCAAGAGCATCTCTGACTCTGGTGAGGTGATCACAAGGCAAAAGTTCAAAGACATCGCCCGTCGTACCGCCGGCGTGAAGCTCAGCGACGATATCGTGCACGTCATATTCCACGTCTTCGACGTCGATAACGACGACTCACTCTCGTACGATGAGTTTTTCAACGCGATCAAAAAGTGGACGTGAGCGCGCGCGCCCGCAGTAGAGCTCTCCTAGCTTTGTAAAACACATCGCGCGCGCGCGGCGCAGTCCTCACTCCCCCGCGCGCGTACTCCACCACCGCCATGCGCGAGCGTCGCACGCAAACCTTCGACGATCCCGAGGACGGTGATGACCGAGTAGAGGTCGAGCACGCCCCCGGATCCACCGCCGCGCTCGTCGCGAGCGTGCTGGCGAGCGAAAAGGAAAAGGCGAAACACAAGGAGGGCGGCGACGCGCGCGCGACCGTGCTCCCGAGTGGTGCGGACTCGGACGACGAGAGAGCGGTGAAGCGAGGAGGGAAGCGCGTGTCGTTCGCCGAGGACGACGAGGACGAGGACGCGCTGGCGACGCGAGCGAAAGCGGCGAGCGAGACGCGAGCGCTGCTGAGAAGCGAGGCGGCGGCGGGCGTGCGGTCGACGGACGATAGAGAGACGAGGGCGGGCGTCGAGGACGCTGAGGAGAATATGGAGAAGAATGATGAGGAAGAGGGGTTCACTAGCTTTAATCTCGATAAAGAGCGGCAGGAGGGATACTTTGATGACGAAGGTAACTATGTGGAATACGCCGAGGAAGAGGACGAGACGACGCTTTGGCTGGACAAAGACGCCAAGGTGGACGAGAGATTGGAAAGTGGAAAGATTCGACGAAGCACGGCGGCGTTGGAGGAGGAGGAAGGTGCGAGAGCGATGAGCGAGAGCGACATTGCGACGATGCAACGGGAAATCGCTAGCTATTTGAACCCAGGCGAAACCGTGCTCGGGGCGCTGAAGCGCTTAGGAGGGAACACGAAGAAAGACGGCGGACGCGGCGGCGGTCGGGTAAAGCAAAATAAGGTCATGAGTGATGAAGAGAAGAAGGTGTTTGACAAGCTGACCGAGTTATCCAGCGCTTTGATGGGGCAAGGAGAGTACGAGGTGTACACATTCCAGAAGGAAGCGTTCGAGCGCGCTGCAAAACTGTATGCCCCGACGACAGCCCCGACCGAAGACGCGGGCGCGAAAGATATGTTCGCTGATAGTGATGAGGATGACGACGCGTTAGCTCCGGAACCGGCGCCTCCGGCGAAGAAAGCGAAGATGCATGAAGAAACGGCGACCCCTCAAACATCGGATGGCGACGTCGATTTTGCATCGTGGAGCGTTAAAAATCTCAAGACATACGTCGAATCGCACGGCGGTAGTACAAACGGAAGCATAACCGAGAAGAGTGAGCTCGTAGCTCGCGCAAAGGCATGCCCGAAAGCCGTTGTTCCCGAGGGTTACTCGTGGAACATGGAGCAAGGGTTGTACTATTGCGAGGCGAGCGACTTGTTCTTCGATCACTCGCGCAACCTGTTCACCGACCTGCAACGGAGCAAATGGTGGATATACGATCAGGCGAAAGGTTTTGTGGAATGGAGTGCATAGTATCGATTATCGCTCGTAGTCGCAAGTGAGTTCGTTTTGACTAGACCGTGCGCTTGTTTACAACAAAGACACTCAAAGAATGCAGCACTTCACAATAATAGAACTTGATGGAATCGATGTAGTCCTTCACTTACCCATGCCATCAGCGATCATCGGAGCCTCGCCCCGGAGCTCCTCAGCCTCGATCTCGAACGAGGGGAAGGCAGCCTTGCCGGCGTCGAACGATTCGGCAACCTTTCTGTGCAAGGCCAAGTTGTACTGATCGAGCGCCAGCTGTGGATCCGTGGGACGCTCTGGATCAGCAGTCTCAAAAAACTGCGCGTTTAATATGTATAGCGTGCTGTCCACGATCGTCACCGACGTCGTCACGCGCTTGTTCCCGTACGTCGTGATGAGTCGATACTCATAGTCGTAAAACGTCGTCCCAGAGACCGATCCGACTCGCGTGTCCGAGCGCGTGAGCGTCACCCCGCCCGGCACCGTGCTTTCCTTAGCCTGCTCCGCATTAGCCAACCTATTGCCTATCTCGTTCAAGCTACCGAACTTATCGAGCGTCTTCACCGTCACGGGCGACACCGTCACGCCAATGTTGCTGTATTTGGCGTCAGGATTTTTAAACAGCACCGCCGCCCCGGGCTTACTCCCGACGGTCCATTTCTTTGGAAACTTCAGCAGAAACTTTTTACCCCGATCCCTGTACACCGTGAGATCCTCGTACGCGTTCACCGCGAATTCATCCCCGGTCGTCGCGTCCGCCGCGCGCGCCTCTCGCTCGCCCGCGCGCCTCGCCCAGACCCCCGCCCCGAGCGTCCACAGCGCCGTCCTGCGCCGCACCACCCCCCTTCCCGCGTCTCCAATCGTCGTCTCGTCCGCACCGCGCGTCGTCGACGCCGCGTCGTCCACGTCGCGCGCGTCCGTCGCGCGTCGCCCCACGCCGCGCGCGCGCGCGCTCGACCGCCGTCCCGCGGCGCCACCGCATCGCGCGCGCGCGCGCGTCCTCGACCGCGTCGTCGCGCGCGCGCGCGCGACCGCGGTCCGCATCTCGCGTCGCGGTCGCGCGTGCGTGCGCGCGCGCGCGTGTGCGTCGTCGTCGTCGTCGCGATCGCGGCCTCGCGGGGTCGCGATCGCGTCGACGCGCGTGAGGACGCGACGCGCGGACGCCGGAGAACGCGCGCGAGCGGATGGATAATCCGTCGCCAAAGGTGTACGTCACGCGCGCGCGAACGACGGGAGCGGCGTCGCGAGGGGCGAGAGGGCGAGAGGAATCGAGGGAGGATGGGCGAGACGCGTTCGACGCGAGAGAAATCTTCGAACACGTGCGAGACATCAACGATCCGGAGCACCCGCACTCGTTGGAGGCGCTGGGGGTGGTGCGTGAGGGTGATATCGCGGTGGATGACTCGAAGAATCGAGTCAAGGTGGAGTTCACGCCCACGGTGCCGCACTGCTCGATGGCGACGCTCATCGGGCTGAGCATACGGGTCCGGTTGCTCCGGACGCTCCCGAGACGGTTCAAGGTGGATGTGTTGATCGCTCCGGGGACGCATACGAGTGAGAAGGCGGTGAATAAGCAGTTGAACGATAAGGAGCGCGTGGCGGCGGCGCTGGAGAATGCGAATTTGTTGGAGAAGGTGGACCTGTGTCTGAGCGGCAAGACGGCGATTTGAGGGACGACGCCTTTATCGAGCGCCGTCGCGGCGATAACGATTCATTTTTGTTTGTAGTTTTTAGACGAGCTAGCTATAGAGGTTATTAGGATCATCCGACGTTGAGCCTGAACAAGTCGTTGAAGATGAAGAAGCTACCCGGAGCCAAACCAGCGGCTTCCGTCGGCAGGAGCGTAAAAGCCTGCGAAAACTTCGTCGGCATCTGTTCGCCGTCGATGAGCAAATTTCCGCACACCATCACGATCACCCCACCGTTCGGCGTCGGTTGCGTGTCTAGCGTCACCACCTGGTGCTGCACCTTCTGGAACGGCAACGTTCGCAGCTTCTCCACGATCGCGGCGCTTCCCTTGAACTGGCCCGGTCGCCCTTCGCTGTGCTCGAAATTAAGCATCGAGTACGTGTCGTTGTACAGCGGACCAAGCTGCGAGCGATCGGCGTCGAACATCTTGTAGTAGTGTTCGACAAAAGCCTGCGTGAGCGAACGAGGAGGTCGAGCGCGTCAGCGTCGAGGTAATCCACAGTGACGTTCAACACGACGCGAGCACGCAGAGAGGTCGCGACGGGACGTTCGATTCTCCTCGCGGGCGCGCCGTCGATATCGTCGTCATCGAAGTGTGCGCACCTTGCCGACCTGATCGAAGTTCGCGTTTATGTTTTGCAGCGCCGACATCGCGCGTGAGGACGTGAGCGCGACGGTCTGAGGTGAGCGGTTGATTCGATCGATTACTCGACTTGCCCCAAGAGCGAGGCGACGCGCGGCACGCGAGAGGCGAGCTCGAATGGCGCGCTAGAATGCTTTCAATGCTACAGAGCGCTCTTTCAACGAATGAGCGCGGATACTAATGACTAATAGGGCGTGTACGAGATGGCGGTACCGTTCGCGTACGAGTACTCGACGTCAACCAGGCGCTGCGAGGCGGAGCCGACAATGGAGAAGGACACCGCGTACGTCCGCTGTGGGACGAGAGCGGGCGTGACGCAGTCGGCGTACGTGGTATTGTACACGTTGGCGGCGACGTAAATTGATCCGAAAACGCATCTTGAACCGTCCGTTTCGGTGGCAAATGAGGTGCCCGTGACTCCAAAGACGGCTCCACCAAGCGCTGTGGACGCGGCCGGCGACGTTCTCGTCAGCGTAGGCGATACAATTGTTCGCACGCCGAACCCGTTGAACAGTGCTCTAATGGTAGAATTCTGATGTGAAAGAGAAATTTCTCGTTGTGGGATGCCGTTGAGGTCGTAATCTCGACCGATCGTCAACTTCATCTCGGAATTGCGGTCGGTGCTCTCGCTCGCCGTGATCTCGCATCTTACCATCGCCGACGACACGTAATAAACATCTGTCGACTCCAACGACGTGAATGAGTATCTGCAGTACGACCTCGTCGACTCGGATTCGGTGAACAGGTCTTTTCCGTAGAAATAGGCGATAGATCCGCCATGTGCGCTTAGAACTCTTGGCAAAACTGAAGTTGCACGCAGCGGCTCGACAATTTCCATCTGATTGTAGAACTCAGGCGCCACGCCGGCAACGTCGATTGCGACTGTAACGAAACCTGGCGCGGAGGTGTGCGGTGGAATGCACCCGAATTCTCGAGTGTAGTTTGATACTGGTTCAATCGAGTCGCCGAAGTAGCAGTATAATACTGCTCCATCGGGAGTCGACGGCCATGCCGGGAATTGCCAGTTGTACCACGCATACGTCTGATCTTCCTCCAAGGCGTCCGGCGCTCGAGACACTGGCTCGAACCAAACCGGAAGCGACGTTCTCGGTGATCCAGAGTACGCATCGTTCATGGTGACGGCTAAATCGGCCCACGTCAACGTTTCAACATCTGGTGTTTCGCACACAACAACCGCGGACGATATAACGACTGCAACCCGCGTCGTTACGTTGCCTGCATCCGTGGTGAATGTGCAATTCGGATCGCCGTGAGTCCCGTATCCGTAACCCTGAGCAATGCCGAACCAAGATCCGCCGGGGGGTGAAACCAGAGCGTGCGCGGTGCTGACCCACTTGAGTGGCTCCCAAAACATTGGATAGTGCTCACGTTTGATGACGCCGATTGTCTCTACGGGCTTCACAATTCCCGGAAGCGTGACGGTAGAATCGACGTACATACTCTCTATTGTCGGCGCTGAGATTGTTCCGACCGGTGTCGAATCCTCGCCATCCGGTCCCACGAGTTTCACGTCAACAGCGCTCCCACGCGACAGCGACGTGGAGATGCAGCTGAGAGTTCCAAAGGCGTCACGCCTCACGTCTACACTCGTCGTGCCGAATAGGCACCTCCATTCATGAAATGACGTGCGTTGCTTCGTCGCTGAACCTAAAGCTGCGCTCAGATCCACTTCGACTCCACCGTCTGTAAACGAGCTGTCTCCGCTGTTGTCTGTGTATGCCGTGCTGGAACCAGAAGTAAAATCGCTCACGTATGCGTAGATATCGTACCCTCCCGTGGATTTGTAATCCTGAGTACCTAGTCGCACGGATACCGACGTTACGCTATTCGAAGGGGGACTTTCGCATCGCGCGAATGAAGAAGATACCAGTACGCATCCGGATGCTGTCGCGCCAAACACACAGGACGTCGAGACAGGACCACCATTTGTGAAGAAGCTAGAATCACCATCGTAAGTCTCCGAGGCCGACAGTGCGGACCGGAAGTATTTACCATACACAGATACTAATGTGCCGCCAGATAACACCCCTTCGGTTGGGACGATAGACGCGATCTTTGGAGCGGTCGTCAGCAAGAACACCATCTGGGTATCGCTCATCATGCCGTTTTTGCTGTCGTAGAATTCGACTATGGTGAAGCCAGCACGATCTACCGTGGGTGATGGACAAGATACAGCGTTGATTTTTGTACCCATCACCGTACTGTCTGAACCAGACAACGTCGATCGGATATCGCTCGAAGCGACAGTTTTCGCAGTAGTGAAAGTTTCTCCCCACCGACACTTCTGGTATGTGGTTGCTACGTTCACACTACTCAACGAAGAGAAGTCGACGCCATCCAACGTCACCGTGACGTCCCCGTCGATCCAGGCTCTTGATGGTGAGATGCTCCTGACCGTTGCCCGGAATGCAACACCGTACATACCAGTGACATCGATGGGCGCACTCGAAAGAGAGGTTGAAGCGTCAAAGGTAGCACCAGTGAACGCTATGATATCCGTTATCGTCGTCGACGACGCTCTGAACAAAATGATGTCCTCGTTACCTTCTTGAGAAGGCACAGCCGTGGCGTCATAGTTGATCGACAGTTGAACGGGTTCGTTGAAAGTGAACCCACTCGGAGTAAGAGACATCAAGTAAGGTGAGACACCGAGGATGTTGATGTTCCAGCTGTACCAGAGAGTGTTCTTCAGACTCGTCGTCGACGTCACTGAAGTTAAGCTCGATGTTATAGTTTGAAGCCAAGGCACAGTGCCTTCGGCGAATAGCGCAGTCGACTTCGAATCATCACCATACAAGACGCCTCCGGCATAGCCCACTACGCCATTCAATATAATGTAGGTAAACGTGGTCGGAATTGCGAAAACGACGCGCTCCGAGCCCGTCGTCGTGCTGAATCCGTAAGCATCGTATCTGAGTGCACTGTTTGTTCCATCCCATGCCACTATTGTCGTGAACGCCCCCCCCAACTCATGCCTCTCCACGCTCGCAGAAACATCACCATACGACTCGAGTTCATACACACCGGGCTTCACTTGGAGATCCATAGTCATTTGATCCGTGGAATTAACTAGTGCAATTCCGTACAGATTGGTGAAGTTGTCTGCGTGACCGATAATGGAGCCGTAATCGTACCATGACTCCGCCGACGCACTCGCATTGAGAGTGACTCGCACGGACGGCATGAGAAAACACGCGTTCAGCTCGTCCGATTCGACGGCGTTTGAATCATACGATGTATACGATGGCTCAACGCAGCCAGGACCGGTGACACGAGCTTTCTTCATGCCTTCATCGCTGGCTTGAGTCGAGTTGTAGATCCAGTACGTGATGCCAACAGATCCGAGTCCGCTCTGACCCTCAATCGTGGTCAGTGACGCGTTGAGTGCTCCATAAAAGTACGCCGTGTATATCGCGCTGGGGTAAGCGACGAACTCGAAATCAATCGTTTGTTCGTGTCCGTCCTCACCACTTTCGGGTTCAAACGAGTCCGAAACGTAAATCCCTGGTCCTTCAAATTCGTACACCGCGTGATCGATAACACCAAAGGCCTCCACGGTGAAAAGTAATTTCACCCCAGTCACGCACGATCCATCATCGCTCGTTGCAAATGGATTATAGTTTGGAGACGAAGAATCGGTACAACCGGGTCCACTGATCTTGAATGTTCGTGACAACGAATCCGATGCGGTTGACCCGGTGTAACCTATGTACAAAAAATTGTTTGAATCCTTAACTGTAGCTTGCATGGCGCCCTCGAACCGGACGAAATATTCGACCGATGGGTATGCGCACATAGTTAGCTCGTGAACCTCACCCACGTATGTCAAAATTCCCGAGAAATGAGTCGTTTCATTGTATGGAGGCCCGTCTACAGAATACGATCCGTACTCCTCTATCACCAAATCGTGACTCTCCTGCGATTTTTCAATGTTTGCCACCGAATGCATCGTGAAAGTGATGTCCACAGGAGCCTCGAATCGCGCTTTTCTGATGGCGTGATTGCTACGATCAGCGACTATGTACGTCGCGCTGCCTATGTAGGACACCGCCTCTGGATTGTAGAACATCGCCGCGCTTCCCACGGCGTCGTCTCGGAAACCCGCTGTCCCTGTGTAACTACCCGCCACTGTCACTACGGTCGCAGCATTGCCAGCCGTAGAATCGTTCAAAATAAGTTTTCTAAGTTGATGCGTTCCTGCATCGGAAACCAGTAGTACGCCGCTACTCAAGGCTGAGTCGTAATTGTAAGCGATCCCTACCGGATCGTTGAAACGCGCCGGCGTTGAAAGCACCCCATCCTTATTCAGCGTGCTTGCATTCAAAGCGGGTGAACCATCTCCTAAGACCGTGGTCACCACTCCTGTCGAAAGATCGATCATTCGAACAGCGTGGTTTCCCGTGTCCGCGACGTATAATTTGGAGTTCAAGCTATCCAGAGCCAAACCTCTAGGCAAGGTGAAACGCGCACTCGTTCCCGTATTGTGGTCAACAAATCCCGAAGTTGTCTGAGATCCGGCGATCGTGGTCACCGCGAGAGTACTGACGCTTATTTTCATCACTCCGTGCTGGCTTTGACCCAAAACATACATGTCTCCACCGTTGCTCTCATCGACCACCAGCTCGATCGGTGCGAACGGCAACGACGCGACCACCGTGGTCACGTCTCCATTGGATATGTTCCTCACCGCTTTATTACCGGTATCGGCCACGAGCACGTCTCCTGATGCGAGCAAAGCCACGCTCGTCGGACCTTTAAACAGTGCCTGCGTTTCGCCCAGTTCTGCGTTCGCCGACGTCTTCCCATCCGTCGACCCCTCGGTGCCGTTCCCGGCGAAATTCGTCACCTCGCTCTTTCCCAGATCGATCACTCGCACGACGTTGTTCCCACTGTCGCCCACGACACACGTGGACGCGTTGCACGACACCCCAGCAGGCGAGGACAGAAAACTCCTTTCAAACCGACCGTCTCGATTCCCGCTCACGCCCGCGCCCACGACGGTGGACACCACCGCCTTGTCGTGGCAATCGCGCACGTCGAACGTCGCGTGAACGCCAACGAGGAGCCCGAGGACGCACGTGAGGACGCGAGAGAGAAACTTCGCCGAGGGAGAATCCGTCCGACGACGAGGCCGCGGCATATTGTTCAAAGTTTACTCTCGCTCGCTCTACGTACTCTTAGTCGACGATCGAATCGTGTACGCGCGAGCGCATGAATGTGATAGCATGGCGGACTTTCAGCTGCCGTCCCGCTCGACGGAAGCGTCGAAGGTCGAGCGCGCTGGCGACTGAGGCGTGGGGTTGACGGGCAACCGACTCGAGCGGCGTTCGCGGTGGACGACTTTCGCGGTGGACGACGTGTGGAAAGACGAGACCGCTTCATCGAAACGAGAGGTCCAGGTGTGCGCGTGAACTGTTTTGGGTGAGGTTTATTCAGTCCTTGGCGTACTGACAACGATTGTTAATGTGTACGAGTAACGCTTTAGGCGCCGGCGTTAATTTCCTTCATGGCGGAAGCTTGTTCGATACCCATAGAGCACAAGATGGTGACCGCAACTTCCTTGCCTTCATCAAACGCCACACGAATTTGTTCAGCTAACTTGTCCGCATCATCGTGACCACTCGGGAGCTTCAAGTCCTCGCGCGTGTCACCGTTTTCAGCCATGAGAGACATGTGGTCGTCCTCATCGATGTCCAAGAGCGTGTATTCCACGCGGTTCACGATCGGCACTTCAAGGTTATGGGAAGACGGTACGAGTTCTTCGACCTTCTTATTCGTGAAAATGTCCAAGGCAAAGAAGTGGCACTTGGCGTGACCGTGCTTACCCGTCTTCGACGTCGTGACGTCGAGAACCTTGGTCGGTCGGCCCTTAACAACCTATATCGTGCGCAAAAACGCGCTCACTCGTCAGTTTATCGCGTCGTCGTTATCGCAGTTTTTCGCCCTCGGCGCCCGCCCACCCGCGCTCGCTCGCCTGTACCGCGCACCGTGCGCCCCGGGAGGGTTTCTAGCTCCTTAAACCCCACGCTCGACAGCGCGCGCGGCTCTCCCGCCATCCCCCGCGCGCGCGTCGCCGACACGACGCGATCGACCTCGAGAAGGATTTCTCCTCGTTCCGTTTCCCTCCTCGACGCCCCAGCGCGCGCGTCGCGCGTCCCAAGAGCACGCGCGGATCGATTCTCCCGCCGCGCCACCGCGACCCTCTCCCGCGAAACGCGCACGCGCGCGACGAGCTCGCGCGCACGCACGATGAAACCGCCCTTACGAACGGAACCCGCTTGCATCGGCACCGTGTGCGAGGCGCCGGCATCGGCGGACTCGAAGGTTTCGACTTCGTGCTCGGCGTCGGACATGTGTGCGTCTAGGTGTGGCGGAGGTCGGTGGGCGTCGCCAAACCCTCGCGACGCGCGCCCGCCCGGTGGACGCGCGCCGACGAGAGATCGGTCGATGCCGCGCGAGAAAGGAGGATCGATCGAGGTGATGCTCGAGGCGTCGCCGGTCGAGTCGTTCCTTTCGAATGTGCTTTCGACCGCTCGGGCGCGCGAGGGCGGGACGCGTCGACGACGACGACGACGACGACGATCGTCGGCGTCTCGACGGGCGCGCGCGCTCGACCGTCGATCGATTCGCGCGCTTCACGACGCGCGTCGCGAGCGGTGCGGTGGAACGGGCGACGCGCGATGGCGAGCGACCGGGACGGGTACTCGACGTGGTGTCGGTACGGTGGGAAGTTTCTCAGCGCCGCGGAGGCGCGAGCTTTAGACGACGATCTCATCGCTGGCGTTGGATGCGAGGCGTCGACGTTGGAGGCGCTCATGCGTCGAGCAGGGGAACAGGCGGCGTCGGCGACGTTGGAGCGGGCGCGAGACGCGGAGACGTTCGCGGTGCTGTGCGGACCGGGAAATAACGGTGGTGATGGACTCGTTCTCGCGCGAGCGTGCGCGCTTCGACGAGAGGGGGTGCGCGTGGTGGTTTGGTATCCGAAGGGTCCGGGGAAGAGCGAGTTGTACGCGAAGTTGGTGGAGGAGTGTCGAGCGACGCGAAACGTGCGCTTCGCGGACGAGGCCGAGATCGTCGATCTCTTGCGCGAGGCGAGCGGAGATCGAGCGGGTACGTCGACGTGTTGTTTCATCGATGCTTTGTTTGGTTTTTCGTTTCGCGGAGCGGTGCGCGAGCCGTACGTGAACGTCATGAAGTTGTTGACGGCGCTCACGAGTGAGTCACGCATTCGGGACGTCGGAGTCGTTCGCACGGTGAGCTTGGACATTCCGTCGGGATGGAGCGTCGACGGGGCGCCAAATACGGATGATGTGTTCATCCCTGATCTCCTCATTTCGCTCACCGCGCCGAAGCGTTGCTGTGCAACGTTTGACAATCCAGCTCTCGGCGAGGCGCCCGCTCGTCTGCGACGCATGGCTCAAACGCACGTTGTCGCGGGGACGTTCCTTACGGATGAGCTGTGCGAACGGTACGGTCTATACGCGATACCGCTTCGACGTGGTTCTGAGATTGATTTCGCGCCGTTAGATTTGTCGAGACGCGACGAGAGTTAGCCTGCAAGCATCGAGCACGAATTTAGAAATATCGACTTATGACTTGTTACACGAACTGTGAAACGCTGCTGTACACCCTGAACGAGTTCGCCATGCGCTCAATGTTCTTCTTATCGCGGTTAAACTGCGATGCCGGCGCGGTGATGACGAAAGCGAACAATCTACCTGTGTTGTCAATGCTGATCTTCACCACGTACTTTCGATCGGCGTCAACCTCAAACAAGGCGTACTCGCGTCCGTCTTCCTTCGCTCTCTTGGTCGAGATCTGTCCGGCCGTGATAGAATCTTGCATATCACTCAACGCGCCCGCGACTGCCTGCAAAGCGGCCTCAGTGAGCGCGAACGACGCCCCGTCTTGTCCCGCCGGATTGAGCGTCAAGCAATACGCCTTCACCGCTCCCTTCGTCCCGGACTTCACGAAACGCGAGTCCTGTCCCCCGCTCCCCTTCTCCACCTTACTCGTCGCCTCTTCGACCCATCCGTCCGGGACTTCGTACGAGTACTTCGCCAGAGCTTTGGTCGTGCCACCTATCGATCCGTACGTCGCCGGCGGATTCGCCGCGCCGTAAAACGTCGTGAACTCCCCCTCGCTCGCCACCTCATCGCTCGCCGCCGTCCCGTACGCAGCGGTCGCTTCTCTCGCCATCATCGTTGTCGTCGCGATCGCCCCACCGATCGCTAATCCGAACGCACGTCGCGAACGAGGAGGCGCGAAGGCGAACGATCCTCGGATTTCGATCGACGACCCATCGCGCGCGCGTTCGGCGTCGTCGTGCGTCGCTCGTATCGGCGCGAGGCGCGAGCGACGGGGGCGTTCGGTCGACGCGCTTAAGCGCGCCGCGATGATAGGCGAAACGCGAGCGAGCATCAAGGAGACCGCGCGTCCGTGTTTGACGAAATATCGCGATTGACACGTCGGATTTTTTTGGACGCGCAGCGCTCTGCACCTCTTTGTTACACGACGCGTCTACGAGACGTCGGCGTCGATAATATCGACGTCGGCGTCGACACGGTTAAAGGTATCGATAGTGTGGTTGGCGACCAGGGCCGGGATGGAGTTGAGACGCGTGACGAAGGTATCGACGGAACGCTTGATGTCCGGCGCCTCGACAAAGGCGTTGGATTTGAGTGAAACAGCGATCGTTTTTTCGTTGTACGTGAAGACAAACGCATCCGTCGGTTTCTCGGCGTAGTCGGAGAGGAGGGTAAACGTCACAGCACCGTCATTTTCGTCCTTCATTTCGATCTTGTAACCGAAAATTTTGTGACACGCCTTGCGGAAGTTGTTTGACGCGCGGCTGAAAGACGTCATGAGGCGTTGCTCGCGCTTCTCCAAGTTTTCACATTTACTCTTCCAGACGGTCGCATCGGCGTCGCTCGCAGACGTGGCAGATCCATCTTGCATTTTAGACATCGCTTTACGCAGTCCATCGACCTCGCTTCGCAGCAAGTCCAACTCCTTTTCCAAAGCGCTCTGCCTCGCGGCGGCGACAGGATTGTTCTTGAAGTGAAGCACCTTGACGTCTTTCGGGTCAAAGTCTCGCGAGCTCAACTTTCGCGCGAGATCGTCACGCTCACGTTCTAGCGCTTCGATGATCTCGTCCGTATCTGGCGTTTGCGTCGGAGCTGCGGTGGCAGAAGCGGCGGCAGCCTCCGCTTTCGCCTCGGCTTGCTTCACGTCATCCTCAAGCGCGGCTATTTTCTTCTGCGCAGCTGCGAGCGACTTCTCGAGCTCTTCAGTCGCTCGCTCCATCTCCAGTTTACTCTGATGTTTCTCCGTGCTCTTCTTTGCCGCCGCGGCGTTCATCTCGTCTTCGTAAGACTTGACAATCTTGTTCAAACTCTCCAGCTCCCTATTCATGACAGAGATTTGACGTTCGGCGCACGCGAGCGCTTCAACCGCGCTCGAGGAGCTCGCCTCGGCTTTTCGATGCTTTTCTTCAGCCTCCGCGGCGCGACGCGTCGCAGCAGCCTCGTTCATCTGCGCCTCCGCGAGATCAGACATCATCTTTCCTTGATCGCCAGCTTGCGTTGTGAGGCGAGTCTCGAGCGCGATGACACGCTCAACGAGATCGGATGGCACCTTGACACTACCTGAGACGCGATCGATGACGGCAACCCAATCACTTTCGAGGTACTCCAGTTTCGCTAATCTCGCTTGCATGGACGACGTGTCGATCACGCTCGCTTCGGCTCGAAGTGCGCGGGCCTCGGCGGCCATCGCGCGCTCTTCGCACGTCGCGGCAAACTCCGCCTTGCGCCGTAACGTCTTCACCTCATCCGCCTCTCGAGAAGCGATCCTGAGCTCTTCTTGCAAGGCTTTATTCGTAAATCGTAACTCTTCCATCTCAGATGACGAATCCCGCGCATCACCGCCGCTCTTCTCTTCGTCCATTTGTTTTCTCATATCAAGCACCGCCGCCTCCGCCTGAGCGACCAAAGCTTCGCACTCACGGAGCGCCTCCTCAGCTTGGTTCGCTCGCGTCGTCTCCGCCTCGCATTGCGCCTCGATTCGACCCAGTTTCATCTTCATCTCGGCGTTTTCGCTCTTGAGGCTTGATATTTCGTCTCTCTGCTCGGCGGCGGCGCACTCAAACTCAGCGGCTCGTTCTGAGAAATCCGCGACGTCTTCATCCGATGAATCTTCCTGCAGTCTCTCGCGCTCGGCGCTCGACCGTAACTGTTTGTGTTCATCTTTGAGCTTGGACAAGTCCGACGCGAGCGCCTTAGCCTGCGATTCTGCCTCGCACGCGCGATCAATCTCGCGCTCGAGAGCCAACATGTTAGCCTGACGTTCTTCGGCGATTTCGCTTCGCATCCGATCCTTGATCTTTTCGTGCTCGGACTTCATCTCGCGCAGAGCGTTCACCTCAGCCGTTGTTGCCGAGAGAAGCGACTCGGCTCGCTCCGTTTTCTCCCTCAGCGCTCGCACTTCGCGCTCGAACTCGATCAATTTGTCACCTCGTCTTTCAAACTCGGCGACGAGAGTCGACTTCACCATGTTCGTCGCCTCGTATGCGTTCACCATTGCGGTCCCGCCTCGAACGATCTCCATCTCATCATCCATGTGCCGATCGTCTCCCGACGAGTGAGCGACGTCGTTTCTTTGCGTTGCCTCTGTCTTCTTCGCCGCCGAGCGCGAAGTCGTCGGAAGCGCGCGCGTCGCCCTCGAAGCACTGCCCTCTCCCGCATCCGCGCTCGCTCGACGCGTGCTGCGCGGTCGTGACCGAGCTGTGCTATGTGCGACGTCTTTTGCTGGCGATCGCGCGCGCTTTCGAGCGCTCTGCGTCCCAGAATCCGTCGCCGCGGACGTCTCGGCGTCAACGCGAGCGCTGAGGCGTCCGCTTCGCCGCGTCGTCGTGGGCGACATCAGGCGCGAGGAGAACCACCAAAGATGCCGCGCGTCAACGACGTCGACGTTGAAATGCGCACGCGTCGCGATGTGTCGAGGCGAGCGCGCGTTGGACGCTTTGGAAGTCGAGACGCGCCGAGTAGTAGCTTCGCGCGGAGGACTTCATCGAGCGCGTCGCGTTGAAGCGCTAATGATCGAATCTCGTTCATCGAAGTAAACTCTGATTCTCGAATTCTCTACTACAACCGCCTATTGCGTGAGGAGGTTCGCCGCGGTGGCGCTGTCGTACTTGAACGTCGGCTCCAACTTCTTGGCGAGCTTGTAGTAGCGCGCCAAGCGGTGGATTCGAGATTCGATCAAAATGAGACGGAACTTGCTATCCATATCCTTACGGTTGCGCTCCAAGTGCTTGCGCACGCTCACCGCCTTCTTGATCAAGCAATAGAGATCCTCCGGGATCGCCGGCGCAAGCCCTTGTCCGCGGAGGATGCGCAAAACCTTCGAGTTCGTCACCGACCCCACCTGCGCGATGCCGTGGTTATCGCGGAGGACGACACCGATCTGCGACGGCGTCATGCCCTTCTTCGCCATCTTCGTGATCAGCTCCGTGACCTCCGTCGGGGTGATCTTCAACCAGCTCGGCGCCGAGCGCTTGTAGGGCAGGGCGGAGCCGCTCATGCCCTTACCGGGCGTGTGCATGCGACCCATGTTTACTGTCTCGCGTGCGTTGAAACGAAAGAGGGTTTACACGCGCGTCGATTCGTTCGACGACGGAGTGCGTCCGACGACGAGGTCGCGCGACGTGGAGAGACGGCGCGCGCGATCGACGACGCGCAGATTAGGGCTTTCGCCGCGCGTGCCCGGGGGGACGATTCACCGTTCGTGACTCGTCGTGAGCCCCAGTGTCACGAGTCACGACTCGTCGATCGGTCCGATGCCGCGATCCCCGTCGCGCGCGTCCAGGTCGGCGCGGCGCGATCGACGGCCCCGGCGCGACACTCCGGCGACGACGCGCGATGCTTCGCGCGTTGGCGAACAAGGTGGCGATGACGGCGATGCGTCGCGGCGAGGTGCGCGCGCGCGCGCGACCGAGCGACGGGAAAGCGCGACGACGCGGGCGATCGACCGAGCGAACGACCGAGCGATCGAACGCGCGCGTCGAGGGATGAAGAACGGAGACTGACGAGACCACGCGCGAATCCGCAGGGTTCCTTCGCGCGCGCGTCGTCCACGGGCGTGATCACAAACTTGGAGAACGCCACCGGTCTGTACAAGGAAGAGCTCGAGGGGAAGCTGAGGGGGGAGGACATTTTCGACCACCACGCCTTCCTTCGCGCGCCGCAAGGCACGGAGGAATCTCCGTGCGTCGTGGAGTCCACGATGGAGTACCGCGTCGTGGGATCGCCCGATCCCGACGATGACTCCATCATTCACTGGGGTCGTCTCGAGGAGGGGGCGCCGCCAATGAAGATAGGTAGCGAGTGGTTTGTGCACAAGCGCGTCGCGGGAGGCGGACACCACTGAGACTTAATTGCCTCGATGTAACAAAATGAGATCAGACGATGATGCGAGACTTATTTGAAGAGTAGAGAAGAACCTTGGCGCTGACCAAAACCGCTCGTCGGGCGTCACCAGTCAGCGCAAGCTTACTCGAAGAGCGGACGTCCGCACACAAACACATAAAAAAGTGAAATTTGATGCATATTTAATTGAGAAGAGCACTATCAAAAAGTGGAGTCGCCAGGTATCGATCCCGGTACCTCGCGCATGCTAAGCGCGCGCTCTACCATTTGAGCTACGACCCCGGTGTAGTTCGTGGACGTTTTAGCCCATCAACCACGCCATTGAAGACGTTGTGCGATAAAAAGAAACCGGTCATCCCCAACGCCTTGGTTTCGTAAATGTTACGGGTGGAAGCGGCCTAGGGGCGGTCGGTGCGCGGTCGTCGTCGACCGTCAAAGACGACGCAGCGACCGCGCGGCGTCCGCGGATGAATGGAGAGCGGCGTTCGGCATCTCGACGTCGCCGAGGCGTGGCCCACGAACGCGCTTCGTGATTTCGACGCGTCGCTCCGTTGCGCCATCTGCTCGGACTTTTTCGAGCTCCCGGTGAGTTTCCGAGCGTGTAGGCACGCGTTTTGCTCCGCGTGCGCGCGACGGTCGCTCCCGGTACTGGAGACGTGTCCGATGTGTCGCGAACCGGCGACGGAGGGGGATCTCATGCCGAATAAGGCGCTTGAACACGCGGTGGAGTGCTTCAAGAGAGTGCGCGACGAGCTGTTGGAGGCGACGCTCTCCGGTGAGGCGGCGCCGAGCGCGACGGCGGCGCGACCCGAGAGAAAGGTGAGGAATCAGCGACAGCAATCACTCGTCTCGACCGAGGTGAACTCTGACTCGGAGGACTCGGACGCGCCCATCGTCTTATCGGGTGGCGCCGAGAACGCGCGAGCCGAGGCGAGGAGCGCGCCGTGTCCGGTGTGTAACGCCTCGATCGCGATGAACGCGATGAATACGCATTTGAACACGTGTTTGGTGCGTCGAGAGGCATTATCGAGCCCGTCGCGGAAGCGCGAACGCTCGGGCGAGGGCGCCGGGAGCGAGATTTTGCAGAAGAAAATGCCAAAGCTCGCCTACCACTTGTTCACACTGAACAAGCTTCGAGAGATGTGCAAAAACGCCGGATTAGCCGCGAACGGGGACAAAAAGCAGCTCGAAGCGAGACATAAGGAGTTTACGACGCGAGTGAACGCAATCATAGAGTACGGACGAGTACCCGATCTCGCCGCGATTGCGCGCGAGGTGAATCGCGAGGAGGCTCGAAAGGTGGGCGCGGGTGCCAAGGCGCGCATGTTCGGCTTTGCCGCTGTCTCAAACGGGAAGACGAGCGATAACAGCAACGCCGTCTTCGCTAAACTCATCGAGGAGGTTCGAAATAGAAGTAAGACGAGTTCGACCGCCAGCGGGAAGGACGTTGCTGAGCCGACGAGAATCGTGGACGACGCCAGAATGGATAACCACCACGATGACGAAGAAGAAGCAGAAGAAGAGAGATCGCTCTCTGAGGATGAGATATTGCCGCTTAGTCAGGCTGCTCCGCGATACGTGCCGACAGATGATGACGAAGAGTAGATTCTAGATGTAAAAGTACAATTCCTTGTTGAAAATCATCGTAGCTCGCCGACAGGCGCTTCGGCGAACCAGAGGTCGCGGATGAAATCGTAAAGCGCCGCGGACACGCTCACTTTGTAAGGTGTTGGGTTGGTGTACCTGAGATGATCCGCGCGGAGCTGGTGAATCGACTCTTTGCATCGTCGCCGAGACGTCTCGAGGGTCAAGTCCAAACTCTCTTGCGTGCCGTGCTCGCGGTCCCAAACCAAATTAAAAAGCGGCTCCACCTTGGATGGAACGACGTACGCGCGCTTACTTTCCTCGAACGGGTGTCGAATCAACATGCGTTCGCCGACTTTAGGTGCAGGTTCGTCGTCGCGCGTCATCACGTCGACGATTGCCTCGCCAGTTTGCGAGAATAATCGATAGCCCTTCTTCCTTCCCGGAATTGTCACTTTGGCGATGTCTTCACTGAGTTTGATGCGTGGAGTATCGTCGATCTCGACGAGCTTGTACACACACCCGAGTGCTGGTTGCTCGTAGCACGTCACGAGGTGCGTTCCGATGCCAAAGGCGTCGATCTCGTGACCGTGCTGACGCAGTGAGTACAACACTGCCTCATGAATGTCATTCGACGCCGTGATGGAGACCTCACTCAGCCTGTCGGCGATTTTCGTACCAAGTAATCTCTCAATACTCTGCAAGAACGATCGGGTTTGTTTACTGAGGTAAGATAAGTCGCCGCTATCGAGCCTAATGCCCACCGCAGAGTACCCGAGCTCACGAAGCGCCAACGCCACGGCGCAAAAGTTTGGCAAACCGCTCTTCAAGACATTATACGTGTCCACCAAGGCTAAGAACGACCCCGGAAAGGCCAATGCATACGTGGTAAACGCCGCGAGCTCGCTTGTATTCGTATCGGTCCAACGAAGCTCAAGATCCATATCGTCTCGAAGCGCCTCCAACTGCTTCAACTTCTCCATCACGAGCGCGGGGAAGTCATCGCACGTCGTCGAGCCGTCGGCGCTCACCAACTTTGGATTTTTTACCGTCGACCACGACGCGTGCGATTGCACGTACGAGTGCGCGTGCGTACCCTTGATCGGTATTCCGAACTGCCTCCCGGCCTCGACGTTGCTCGTCGCGTCGAAACCGCCCAGGTACGAGTACCGACTCGCGGAGATCCCCCCATCCACCCCTTGCGCCCGCCTCAGCCCGAATTCCAGCAACTGCGCATCCTCTCCCGCGACCAAGCGATGCCTCGCCGCGTTCGTCGCCACCAAACTCGCGTAATTCACCAAGCAAAGCAGCGTCGTCTCGAACAGCTGCACCGTCGCTAGCGGTCCCTCCAACCTGAGCAAAGGAACGCGCGGGAACACCACGCTCCCCTCGAGTTGGCCGTACACCCTCACTTTGCTCGCGTCGAGTCCTAACAAAAAATCAAAAAACTCTCCCTCCATGTTCGCCCCGATCGACGTCGAGCGCAGGTACGCGCAGTCCGCCTCCGTGAATGCGAAATTGCTCAAGAATCGCAGAGCCTCCTCCAAACCTGCGAAAACGGTGAACTCCCCGTCGAACGGGTTCTTTCGAAAGAAGAGTTCAAACGTCGCGCTTCGCTCGTGCGTGCCGTTCTTCCAGTACGCGTACGCCATCGTAAGCTGATACGTATCGGTGAGCAGGGCGGTGACGAGGGCGTTGTGACACGGCGGTAAACGCCCTTTGCGTCGCATATCGGCGTCGACATCGACGCCGTTGACGCGCTCGTCGACGCGCGCGCGCTTGCCCGTCATTTCACCCGTCTCGCGACGCCCGATCGTCGCCGTGTGCGGCGATGCACGAACGCACACTGAACGCGATCGTCCCAGTCGTCACTTCAAAGCGCGTCGCGAGCGCAACATGTCGCTCGCGAGGGACCAACCTCGAACCGGAACCACGATCGTGGCGTGTGAGTACGACGGTGGGGTCGTTCTGGGCGCGGACACGCGCGTGAGCACGGGTACGCCGGGCGACGCGAGGGATTTTGAGACTAGATTTCAGATTTCGCTGACGAACGAGTCAGCGCTTCGTTTCGACGCGCGGCGACGCCTCGTGAACGCGCGTGGGCGAGCGACTGACGTTCGTTCAATCGCATAGGAGTGTACGTGTCGAACAGGGCATCGGATAAGATGATGGCGTTGAGCGAGTGCGCGATCATGTGTCGGAGCGGAAGCGCCGCGGACACCGAGGCGCTCGGCGGATTCGTGCGAAGAGTCGTCGAGGAGCGCGAGGTCGAGCACGGTGAGCCCGCGGACGTGAAGACGGTGGCGACCATCGCGACGAAGATCGCGTATCAGAACAAAGGGATGAACCAAGGAAGAGGTCTGAGCGCGTACACCATCGTCGGGGGTTGGGACAAGCGAAACGGCCCTCAGGTGTACGCGAGCACGGCGGGCGGAAACATGGTGAAGGAGCGATGGACCACCGATGGGAGCGGTTCGACGTATATTTGGGGTTTCTTAGACGATGGTTGGCGCGAGGGGATGACTCGAGAGGAGTGCGAGGCGTTCGTCGCCAGGGCGATCGCGCTCGCGATGTCCGTGGACGGCTCGAGCGGCGGTTGCATTCGCCTTAACACGGTGGACAAAAGCGGGATCACTCGAACCTTCATCCAAGGCAACGACATCCCGCCCGTCCTGGGAGAGCTTCCGCAGGTCAGAGGTCGACCCGAAATCGCGCGTCACGGCCACCAGGGCGCTTCGGGGGGCATGATTTTGTAATCACATCGTCGACGCTCGCTTCGCTTTCGCTCCGCTTCGCGCGCGCGTTGAACGGCGACCCCACATCCTCTCCCCTCTCACGCCACCTCTTCGCGTCGCCCGACGCACGAACGCGCGCAAGGGTGAGATCTTAGATTATCAAACGCACCCGTGACTCTCGGTCGTCGAAGGACGCTTTGAACCGCCCGCAGCGTCGACGCATTCATCGATTTCGTCCGCCGCCGCAATGAGCGAGCGCGATGAAAAATCACCAAAGAAGCCGAAGACGACGTGTGTGGACGAGCGCGGGGGCACGAACCCGCACACCGGACTCGCGCTAAGCGATAGGTACTATGACATCCTGTCCAAGCGCAAGACCTTACCGGTGTGGTTGCAGAAGGAGGAGTTCGCGGCGACGCTCGCGAAGAACCAGACTATGATTCTTGTCGGGGAAACGGGGAGCGGGAAGACGACGCAAGTGCCGCAGTTTGTCGTTGATTCGGGATACACGACGGATGGGAAGATGTGTGTGTGCACGCAGCCGAGACGTGTTGCGGCGATGAGCGTGGCGAAGCGCGTTGCGGATGAGATGGACGTGAATATTGGAGAGGAGGTGGGGTACTCGATTCGTTTCGAGGAGGCGACAGGACCGAGGACGGTTTTGAAGTACGCCACAGACGGTATGCTCCTCAGGGAGGCGATGACAGATCCGCTCTTGTCGAGGTACTCGGTGATTGTGATCGATGAAGCGCACGAGCGAACGCTGGCGACGGACATTTTGTTTGGTTTATTGAAGGAGATTTTAATCAAGCGCAAAGACTTGAAGTGCGTGGTCATGTCCGCCACGCTCGAGGCGGAGAAGTTTCAGGGGTACTTTTTGGACGCACCGCTCATGAAGGTGCCCGGTAGAATGCATCCGGTGGAGATATTTTACACTCAGGAACCGGAGCGAGACTATTTAGAGGCGTCCATTCGAACGGTGACGCAAATTCATCAGTGCGAGCCCCCGGGAGACATTTTGTTGTTCTTGACGGGTGAGGAAGAGATTGAGGATGCGTGCGGAAAGATTCGACGAGAGATTCAGAACTTGGGCGACGAAGTTGGAGTGGTGAACGTTGTTCCACTCTATGCTACGTTGCCGCCGGCGATGCAGCAGAAGATTTTCGACAAGGCTCCGGAGGGGAAGCCAGGGAAGCCGCCGGGACGCAAAATCGTCGTCTCCACCAACATAGCCGAAACCTCGTTGACGATTGATGGTATCGTGTATGTGATCGATCCGGGGTTCTCCAAACAGAAGGTGTTCAACCCGAGGATTCGCGTTGAGTCGCTCCTCGTTTCGCCCATCTCTCGAGCCTCTGCACAACAGCGAGCTGGTCGTGCCGGTCGTACGCAGCCGGGTAAGTGCTTCCGTTTGTACACTGAGCAATCCTTCAAGAAGGATTTGCAAGAGCAAACCTACCCGGAGATTTTGCGTTCGAATCTCGGGAGCGTGGTCCTGCAGCTCAAGAAGTTGGGCATAGATGATTTAGTGCACTTTGATTTCATGGATCCGCCAGCGCCAGAGACGCTGATGCGGGCGCTAGAGTTGCTCAACTATCTGGGCGCTCTGGACGACGACGGCGAGCTCACAACTGTTGGTCAAGTCATGGCGGAGTACCCTTTGGATCCGCAGCTGGCAAAAATGCTCGTCACCTCGTGCGAATTTAAGTGCTCCAATGAAGTTCTGTCCATCGTTGCCATGCTCTCCGTTCCGCAGGCGTTCATTCGCCCGAGAGACCAAGCTGAGCAGGCAGACGCGGCAAAGGCGCAGTTTGCTCACGTGGATGGCGATCACCTGACACTACTGAACGTCTACCACGCCTACAAGCAGGCTAAGGAAGATCCGGATTGGTGCTGGAACAATTACATCAGTCATAGAGCGATGAAGAGTGCGGATAACGTGCGTACGCAACTCGTGCGCATTTGCCAGCGCTTCAACCTGCCGCTGGTGAGCACGGATTTTGCTGCTCGAGATTACTATCCAAACATTCGAAAGGCCATCCTGAGCGGTTACTTCATGCAAGTCGCGCACCTCGAGCGTGGTGGACGCTACTTGACGGTCAAGGATAACCAGGAGGTGATGCTGCACCCGTCCACGTGCCTCGACCGCAAGCCGGAGTGGGTATGCTACAACGAGTTCGTCCTGACGTCGAAGAACTACATTCGCACGTGCACGGACGTCCGAGGCGAGTGGCTCATCGATCTCGCCCCGCACTACTACGACTTATCAAACTTCCCAATGTGCTCTGCCAAGGAAGTGTTGAAGCGATATTACCACCAGCGCGATCGAGACGCGAAAAAGTAGAGCACTAGACTTGACATGTTTATCGCGTGCACGAAGCGTCGAGCCGCCGCCTCGCGTCCCCACTCGCCCACTCGCATGTACGTCGATGGTGCGTCCACCACGCGTCGAACCGCGTTCAGGGACGCTGAAAAGAGATACCAGCTCAAGCTCGTCGAGCAGTTCCGCGTGAGCGCGAACGGGAAGAGACGCGGCGGGCGATTCGTCGCCGAACCGACGGACCTGAGCGACGTACTTGACTTTTCGGTCGACGACGAGCGCTCGAGTCGCCGCTCGCTCGTCTCCACGAGTGGAACGACGGAGACGTACGCAATTGATGGGCACCCAGGATTTTATTACGTGAAGAACGCGCTCTCGGCGGAGGAGCAGAGGACGTGGGTGCGTGCGGCGGTGAGCGAGCTGTGCGAGCCGCCAGCTCGGACGAATTTCGCGAAAGAGTTGGGGGAGCTCCCGTCAGGGCTATGGAACGCGGTGCAAGAGGATTTGATGCTCTTCGACGGTGCGTGGGCGCGTCCGGGGCGAGAGGTGAAGCGGGGTGACGCGGAGGAGCGATTCTTTGCTCGGCACTTGCTGAAAAAGTTGCGATGGGCAACAGTCGGTGCGCCGTTTGAGTGGACATCTCGCGTGTACGAACCCGACGTCCCCAGACGGGCGATAAGCGATGATTTAGTCGAACTCACTCGACGAATTGCTCGCGCGGCGCCCGAGAAATGGACGTTCGACGCCCAGGCTGGGCTGGTGAACTATTACCAACCGGGCGACACACTTAACGGGCACATGGACGATGCAGAGAACAATTTAGATCGACCCATCGTGAGCATTTCGCTCGGATGTCCCGCGGTATTCTTACTCGGACATGAAAACAGAGATAAGTCTCCTACGGCGATGATCCTTCGATCGGGCGATGCCGTCATCCTAGGCGGCGAATCAAGAAAGTGTTACCACGGCGTGCCACGCGTGTTCGCCTCTGACGAGAGCCTGGAATTCGAGCTCCCGACGTGTTTGCGAGCCGAGGCGTGGGACGACGATGCCTATGCCTCGTATATTTCTCGCGCGCGAATCAATATTAGCATTAGGGACATAGACTAAGACGATTGTTTTGTTGGGTACTATTGGCTGTGACATGACAATGCGAACCGGCGCGGAAAACAAATCATTTACTCCTCCTCTTCCTCTAACTCCTTCTTCTTCTTTTTCTTCTTCTTTTCGGCGTCCTCCTCTTCCTCGTCTTCCGGCTTCTCGCCCGGTTCGCCTGGGTTCTCCTTGCGTTCCTGTGTGGAAGTCGTCAGAATCAAAGTGAAGTTTTCGTACAGATGAAATCGAGCAAACCGGGCGCGACGAGCGCGTCGAACGAAAACCAAATCGTACCTTCTCCTCGGACTCCTCGTCCGGCATCTCCGGGTCGCCCGGCATCGGTCTCGGCATCGGCATCTTAGGCTCCTTCAGATCAGGGAAGATGTCCGGACGCCTCGACGGCACCGCGCGCACGTACTCCTCCGGAAAGTCCAACACCGAGCCCTCCTCCTCCTCAACCTTTGGTTCAGGCGCGTTCCTGAACGCATCAACGACGACGATATCACCCCTTCGTCCCGCTCCATCGACGCTCGCCCTCGACGCGCGCACCCGCACCGCGCGCTGTCGACCTCGAAGCGAAAACCTCAAAGAGCCGTGGTTTCCTGTCGTCTCGCGCGTCGCAACGCCCTTCACCCGCGTCTTCACCGTCGTCCGGGCGTTCATCCCCGCGAGCGTCGCCGTCGTCGTCGTCACGCCGTGCGCCATCGTCTCCAGCGCGCGCGTCACGCGTCGATGAGTGCGGATAAAGCGATAAAGGTCCACGGGCGTCACTCCGAGACGCGCCTCGATGGCCAAGTTTGGTGAAGGGGACGAACGATGGATCGTGGACGAGCGCGCGGACGGCGCGAACGTGCACGGATGGCACTGGGAAGAGAAAGACGCCTTACCCTGGTCCCGCGAGAGACTCGGTGCGCTCTGCGGGGGCGCGGAGGCTAAGAAGGATGCTTTGCTCCAAGCGTTTCCAGAAGTTTCCTTTGTCAAGTGCGTCGGTTTGACCAAGTGCGAGGGCGAGGCGTACGTGAATAAGAGGAAGGGTAAGATCATTCCGGGGTACGAGTTGGAGGTGGAGATCGCGTACGAAGGGGAGTGTCGAGGGAAGGCGTGCGGTGGTAAGGTTAAGATGCCGTACGTGGCGGATGAGAACGCGGACGAGGACCCAGAGTGCGTCGCGGCGCCGGCGTCGGACTCCACCGAGGATTCTATCGTAAGAGAGGCGGTGTTGAAGACGTTGGTGCCGATCATCTTAGAGGGCGTGCGGACGTTCGTGAAGGAAATGGCGAAGGGTGGACCCGGTGGCGACGCACCAGTCAGCGCCGAGGCGGCGGCGAAAGCCGAGGCGGCGAAAGCGGCAGACGCGGCTAAGAAGGCCGCAGCAAAGGAGAACACGCGGAGCGACAAAGCCGCGCCATTATCGCAGAAGAATCACACCATCAAAATCACCGAGAACTTTTACTGTCGACCGAGGGATATCTGCGAAGCACTGATGGACGGTAGCCGAGTGATGCACTTCACTCGTTCGAGGTGCAGCGGTTTGAACGGATCCACAGGAAAGTTTGACATGTTCGACGGTAACATTCAAGGCGAGACCATAGATTACGTCCCCGGGGAGAAGATCGTTCAGAAGTGGCGCTTCAACTCGTGGCCGGACGATCACTATAGCACCGTGACTATAACCTTTCGAGAGCCCGATCCTGGAAACTGTTGGGTTGACCTCGTGCAGACCGACGTCCCGGAGTGCGACAAGTTCGGCAACGAAACAGTGATGGACACCACTGAGAACGGTTGGAAAAATTTGATCTTCGCTCGCATCCGCCAGGTCTTCGGCTACGGCGCGTGAATATACGGATACGTGTCTCACCGCGAACCGCTTGTAACAACCGGGACATCACACAATTTCTTCACAACTCTCCATGTCCTCCGACGCGTTCGCCCAGATCACCTTCGGCGCCGACGGCGCGCAGGGTCACTTCCTCGACGCCCCATCCGGGTCCTCCGCCGCCGTGATCGTGCTCCAGGAGTGGTGGGGCGTGAACGAGACGATTAAAACTCACGCGAGGAAACTACGGGACGACATCGGCGTCGCCGTTCTCGTGCCCGATCTCTACCGGGGCTCCGTCGGCGTCGACGTCGAGGAGGCGCATCATTTGATGAGTAATCTCGACTGGACGCTCGCGACGAAGGAGATCGGTGAGGCGGCGGAGGAGCTTCGAAAGCGTGGGGCAAACAAAGTCGGCGTCATTGGATTCTGCATGGGCGGCGCGTTGACGTTAATCGCGGGTGAGAAGGCGCCAGTAGACGCCATCGCACCATTTTACGGGTACAACGCGGGTGCATGCGACGCGTCGGCGATCGCAATTCCAGTGCAGGGACACTTCGGAGAGAAGGACAACCTCACCGGATTCTCAGACCCGGAGACAGCGAAACAGTTGAAGGAAAAGTTGACGAGAGAGAATCAGGAAATCTTCACGTACCCGGACGTCGGGCACGCGTTCATGAACTCCGTGCCGGATCCGTATCCTGATTTCGAATCGCGCGAGCGCGTCCAGGGATTTCCGCCGCTCAACGAAGCCACGGTAGCGCTCGCTTGGGGGCGCGTGGAGGCTTTCTTTAGAGCACACCTCTTGTAAAAACGAACCCACAACACATTGTCGACATCTTGCCGACGGGAGGGAGATGAAAAAGAATTATGCGTTTAATCAAGTTCATCTCGATTTGCATACCGAGGGCCATCGTTGTTACTTTTATTCCTACGTGCGAAGGATCCAAGCTTTGAAAAGGATTTGAGTTGAGCCAGTAGCGCGTTGAACAAATCGTACACTTAGTGCAACGCAGCGCGATGAAATTACAATGGGTGAAACGAGCTATCGACACTGCACGAATACGGCCCAAGTGTAGGGAGGAATCGTATACGCGCCGTCGACGACCGAGCTTTCCGCTGCGACAGCGTCAGAGATCAGAGGATGGAGCTTCAACTCAACGCCGGCGAAGTCAACCTTGAGACCAGCTTCTTCGTGAGATATTCGCCTCGGGGTGGCATTGATGGCGAGCACGATTCGTTTGTAGTTCGAATCAAGCGCCTGTAATCCGGGCGTAGACGCGTCACCGTCGTTGATGCTCGCGATGATGAGTCCGGGCGTTTGCGCCGGGCCGCGATTGTAAAATTTCATTCGACGTTGAATGTCGTGCGAACTTCGAAGACGAAGAAGCGGCGTCGAGCGTCGAATACTGAGTAACTCGCACAAATTTTTCGTGGCGGCGTGGATGTTCTCTTTCGTCGGACGCATCGAGAGATCCGCGAGCATCTCGGTGATGAAAGCGTACCGGTCACCGTTCTTCCGAGCAGGCGGCAACCCAACGCCAAAATTGTGCGTCTCTCCACTGTAATCTAGTCGATTGAACCAGTCACCGCTGGAATACGAATCTCTATCTAACGATTTACTTCGCAAAATTTCATCACCCGCGTGAAAGAAGGGCACGCCCTGGGCCAGCGCGACGATCGCTGTCGCGACGTGATTAATCCTGCACCTTTCAGCCAGAGAAATTGAATCGGCGACCCGCAACGTTATGCTATCGAACAATGTCTCGTTGTCGTGAGCACTGACGTAGTTTACCGTCTCTTCCGGTTCACCAGCGTACGCCACGTTTGAATTCGGCCAAACAGCTGAGCTTGCCATCACCTCGACTCCGTGGCGATCCACGTAGGCGAAATCACGCACGTTTCCAGCGAGCGCCGCAAGGATCCTCTCACCATCCTCCATCATCCGGTACCGCTGTGACTCTTCGTCACCCTGCTGAACAACTCCGTTTGGGGAATAATACAATCCCGTGAGAAAACCTTGCAACCGAGGATCCGCGAAAGGACTGCCTCCGATGCACCCTTCTCGAACACGATCGTTGAAGCTTCCAATGCCCGTGTGCGCTAAATTCAATTGTGAGGCGTTTTTGCCAACGCGCCCTTGCGCTACCTCAGCGTAGTCCCAGCCCTCGCCGTATAGATAAAGTGATTTACCGTCCACGCCATCTCTCTCTAAGGTTAACGAGTTGAGCGCTTTCTTCGCCTTCAACATTGTCGAAAGCATCAGGTGTCCCATTAAATCGAATCGAAACCCATCAACCTTGTAGCTTCGGGCCCAGTGGACGAGATCGTCGACGATGAGACGATCCATCATGTAATGCTCGCTCGCTGTGTTGTTGCAGCACGTGCTCGCTTCGATAAATCCGTCGAAATTACGGCGATGGTAATAGCCTGGAACAATCTTGTCGAGAACACTGTTGACGTCACTTGGGCCAGAAGACAGGGTGTGGTTGTACACCACGTCACAGATCACACGTAGACCGTTCTCCGCGAGCGATTTCACCATCTCACGATATTCCAGCACGCGACGCGATCCATCAGCGTCGGTGGAGTAGCTCCCCTCGGGCACGCCGTAGTGCACCGGATCATATCCCCAGTTGAAGGCGTCGCACCAATTACACTCCTCGATCAGTTCTTGTTGCTTGCTCGAGTTTGAGGGTAGCGCCGCGAGTTGCTCGAAGTCGACCGACTTTTGATTTTCCGGGAGCTCGGGCACAGAGCCGAAATCGTACGACGGTAAAAGATGCACGTGCGTGAGCCCGGCTTGGGCGAGCTTTCGGAGATGAGACACGCATGTGCTCGAACTCTCAGTGAAAGCGACGTACTTCCCTCGCGCGGCCGAGCTCACGGTGTCGTCCATGGCGCTAAAATCTCGAATGTGAAGCTCGTAGATCGCGCAGTCCACCGGATGCGTGAACGTCGGTTTCTCGAAAGATTCCCACCCAGCTGGTTTTAAGTCGTCCTTTGAAATGTCACACACATGCGCTCGTCGACCATCAGCCGCGAGACTTCGCGCGTACGGATCGCTCGAGACGTTGGTCGACACTTGCCCCGTCGATGGATTGAAAACTGTAACGTTGTAGTTGTAAAACTTACCATCGAATTCGCCGCTAACACTCCACACGCCAGTTCTGCTGTCGCGCGTCATTGACTTTTCGATGCGCGTTGCGTCTCCTCTCGGCTCATCGAACACGCTCAGCGTGACGTTTTGCGCTGTTGGTGCCCATACTCGGAGAGTCACTAAGTTATCAGAGCCAAATTCCGCGCCCAGAGGACCGTCGTACGCGTACAATTCATCGAGCGCGCCTTGGAGCTGGACACCCGTGGCATCCACTGGCGCGCCGTCTTCATCCACCGCCGCCACGGCAAGTTGCCGACGCAATAAATCTCGCACCGGCGCGCTCGGCGGTAGTTCTAACGCGCGATAATCAGCCGCCGCGATATGCGGAAACTTCTCGCGTGCGCCCTTCGAGAGACCGGTCGGGATGAGTTCCAGCGTCTGCGGCTCTCCGTCGCCGCCTTCGACACCTTCGCCAGTCACCCTCAGCTCCGCGCTCTCCGAGCTCACCAACGAATATTTCACCGACTCTCGTGCTGCGGCCGATAAAGCAAAGTCTGGAGGCACCGCGATGACGCTCGCGGAGACCCAAATCGCCCGGTGCTTGTCCACATCTCCCTTTGGCAGCGCCTTCAAATCCGGTTCTTGCTCAAACGCGCACGAGTACCCGCTCACCAACCACACCTCTCGCGTCCCCGCGGATACGTCTAAATCCTCTGCTCGACAATCCTGATCCTCTCCTCGGTGAATGAGTACGCTCACTCGACTCGCTCCGCTCACTAACTCGACGTCGAACGTCGCCCACGTAGAGTAGTCGTCCAGCGTCGCCGCCAGCGGCGCGTCCCACGTCGTCGGCGCTCGCACGTCGCCCCAGGCGTGCGCGCCCCATCCCGCGTACGACGATCCGTCCGTTCGATGGTAACGCACTCGAAGGATCGTCGCGTCGGGGACGTCGACGTCCGAGACGGCGCGAGCGCGAGCGATGGGCGTTCGGGAGCGACCGAACGACTTGCGTATGATTAATCCATCTCGACGACGTCCCGCGTCAACGTGGGCGCGGGCGCGGGCGAGGCGCGGGAGCGACTCGTTGATAGATGAGAGCGACGTGTGGGTGACCGACATTTCCAGCGCGGTCCACGGACGCGCGCGTGGAGATGTGCGATATGCGGACGCGGTGAGAGGTGGGTGCAGGAGTGGCGAGATCGAGACGTTGGCGAGGCTCTCATTGATGCGTTGAATGCTTCGCATGACAAATGAGAGACGGATGTGACACTAGTAGTTTGGCACTCTAGTACACGTAGCCGGAGACGTATTGGGAGGCACCGTCCGTGGAGGACTTGGTGACGTCGAAGACGCCGCGTTGAGCCTCGGAGTTCTCGCGCGCGCGAGTGAGGAGGATCTCCTGCGCCTTGGCGATCACCGCCGGATCTTCCGGCCCCGTAGCGTACGTCTTCAAAACGGTGTTTTGGAGAGCGCGCGCGTAGGAGAAGGACACGTGCCACGGGTTCGGTTGCTGGTTCATGGCGTTCAAGTACATCGTGGAGTCCAATTCGGACAAACCGCCGGACAAGAACATGATGCCCGCGGTGGACGGCGGCACGCGGTCGTTGAGCATCTTGAGAGTGTACGCAGCGACTTCCTTGGCGTTGGACTTCTTCGGGCAGTCAGCACCCGGGGCAACCATGGACGGCTTCAAGAGCATGCGGTCAAACATGACACCGTTGTCCGCGAGGTACTTGAAGGTTTCGGCCCAGACCATGGAGGCAACTTCGAAGTTGCGGTCGATGTCGTGGTCACCGTCAAGGAGGATTTCCGGTTCAACGATCGGGACGAGGCCAGCGTTTTGGCAGATCGCGGCGTAGCGAGCGAGGCCGTAAGCGGCGTCGGTCACGGCCATCTTGGACGGGCCAGCCGGGATGGAGACGACGGTGCGCCACTTGCAGAAGCGCGCGCCTTGCTTGTAGTACTCGGCAGCGCGCTCGGCGAGGCCGTCGAGGCCTTGGCACCAGGATTCGCCGTTGGAGTTGGCGAGCGGGCGAAGGCCCTTGTCAACCTTGATACCCGGGTAGATGCCTTGGGCGCGGAGCGCGTCGACGAAGGTCGTACCGTCCTTGCAGGATTGGTACAAGGTTTCTTCGAACAAGATGGCGCCACCGACGTACTCACCCAAGCCCTTGGTGGTAATGAGCAACTCACGGTAGCGGCGGCGGTTCTCTTCGGTGTTCTCGATACCGAGAGCTTCGAGGCGGCCACCGCACGTCGGGTTGGACTCGTCCATGGCGAGGATACCCTTACCCGGCTTGGTCATGTTTTGCTGCGCGAATTAAAAACGGTCGGGCGATCCCGTCTTTGTCGTCAGTCATCGTCCTCGATGCGTCGCGTCGTCACCCGCTCCGCGCTCACCGACCGCCATTTCCAAGGCTCCGCGTTCACAATCCCAACCCGTCCCGGGGCGAACGAACCCTATCCACGCGATCGCCCGTCTCGGATGAATCATCACCGACACGCCGCGATCGCGACCTCGCCGTCGCGCGTTCGCGCGCGCGCGCGGTGATACAAATATTCCCATTCCCCGCCCCGCCCCCCCGCGCGCGTCTACCCCCCCCACCGCGCGCGCGCCCGTGAACACGCGTCCTCGATCGCGTCGATGCACCCGCGCGTCGCGCACGCACCGCCGTCTCGAGGAGTTCATCCGCGTACTTGTTCGCGCGAACGGCGACGGTGCGCGCGGATCGGCGCGTCGACGTCGCCTTGGCCGTGACCTTGACACCGGTGAACGAGGTTTGCGCGAGCATGACGAGCGGGCGCGTGTGCGGACGCGCGCGCGGGCGCGCGCGCGCGCGGCGGGCGCCGAGGGACGGGCGCGCTCGACCAATCACAACGCGGGACGTCCGTGGGGCCACGCGAGCGGTCGTGACTCGTCGTGGGGACACGCGAGCGGTCGTGACTCAACGTGCGCACCCACACCCGATCGACGTCATCCACAGGGGGCCATCGCGGACGTCGCGCGCGCGGGGGGGGTGAGCGGCGTCGAAAGGGTCGATCGCGCCTTTCACATCACGATCGATCGGTGCCGACGCCTTTGCGCGCGCGTTTCGATCGACGTCGACCGGGCGCGCGGTGGACGTCGTCGTCGCGCGCGCGCGCGAGGCGGGACGACGCGACGCGCGCGTGAGCTCGCGCGCGAGATGGGTCGCGGCGCGGACGCGATCCGAGACGTCGCTCGACGAGGGGCGCGCGCGCTGGAGGGGGCGCAGCGCGCGTCGGCGTCGACGACGACGACGACGACGACCGTGGCGAGGGGCCCCATCGCCCATCGTGGGATCAAATCGCTCGATAAGAGCGGGAAGCGCGCGGTGAACGCGAAGGCGAGGTCGAAGACGAACGAAAAGAATACCACGGCCACGGTGCGGGCGAATGATTTCGCGAGACGGGCGAAGGCGTCGCCGGCGGCGGCGACGGTGAGCGCCGCGAAGGATGTGGCGGTCACGGGCACCGTGTACCCGGTCAAGCCAGAGGGGAACAAGACGTACGCGAACGTCGACGGTCAGCGCATCGACGACGGGCGATACACCAAGTTCAAGAAGGATATCTTGAGCGTCATTCCAGAGGACAGAATTTACACGGACCCGGTGAAGACGTTTGCGTACGGTACGGACGCATCTTTTTACCGCCTCCTGCCGCAGGCGGTGGTGAAGATCCACAACGAGGCCGAGGTGAAGAACCTTCTCCCTATCGCCGCCGAGAACGCGACCCCGGTGACTTTTCGAGCCGCCGGTACGTCGCTCTCCGGTCAGGCTGTGACGGACTCTATCTTGCTCAAGCTGTCGCACACCGGTAAGAACTTCAGAAAGTACGAGATCCATGGCGACGGTAGCGAAATCACCGTTGAACCGGGTCTCATTCTCGGCGAGGTCAATAGATTGCTCCAAGCGCACAAGGCGAAGCATGGACACGACGTTCAGTACAAGATGGGTCCGGATCCGTCGTCCATTGACTCGTGCATGATTGGCGGCGTCGTCGCCAACAACTCTTCGGGCATGTGCTGCGGTGTGAAGCAAAACACTTACCACACTCTTAAGGACATGCGCATCGTCTTCGTCGACGGCACCGTTCTCGATACCGCCGACGCGGCAAGCCGCGAATCGTTCTTGAAGACGCACAAGCACATCGTCGAAGGAGTGCAAGACATCGCACGACGCGTGAATGCGGATAAGGATCTCACCGCGCTTATCCGAAAGAAGTTCGCCATCAAGTGCACCACTGGTTACTCTATCAACGCTCTCGTCGATCACCCAATCGATGATCCGATTGAAATCATCAAGCGTTTGATGATCGGTAGCGAAGGAACCTTTGGTTTCGTAAGCCAAGCGACGTACAAGACCGTCGTTGACCACCCGCACAAGGCGAGCGCATTCATAGTATTCAAAGATGTCGAGGACGCGTGCCGAGCCGCGGCTGTACTTCGCGCCAAGACCAGTGTCGATGCGGTTGAGCTTTTCGATCGCGCGTCGCTTACACAGTGTGAAGATCACGAGAAGATCATGAGCCTCGTGCCAACCATCAAGGACGCACCCAAGTACGGCGCAGCGCTCCTCATTGAGTGCCGAGGTGCGACGGATGACGAGTTGAACTCGGGCATCAGTGCGGTGGAGAATGCCCTTGATGGAGCTAACCTTAAGTTCTTGAACGATCGCGCGACAACGTACCCGTTCAAGAAGGAGGAGGACGTTTACAAGGTGTACTGGGATGTTCGCAAGGGTCTCATCCCGATGGTTGGCTCGTGTCGCGAGGCGGGCACCTCGGTGCTCATCGAAGACGTCGCGTGCGAGGTTGACAAGCTTGGTGCCATGACCAAGGACTTGATCGCCATGTTCGAGCGCTTCGGCTACGACGATGCCTCGTGCATGGGTCACGCCCTTGAGGGTAACTTGCACTTGGTGTTCTCTCAAGGTTTCCGTACTGATGAGGAAGTCAAAAAGTACTCTGCCATGATGCGAGAGATGTGCGAGATCGTCGCCGAGAAGTACCAAGGTAGCCTCAAGGCTGAACACGGTACTGGGCGCAACGTCGCGCCGTTCGTCGAGATGGAATGGGGCACAAAGGCGTACAACATCATGTGGGAGCTCAAGGAACTCTTTGATCCCGACTACGTACTGAACCCGGGCGTGGTCCTGAACAGAGATCCGCACGTGCACGAGAAGAACCTCAAGCCGAAGCCTGTTGCTGACCCGATCGTCGACATGTGCATGGAGTGCGGCTTCTGCGAGTCAAATTGCCCGACTCGTGATGTCTCGCTCACCCCAAGACAGCGTATTACTGTTTATCGCGAGATCTCCCGTCTCCAAGGCATCGAGGCTGGCGCGCGTACAAAGGAAGAGCAAGACCGACTTAACGAGTTCTTGGACATCTTCGCGTACGCTGGTAACAGTACGTGCGCTGCTGACGGCATGTGCGAGGTGAAGTGCCCGGTTGGCATCAACACCGGCGAGCTCGTGAAGAGCATCCGCGCCCGCGAAATGGAGAGCGCGCGCTCGGCCAAGTCCTTGGCCGGCATGGTCGCCCGCAACTTCGGTGCCGCGACTGCTTTGGTGCCACCGTTGCTCAACACGGTCTCCATGGCTCACGGTATCCTCGGCGAAGGTGTGTTGAAGGGTGTCTCTGGGATGTTGAACAAGGCGTCGAGCAACATGATTCCGGTGTGGAACCCGTACATGCCGACTGGTGCTCCGAAGCTACCGCCGCCGATTCCGGCGCGAGCCGATGCACAGCCGTCGAAGGGTATCCCACGCAAGGTTGTGTACCTGCCTTCTTGCGTGACCCGTATGATGGGACCGGTGAAGGGTGAGGAGGCGAACGGGGGTGTTGCTGACGCGATGATGAGCATCTTGGATAAGGCCAAGTACGAAGTTGTTTACCCCGAGGGTCTCAATTCTCAGTGCTGTGGTATGATCTTCAACTCGCGAGGCTTGAAGGATCAATCCATCGCCAAGGGTTTCGATCTCGAGCAAGCGCTTTTGAAGGCGTCTGAAGGCGGCAAGTACCCGATCATCGTCGACACGTCCCCGTGCTTGGCGCAGATCAAGGAGCAACTGGAAAGCCAAGAGCTTCGATTCGCGCTCTATGAACCATCCGAGTTCATTGCGAATCATCTTGTCGACAAGCTCGAGTGGAAGAAGGTGAAGAAGCACATTGCCGTTCACGTCCCGTGCTCTTCAAAGAAGATGGGTGTGGAGCAAACTTTCATGAAGTTGGCGAGCAAGTGCGCCGACGAGGTCTCTGGCTCTGGTATTCCGTGCTGCGGTATGGCCGGTGATCGCGGTATGCGATTCCCAGAGATAACTGACTCAGCTTTGGGTTATATGAACCTTCCGAAGGGCTGCACCGATGGTTACTCCACGTCCCGCACGTGCGAGGTGAACCTTTCGAACCACGCCGACGGTGTACCGTTTAGAGGCCTTGTGTATTTGATCGACGAGGCGACATCGGCGAAGAATTAATGACCCGTAGTTTCGCACGATTTATCCAGCGCATTACGCATTACACTCAGTACATTTAATTCAAATCTTTAGTCGCTACGCAAAATTTTAAAGTTTCGCCTTCCCGCCGGAGAGCTTCATCAGCACGCCTCCCAGCGCTTTCACAATGTGCGGGTTGTTGAGCATCTTCCATCCACCCTTCACCTCCTCTTCCGCGTACGATTCCCATCGTGCGCTAAATTCCGATCGAATCGTCTGCTTCGTCGTCGCCCGCGCGCCTGGAGGAACTTTTAAATATCGATCCATTACGCTCGAGGCGGAAGCCATGAGCGCGCCTTCACCCACAACCTCGTCGATCAATCCGATTCCAAGCGCCTCTGCCGGTCGTATCAATACCCCGCGCTGCAGCAAACTCTCACCCTTTACGCGATCGTTACACCGATCGAGGAACAACTCGGCCCAATATTTTGGCACGGAGATTCCAAGCGCGACCTCGTTGAGTCCGAGTGTTCCCTCCGTCGTCTGCACGCGATAGTCGCAACACAGCGCCACGACGCACCCGCCTGCTGGACACGCTCCCCTGATCGCGCACACCGTCGCCAACCTAGATTTCAATAACCGCGCCAAGAATTTGGTCTGCGTGAGCCAAAATTCTCGATATCGCTTTCGCGTCGTCCTCGGCGCGTACAGCTCCGTCACGTCGTTCCCAGCCGTGAACACTGCCCGCTTGAGCCCGCTCGCGAAGATCACCCCCTGCACCTACGTTCACGAAACATCGTCAGCAACTCTCTCATCAAAGCGCTCTCGGCGGTCGCGCACACCGTTTCATCGCGCTCGAGCGCGTCGAAGGCGTTCGACAGCGCTCGCCAGAATTCCAACGTCATCGAGTTCACCGGCTCGCGCTCGAGCCAGAGAATGGCTCTGGGCGACCCGGGGATGCGCTCGACCCTGATGCCGCTTTGGCTCGGCATCGTCGCTTCGGCGACTGCGACAGAGACGCGTGCGATACTGACGGTTGACTCCCTTCATGTGCCGCGCACTCAGTGCGCGCTCGTGCGAGCAAGCGAGCGTGCGTACAGAGCGACGAAAACGACAACAACGACGACGACGAGAACGTTCGCGAATACCCCAAGTTATGCGCTAATATTCATCTACTGATATTACACGCTCGTGAACGAGCTCGGTGTGCGCGGATGACGTCCCGACAGAACGTCGTCTCGGAGCGTCCCGGTCACCACCGACCGACACGCGCCTTTCGTCCCGGCCATCGCTCGTCCTCCACCTCCTCGAAGACGTGTGCGCGAAAATTTTCCATCGTCTCCTGCAGCACCCGTTCGCTCACTCGTGGTCGTTCACGCGCGATATCGCTCACCGCAGACGCCTCGAATCCGCTCGCGCGATGTCTCGCCAACGCGTCCAACAAAACCATCGGCTTCATCAGCGTCTCCGCCGCGCGATCGATTCGTTTCTTCGCCCGGGACGTCGTCGAGGCGTATCCAAACTCCACCGCACTCACGTCCTCGGCGCGGACGGTGAGCTTGGACATCATCTCGGTGAGTTTGACATCTTTACCACCAGAGCGCTCCACCGGGGCGCGAACGTTTCGGTCGACGTCGACGGCGTCGGGGACGTACGGGGCCACGGTCGCCGCGCCGGCTCGAGGAAGTGCGCGCTTCGTCGCCGCGGGCGCGACGGAGGACGCGATCTTAGACGCGCCGGTGCCCATGCGCGGCGACGAGTGAGGCGAAGGTGGGTGACTCGCGTCTGGCGGTCGATACTACAACTCTATCTCCGCGTAAACCAAGGCCTCGCGAACCCAGTCAGGAGCGGCGTCGTCGGGAAACTGCTTTTTGATGAAATCTCGCACGAAATCCGCGAAGCGTTGCTCGATGATGGATCGGTGCATGGCTGCACACAGACGCATCTGATAACGCAAGTTGTGAATCGTGAGCAACTGCGCGGCTCGAGGCTCTCTCGTGGCAATCTCATGCAAATCAGCGCGCGTGTACGTTTTGCACGTCAAACAATCGCACGTTTCGTCAATCGGTCGATGATCGTTCGCGCACGCAGCGTTCTTCAATCGAAGCACACCCTCAGGAACGAGTGCGGTGCCGAATCGAGCCGTGCGCGTTGGGTACACGCAGTCATACATGTCCGCCCCAAGTGCCGTGCATATGACCAAATCCAACGGATAACCCACCCCCATGACATATCTAGGCTTATGAGCGGGTAGTTTCGCAGTGCAGTGTGACACAACGCGGACGAAATCCTCCTTGGATTCGCCCCCAGCTAAGCCGCCCACTGCCATGCCCGGTAGTGCGTCGCCGCGAGCCAACAATCCCTCTAACGATAAATCCCTCAACTCTAAGTCTAATCCTCCCTGAACGATCCCGAATAAACACTGGTCGTGTGGTCGCTGGTGCGCATTGATGCATCGATCGATCCATCGCGTCGTTCGGTGCGTCGCCTCCTCGAACCTCGCTCTGTCCGCCGTGACGCTCGATACGACGTCGTCCAACGCCATTATAATATCCGCCCCTATGTCGTTCTGTATCTCGATGCTCCTCTCTGGCGTCAGTAACATTGGTTTTCCATCGATTGGCGACTGAAAAGTCACCCCCTCTTCTGTAATGTCCGCCAGATCCAACAGCGACACCATCTGAAAGCCGCCACTGTCTGTGAGCATCGCTCGCCGCCAGTTCATGAACCCGTGTAATCCTCCAGCTTTGCGCAAGATTTCCGGCCCCGGGCGATTTCCCAGGTGATACGTGTTCCCTAGGATCACCTGACACCCGATATCTTCGAGCTGCGCGCTCGTCAGACCTTTGACCGATCCTTGCGTCCCCACTGGCATGAACATGGGCGTGAGACAGTCATGATGCGGCAGCTTGAGCGACGTCGCACGGGCGCGTCCGTCCACGGCGATGACATCAAACGTGAGTGGAGATGTCGACGCGGTGGATGGTGAGTCATCTCGTGTGGTGGACATCGCGCACGAGTCAAAGGACGCGACGGCGAGTGAGGAACGCGGCGACGGCTGAGCGAAGGAGGAACAGAGGCGAACGATATTTATGCTATATTATGCGTGCTTATTGCAACGAACGTGTTTCTACTAAGTGCAATCCATTTTTGTGTCTTGGCTCATTTCTTCGAGGTTGCAAATCGAGCCGTGGCGCGACATTGCATGACGCGTGGGAACGTCCCTACGCTTGTAGAACACGACGTACGCGGCTTTATTGTTCAGCGCTGCAGTAGATTCCACTGGAGTGCAGCGGCTGTCATCGTACAGGTGCCACGTGCCTTCTTCCGCGTGGCGAGTGTAGGCGGTATAATGACCGCCACCCATACCGCCGAAGTGATTTACGACGGCATACAAATCGTACACCGGCGCGGGCCCACTCGAGGTATTCGCCAGTACATACGGGGACATGTCCAGATCGTTGAGCGGAAAGTGCACCAACGTATCTATTTTGTCCCGATAAATTCGACTGTAGCTAAAGCGTTTGAGGTGCATGACGAGAATCGGCGGCATGCGCCACAAGTCGAGCTTTTTCAGGGCTGGCACGTGTTCCTTGCACTGCTTGCAGTACCACATGTCATCCTCACCAAGAGGTTCTTCCTGAATGAATGCCTCTAAGCATGCGCTCAACGGCATGCCTTGCATCGAAGTACGATCGAGTGCGTTTTCCTTTACGCTTACGTGCTCGTCGACGTCTTGTTCGAACAGTTCGTCGTCATATGAATGACTGAGCGCTTTCGGTGACCAGTCAATCGCGACACAGTGCATAGTTGTACCAACTATGTACGACATCTCGTGTGAATCAGTGGCGGGATCGCCTGATCCGTAGTCATGAAACGACGCGGAGGCGCTCTTGTTCGTATACCTTAACTTGAACGCCCTCAGATCCCCGTCATTTGTTGTCCGATGCACAGGGGCACTGTCAAAACTGCCATCGCCGCTCGCAGATGGAGAACTGGGTTGTTCCATCGCGATCGTGCGCGCGTACTTCGCGCTGTACTTCTCCACAATAGATTCAATACGTCGCGCTTGCTCGGCTCCTGGCTTCTTGCCTTTAGGTACGGTCACCGGTACGATCCAAGGAAAGCCGAATCTGACCAACGTCGAGGTTGCTAGTGGACTCGCGTGCGAGTAAGGCGTCTTGTTTTGACTCGCGTTTTGATGCTTTCTTTGAACGAGTACGGTGTCGATCGTTTCGCTTACCTCATCATCGTTCAGCACCGGCAAGCGATGAGCGAAAATCGTATCGCGCTCCCTGATGTCGGAAAGTGGCATCGTCATGTTTGACAGCGTCTTTTCCAACCGATGGTTATACACTTCACAGAGAACCAAGCGCTCATCCATGGTGTCAACATCGGCGACTTCGCACAGTGCGCTAAACAACGTAGCGAGCTCGCCCAATTTTGGCAACTTCAGCGCGTACGTAACGGCGGATATCTCGTCGCCGTAAGAGATCAGCGTCACCTTGATGACTCTTTCGCCGACCGACGGCACCGGAATCGAGAGGTACATGAACGGATCGAATTTGACCGATTTGTTGCTACAAGACGGACACACCAGAGTGGATCTGTATTGACCTTGAAACGTATCGACGATGCAAGAGTCATTTCTGGCCAAGTGCGCTTCCCAAGATTCATGTGCGACGTCCTCGTCAGTTCTACCATCTGCGTCCCGCTCCTCCACGTAAGGTTTCCGCTTCACTCGGTTCAGATCTTCATGAAGACCATCGAGCAAGAACGCGAGCAGTTCCTGCGCGTCTTGTTGCATATATCCACTAAATTGCGGCGCAAATCGAGCGAGAGAGTGCTTGAACTTCCGCGGCGTCACCGTCAGCGCACCATCTCGCCAGAGCGCTCCAATCAAGTTGGCGTACTCCTTCGCCAACTCACCACCCATACCTATTGGGTTATCCGTATTAATATCCCCCTCGTATTTGTCCGACAGAAAGTAATCCGTGAGCAGCGATGAATGGCTCAAACACTGCAGCGCGCTGTTCATAAAACACGTGTTACCTAGATTACTCAGACCCGCCTTGCCTCGAGTCCCAACCATTGCCGCATCAGCGCACGTCGACACATCGTTCTTCGGAGTAAGGCTCACGTCACATCCCAGTTTGGTGTGATCCATGCTATCGTCGTCACTCACCGCGGGTAAAGCTATCACCGAATTCCCATCATCCGGCCACCGATCGTCCGCCTTCGTCTCTACCAACACCTCCTGGTCGGGTAACAGGTGGAAGTCTTCCAAAGACTTCTTCGGCAAATTTGTGAGCACCTCCCCTCGATTCTGGAAGAGATAATCCGACACCCTAATGTCGTCCTCATCCACCTCTCTCAGCTCTTCGAAAGCCGCCTTACACGCCAATACGAGCTCTCTGGCCTCGCTTCCTTTCGGCAGTTCGAGTCGTCTCGTCACCTCGTCTGGAGCCTCGCCCAGTTTTGCTCGCACCACTATCCCGTACACGTCCACGACCAATCGACCATTTCGCTCCACACACGTCCTATAGATCGATCTTGACCCCTCCGCGTGACCGTACCACCGCTCGAACGCCTCCATCGCCGACGCTCGGACGATCTCAAAGTCTTCGCCCTCTCGCAAACCGGGACGCAGCGCCGCGTCGACCTCCGACACAGCCGACGTCGTCATCGTCATCGCGTCATCACCGAGCAGGGATGTTACATCGATCGTCGACATCATCGGCGCCTCCATCGCCTCCGCACTCGCCTCCATCGCCGAGCACGCCCGCGAGAAGGCGTCGAACCAAGCCTTCGGGACGATCGCCACGCGCTCGCCGCTCGTCAACGATTGCCCATCGACGCGGTCGCGCGCGATCGCTCGAGCGCGCGCGAGGTCAGATGCCGGCTCCGAACCGTCGCTCGGACGCGCCTGCGTCATCGCGAGCGAGCCGACGACGACGACGCGCGTCACGAGGTGCGGCGGGGCAGCAAATATCGTCGAGCGAGCTCGAGCTCGATCGACACTCAACGGCGCGTCGTTCGGCGACGGTAGAGCTCGCGGCGATGCGATTGTTGGCGCACAACATGCTCGCGTGTAACGCTAAGGTACGACGACGTAAACGCGAGCGAAAGGCGACGGGGCGAGGAGAGAGACGTGCGCGAGCCCAGCCGCCGGGTTCGCTCGAGACGCGACGCTCGGGACGCGCGCGGTCGATCGCGGTCGACCGCGCGTGGGCGCGAGTGGACGCATGCGATCACGGTGGATGCGACGATGGATGAGCGATGACTGACGGACGAGCGAGCGACTCCGCGTGTAGGGCGTCGTGAACGGGTTCCCGCTGAAAATCGTCGTCAAGGAGACTAGGGAGACTGAGACGGAGTTTAACGCCGAATTCTTGGTGCACATGCTACCAAAGATGGAGTGGGCGGCTTTCGTGAACGCGGCGAGAGAGATCGGCGCTGGTGAACTCCCAGGGGAGATTCCAGATGACGCGGCGACGAACGAGGAGTTTTTGCAGGCGTTTCATCACGCTCTCTTGGAGGTGCACGTCGAGGAAGGAACACTCGTTTGTCCGGAGAGCGGCAGAAAATTCCCCATCAATAAGGGGATCCCGAACATGCTGTTGAACGAAGACGAGGTGTGATCGACGAGCGCGTGTGTTTCATGGATTTTGTAAACTTTTCTAGCCTCTAAATTACAACTTTGCGTAACGTTCTCAGGCGCCCTCGGCGTCACCACCCTTTTTCGCGGCGCGCTCGGCGGCGAGCTTAACTTGCTTCTTGGCCTCATTTTGCGCCGCTGTGGCCGCGGCGACGGATCTGCGCACGGCGGCCATGCGATTCGCGTGCAAGTCCATCCTCTTCTGCGGGTACTGTCGAACCTCCTCCCCGCTGTATCCGGGAATGTACATGTCCCACTGACGCTCCAGGTGCATGAGCACATCCTTTGGTTCGATCTCTTCGCTCCCGCGATGCTTTGCAAGCATTAACGAGTGATCGAGTACGGTATCTACGAAGTCATCCACGATTTCCAGCAGCACGTCCTCCACCGCCGAATCAAACTCCAACCCTGGCGCAAACTCCTTGAGCATATCCTGAAGCTCATCCTTCGTGAGTGCGTGTCCGCCATCATCACCCCGTTTTCCCGCGACCGCCGCCGCCGCCGCCGCGGCCTGCTGCGCCGCCACGAGCCTCGCCTGCGCCGCCTCTCTCTGCTTGAGCGCAGCCTGCTGCTCCTCCACCGTTTGTTTTTTCTGCGTCGTCGTGGCGTCGTCAGTCTCAGCGCGCGATACGTTCCGAAACGATAGTCCCGCGCGTCGTCCTCGCGTCCGTTCGCGATGACACGAGCGCGTGAAGCGTCGACCTAGAACCCTCTATCGTTTGAGATTCGAATCTCATTCGTCTCCCGACGCCCTCGTCTCGATCGCCCTCGCGGTCGCGCGACGCGCTCACGACCATCGTCGTTGCCGTTTTCATCGCCTCGTGCGCGCGTACCTGTCTTCCGCTCATCGCGCGCCGCACTGCGGTCGGCGTGCTCTTTCGCCCGCTCGAGTTTTCTCGATCGCGCGTCAGTGGTCGACGCTCGTCGTCGATGCGTGACGCCGTCGCACGCGCGACGCGAGCGCTCGGACGCGTGGCGTCGACCATGGTTCGAGCGCCCGCGCGCGTGATCGGGAGCGTGTCGAGACGCGCGAGAGGGGTGAGGACGAGCGCGGACGAGGCGTCGAGAGACGGCGACGGCGCGTGGGCGGTGTTCGGTTTAGGGAATCCAGGGAAGAAGTTCGACGGAACGAAGCACAACGTCGGGTTCGACGTGATCGACGTGCTGGCGAGCGCGCTGGGGGTGGAGGTGACGGCGAAGAAACACGCGGCGTTGGTGGGGACGTGGGCGAGCGGCGACGCTCGGGCGGTGCTGGTGAAGCCGCAGACGTTCATGAATTTGAGTGGGAAATCCGTTCGCGCGATCATGCGTGCGCATAAGATACCGAAGAGTCGCGTCGTAATCGTGTACGACGATTTGGAGACGAATCTTGGAGAGATACGGCTGAAGGTCAGCGGGACGCACGGCGGGCACAACGGCATCCGGAGTATCATCGACGACGCCATGGGAGGGGCCAGGGACTTTGCTCGGGTGAAAGTTGGCATCGGTCGCCCGAAGAGCGACGACGTACCGGTGTACGAGTATGTATTATCGAAGTTCGACGTAGATGACGCCGATAAGATGCGCGACGCCGTGGCAGACGCCGTGGAGGCTGTGAGAGCAGTCTTGACGGAAAATAGGTTCGAGGACGTCATGATGCGCGTGAACACAAAGTTCGCGCCGAAGAAGGTGAAACCACCGAAGAAACCCAAAGCGCCAAAAGAGCGCGTGTTCGTCACCGCCACGGTGGATGAAAACGAACATGTGGAGTTGACGCTGGATGTTCGACCAACGAACCACGCGCATCAGAAGAAGCCGCAGCAACCGCGACAGGAAGAGCTTGCAGAGAGTGCCGCGGGTCCGAAATGATTCTTTCGTAGCGTACAATTCGTAGCGTACATTAGAACAATAGCTATGAGCGGGTATTCCGATAACAATCCTTCAGCGCTCATTAACTTTACAAAGTGAGTCGTACGCCGCGCTTTGCCATGGCATCCACCACCGCTCGCCAACGATCACCGAGCCCGTCCACCAACTCCACGTTCCCTCTTAAATTTAGCTCTCGTAGCTTTGGCGCGGTCTCGCTCGCTCTTTCGATGAGATCATCGAACGGGACGTCCCGTTCCGTTAGCGCGTTGTCGCTCGCGTCTAACTTCTCCAACTCCTTCAACCCCCAAATCGCGCTCGGCAGCGCCCGCAGGCGATTTCCCGAGACATCTAGCACTCTCAATCCCACCCCTCGCCGCTCGACCACGCGAGCGAGCCTGCACGCGCACGCCTCACCGACGTGTTCGCACATCACGTCCACGCACCGCAGGTCCTCGCTCCGTCCCAGCAGCAGCGCCTCCAGCGCGCGGCCACCACTCAGTGCGGCGTCGAACCGCTTCGCGTTCGCGTCTAAGAGCGTCCTCGCCGTCGCGTCCTCGCTCGCACCCTCATTCGATGACTTCTGCGCCGATGAAGACATCGAGCGGACGTCTCGACCGAACACCGCTGTCAAAGAAATCTCTCGCTGCGTCGTCGTCGTGACGGACGACGCCCACCAACGCGACGCCAATCTCACAAACATTATCTTCGCGCTCGATCGCGATCACTTCGCGCGCGCGTCGACCGCGGCGCGCGCGTGTGCGGACACCTTTGGGCGTTTCACGGACGCAGCTCGCGCCGCACACGCCGACGCCGCGTTCGCTTCCGCGACGCGCTCGCGCGCGACGACGCCGACGACGGTCACGATGTTACTCGCGACGCGATCGTTCACGACGGTCGCCGCGACCGCGCGCGCGTGGAGCGAACGACGTCGACCGACCGCGGTTCCGACATCGACGAGACGATCGTCGACGGTACCTTTGTCGACGACGGGCTCGCGCGCGTGCGACGCGCGTTTCGGGAGGGGGGCGATCGCGTTGAGGACGTCGACGATCGCGCGAGGGCGGAAGAACGATGAGTTCAGGCGAGCGCTCTTGCAAGAGTTCCGAGCGCTCACGGAGGAGGTGCGCGCGCTCAGGACAGAGGTCGGCGCGCTGCGAGCGGGCGGGACGATCGTCGCGGGTCAAAGCGCGAGTGACGGGGCGGCGAAGACGGAGGCGAGCGAGGCGGATATGATGGCCATGCTTGGGTTGGGAGGGGGGGACGCGGGCACCGCAACGGCGCCGGCGGGCGAATCACAATCGGCGCCTCTGCTCGACGTCAACGAGTGGAGAGGAGACGGTACGGATCGATCCTCAGAGTGGCCGATGGTGAAGCAAAACGAGGACGACATTTACTTGATGGTGCTTATTCACGGCAAGCTCGTCGACGCCGGGTTCTGGGTCGGCGAGGACGACTCGGATGATATGTATTTCGGTGCGACGACCAAAGAGGCTTTGCTGTATTTCCAAGCGCAAAACGGACTCACCGAGACCGGGCTCGTGGACGATGAGACGTGGCGCGCGTTGTTAGGAGAGGAGCAATACAGATGGGGTCCGCCGCCGGGGGCGATCGCTTTCGATGAAACGGAGTTTCAAGCCGTGGCCGCGACCACGGTGAAGACCGAGGAGAAGAATGAGGAGAAGATGGCCAACCCGGATCACTTCATGGCGGAGGAAGACTACGCTCCAGATGAATACGATCCTTTTGCGGACGATGATGAGTATACTCACGAACCGCAAGGGCCATCGTTTGAGATGTCAAAGGGTAAGCGTCAGCACAAGTGGCCCATTTTACGAGAGGACGACGGCGGTATGGAGGTGCACAAAATGCAAGTTCTCCTCGCCGAACAAGGTTATGACTCGGGCGAAGACGACATGGAATACTGGTACTTCGGTTCCACCACGTCCAACGCGCTCATGACGTTCCAAGCGGTAAAACGCCTTCCGGAATCGGGAATCACCGATATTAAGACGTGGTGCGCGCTTCTCGGCGTTGAAGAGCTCGAAGACTCTCCGGCAGAGACACTCGCGCGCGTCGGTGACGGCGATTACCCGAACGATTTGTCCCGAAGTGATAGCGTCTTCCTTCTCGGTGAGCAGCGCTACGAGACGCGTTAATGTTAATATTTGATGCACGCGCGCGAATTCGACCCCATTCAGTACTATTTTTCCGGCATTGTACACTTCTCTCGCGCCCGTCGACCGCTCGAATCGGTCACCTCTTCGCTCCACACAAGTCCACTCGCAATGCCCCTTCGTATCGACGGTCTCCCAACCGTGGCGTTCGTCCCCACAGCGAGCGGGGACGTCTTCGCCGTGCGATGCGACGACGCGAACGTCGACGCGCTCGAGCGCGTACCGCGGCGAGCCGGTCGAGTCGACTCAAAACTGCTCGCTCAGAGTGCGAACGTCTTCTGCGACGACACGCGCGCACGACAGGAGCGGGCGCTTGATGATGACCTTACGACGTCCATACGCACGGTTTCGATGGCGCGCGTGGGCGTGCAGACGAGAGCGATCACACCGAGCGACGCGGACGGGACGGTGGCGCCGTGTGCACCCACACCAATGTTGCACGACACAGACGCGTACGACGTGCACTCGAAACCCACGCCGAGCGACGATTGGGCGGGATTCGAACGAAGTAAAAGCGTGGATAGAGATTGGGTCGAGCTCGAGCTCGGTGTAGAGGGTGCGGCGGGTGATTCAAGTTCGTTGATGCGCACACCAGCGCCGCAGGGCGACTTCGTCAGAGGATCCTTTGGGCAAGTTCCGTTCACGCCGGGCGGTGAGGGATGGGAAGCCGCCGCCAGAGAAAGCGCGGCGAAACGAGTGGAGTTGGCCGATCGGGCGGGGAGGGCGTGGTTGGAGGAATTTGAGGCAGGCGTATACATTGCGTCGTCCAACCTGCCGAACACGCTACCTGGAATGCGAGACATGTTTGCGTTGGACAGCGGAATGAAGAAGATGGAGATCGAGCTCGAGAAGTTGACTGTGATGGACGACGAAGAGCTGCCGATGTCGTACGACAATCTATTCATTGACGCACTTCGCAGCGCGGCCCGGCCGATGGAATCATCGAGCGATGAAGAAGAATCAGAGACAGAGGAAGAAGAGGAGGAAGAAGAAACAGCGGATGCGGAGGTCTATGAAGTCGTGATCGAAGGTGAAACCGAAGTGGAGGCACTGTTAAATGGCACAAAATCAATAATGGCCGCACAGAAACGACACAAGTCCAGGAAACAGGCAGGAGAAACGTGGGCGGTGATGGAGAGATTTCCGGATGTGCACGAAGCATACAGACAAGAGGTTCCGGAGCCCGCCCACGATTTCCCATTCGAACTCGATGAATTTCAGAAAGAGGCGATTGTTCATTTGGAAAAGTCGGAAAACGTTTTCGTTGCCGCACACACTTCGGCTGGCAAGACGGTCGTCGCGGAATACGCCTTCGCGTTGGCGACTAAACACTGCACGCGCGCCATTTATACGTCTCCAATCAAGACTATCAGTAACCAAAAGTTTAGGGATTTCGGCTCAAAATTCGATGTCGGTTTGCTCACGGGTGATGTTCAAATCAGACCAGAAGCGGCCTGTTTGATTATGACGACTGAAATTTTGCGGAGCATGCTGTATCGAGGCGCCGATCTAATCCGGGACGTCGAATGGGTCATCTTCGATGAAGTTCACTACGTCAATGATGCCGAGCGAGGCGTCGTATGGGAAGAGGTCATCATCATGCTCCCAGCGCATGTAGGTTTGATTTTGTTGTCAGCCACGGTGCCAAACGTTTTCGAATTCGCGGATTGGGTAGGAAGAACGAAGAGAAAGAAAATCTTCGTCACCAGTACGAAGAAGCGGCCAGTGCCGCTCGAGCATTGCATTTACTTCGGCGGCGATAAAGAAAAGGACTTTTACAAGGTTGGTGAGCACGAGGCATTCTTACCCAGTGGATATAAGATCGCATCGGAGGCTTTCAAAAAGAAACAACTCGGTACCAAGGCGGCGACAGGGACTCCAGCGAACGCTCAGGCCGCGAAGCAAGTTGCAGGTAGAGGAGGGCGCGGAGTGACTCAACCGGGACGTGGAGGACGTGCCGGGGGACGCAGTGGAACGCCAAATGTCAGCGCTGGTCGCGGTAGCTCATCTGGTCCGAATGCTGGTCGCGATAAAAACATGTGGGTCGAGCTCATACGTAATCTCGAGCGCCGGGATCTGCTTCCCATGGTCATCTTTGCCTTCAGTAAGAAACGATGCGATACGCTGGTGGATAGTTTAACTTCTATGGATCTCACTTCAAGCTCTGAGAAACATGAAATCCATATCTTTTGCGAGCGGGCATTGAGCCGTTTATCGGCCCCCGATCGTAAGCTACCGCAAGTACTGCGCGTGAGGGAACTTCTTCGCCGTGGTCTCGGAGTACATCACGCAGGTCTCTTGCCGATTGTCAAAGAAATTGTGGAAATGCTGTTTTGTCGAGGGTTGCTCAAGGTCTTGTATTGCACCGAAACCTTCGCGATGGGCGTGAACGCTCCAGCTCGATGCGTATGCTTCCAGAGCTTGCGAAAACACGACGGCCAAGATTTCAGAGGTCTTCTGACAGGGGAATACACGCAAATGGCTGGACGAGCCGGAAGACGTGGCCTGGACACTGTCGGCACGGTGATCTTGGCTGCTTGGGACAATTTCCCACAAGAGCTGGAACTCCGCCAGTTGCTTTCTGGTCAAGCGACTAAACTGCAATCACAATTTCGTCTCACATATGGTATGATTCTGAATCTCATGCGCGTCGAGGATTTACGGGTGGAAGATATGCTTGCACGCTCTTTCGCCGAGTTTCACGCGCAACGGAGCTCAATAGATAGAAGAGGCGAGCTTGCTGTTGATATGGCGGCTCTCAGAAAAGTGGAGTCACTGATCGAAGTGGAAGCGCAGTTGTTACCAACAGAATGGCAACGAGCTGTTGAGTGGGACGAATACACCAGGAAAATTGCACAAAGTGGCGAGCACGTTCGAGAGATTATCATGACGAGCCGCGGCGCTCAGAATGCCCTCGTCGCTGGAAGAATCTTACTCATAGCTCCAGAAGGGGAAGGCAACAAATCGGATGGACTTCCGCGAGGTGGTGTTGCCAAGCACTGCATACTGCTACGAACCGTCACTTCCGTCACCAGCGGGAAGGCTTTTGTGGTACTCGCTCCATGTCCAGAGGGTCATGCTGCCTATGGCGATTCTGATTTGCTCGCCGACGCAACGGAAACAAACGAGTTGAAGCCTCTACAAAAAGATGAACTAGATGACGACGACTTCTTCAGTATGTCAGCAAAGACTACCGGCAAGCGCGAACATGAGAGCTCGAATAAACTACCTGAAGGTTTACCTTGGTTCAAGCAAGCAGCGGGCATTGATTACATCGTGGCAAGTGTGCCGGAGACCGCGGTGCTCGCCATCACGACGAGTCGATTGAACGTGGACGCTGGTGCGATTTTAGACAGCAAAAGCCCCAGTGGAGAGGCTTCCAGAACATTGCTTGCCCTCGAAAAATTATCGAATGAGAGTGTGTTTGGGGCGCTTCATCCTCTCAAGGATTTAAAGATTGCGGACATAGTCGCAGTGGAAGCATGTCAACATCATTTCGATTTGGTGAAGGATGCGCCCCCAAAACCGACAGCCTCCGCGCAAAAGCTACGTGAGTGGTCTGCATTATTGAGGGCGAAGCATATCCTCACTTGGAGGGTGTCTGATCTCGAGTTTGGTTTGTCAGACGCCAATCTGCAGCAAATGCCAGATTTCGAAGCGCGCGTTGCCGTGTTGCAACGCATGGGATACCTGGACGAGAACAGGACGATCACCCTTAAGGGTCGTGTCGCGTGCGAAATCTCCACCGGAGACGAACTCGTCGGAACGGAGATCATCTTCGCCGGTGTCCTTGGCGATATCCCGTTTGAGGAAGCCGTAGCACTCCTGGCAGCTCTCGTCTTCCAGGAAAAAAATGCTTCCCCTCCATCGCTCGAAGGTTCGCTCAAGGAAGCGTGCGAACGTGCCAAAGAGTTAGCGTTTGCCGCCGGAGAGTTACAGCTCGCGCACGGGATCCAGATTGCGCCAGACGAGTTCGTAGAGACGACTATGAACTTTGGTTTGTCCGAGGTTGTGTACGAATGGGCGCGAGGCACGCAGTTTGCAGACATTTGTCGGTTGACGGACGTTCAAGAGGGGAGCGTCGTCCGTACCATCGTTCGTCTCGATGAAATGTGTCGCGACGTGAGAAATGCAGCGAGAATCATGGGCGACAGCACGCTGTATGCGAAAATGGAAGAGGCGAGTACAGCGATAAAACGCGACATTGTTTTTTCCGCAAGTCTGTACATAGCGGGCGCGCAATAGTTGTTTAGTATGAACTATATCTAGATTTCGTTTTTACAGTTTCGTTAGTTCCTTCTCGAACGCCTGGGACAACTTTTCCGCGCACTCTCGCACGCCGCTGGGATCGCCCTTCTTGTTGTAGACGTACGCGTTCCTGAAAACCGTGCGCACGAGGGCGACAAACTCGTCCGGACTCTCAATGTGGCCGTCGAGCAGCTTACCCTCGATCGTCTTAAGATCCATGGGATGCTTGATGATCACCGGGTAGTCCGGAATGTTCAGCGCCACCGCGTCCACTGGTTCGGTAAACGGCCACACTTGCTTTTTCATCATGAACAACTTCTTCAGGACGCCCAGGCACGTCTTCTGCCACATCCTCCTACCTTGGTTCAGCGGCGTCGTCCACTCGCACAAATGCGGGTGCGTCTTCTCCATCGCGTTCAGTTCCGCCGCGGTCAACGGTCGTCTCGTGCCGTCCAATTCGACTTTGACGAGCTTGTACGGCTGAAACGGGCTCACCGGCCCCTTCAGCGAGCCATCGTACGCGCCCTCTTCAACACCCTTTGGCACACACACCGCTGCGAACGTCAAAAGCCAAACATCCCACGTCAGTTTCTTCGCATCCACCGCCACCCATCGTCACACATCGCGCGCGCGCGCGTCGAATGCACCGCCAATCATTTTCAAGATCCCACCCTCGCCCGTCGCGATCGCCCTCCCCGTCCGCGCGCGCGCGCGGTCGATCGACCCAACCGCTCGCGATCGCGTCCATGCGCACGCACCGCACTCGCATCCCGGCCTCGCCGGCGGCGGCACGCACACGTCCATCCGCGGCCGCGCGCGCGAGAAGTGCGGCGCGGGGCGCTGCCGCCGCTCGGCGCGGTCGAAAAAACACCCGCGTGTGCAGGTGCGCTCGAAAAAACACCCGCGTGTGCAGGTGCGGTCGAAAAAACACCCGCGTGTGCAGGTGCGCGACCGCGGTCGTCGCCCGCGCGTCCGCGCGCGAGTCCGCGACGTCACCGCTCGACCGCACCGCGCGAACGCGCGAGCGACGCGACGTAAGGACGATCGCGCGCGCGGACGTCGTGCGCGCGAACGCGCGGGGGTGGACCGAGGCGGCGCGCGCGCGGCGGAGATTGTGATTTTTTAAAAAAAAATCGCGCGCGGCGAGCGCGCGGGCGTCCGAGAGATCGACGGCGATAGCGCGCGCGATGACGCCGTCGAGGGCGCGGGGGAAGAGCCCGGACGCGCCGCGACGGTTGGTGCAGACGCTGGACGTCGATGGGGACGACGTGCCGTGCGTGAATTATAAAAAGTTGTTGCGCGAGCAGGGCGGCGCGGACGCGCGGACGTCGGCGGAGAAGGGGAAGGATCGAGCGGAGCCGACGGTGAAGTCGCCGCGTTCGCTGCTCGAGGGTGGCGCCACGGGAGGTGGAGGCCACATGGCGGCGGTGATTCGAAGGATCGAGGCGCTGTATCAGGGCGGACGAGGGAACGCGTCGAGCGATGAGGACGAGGAAGAAGAAGACGAGGAAGAAGAAGACGAGGACGAGGACGAGGAAGACGAGGAGGGTGAGAGCGGTGAGGAAGATGGCGAGGCCGATGATGACGGTGAGAGCGGTGAGGAGGAGGACTCGGGGAGCGAGATGGAGGATCCAGACGACCAGCCGACAATGACGCCGAACGGAACGAGCCGCGTCATCCAGGAACCCACCAAGCCCAAGACTTCGGAGGAGAAGAAAGAAAAACCGGCCAAGAAGAAGAAGAAAGCCAAGAAAAAGAACGGTGACGTCGATTGGTACGACGTCGACGACGATTTCATCGACGACGATGAACTGGATGAATATTTTGAAGATGACGGATTGAAGACAAAGCACAGCGGCTTCTTCATCAACAGAGGCGAGTTGCAAAGAGTCGACGAGGAAGGGAGGACGCCGGTCAAGCGTGCGCTCGAGGACGAATCACCCGTGGCCGTCGTCAAAGAGAAGGGGCGAGTGGCAAAGAAGCCCAAGGCGACGGAGTGGACGGAGGAGGCAAAGAAGCTGCTTCGCAAAGCGGTGACCATGTACGGGAAACAGTGGAGAGTGATTCAAGATCTTGGCGGCGAATTCGACGAGCTCAAGGCGTACTCCACGGCTCGTATGGCCAAGCAGTGGACTGTTTTGCACGAAGAGCTCATTGCGCGAGGGATCGACATCGTCATCCCGGTCGCTCCGCCCAAGCCACCGTCGTCGACGACGCTCGCAAAGGGTGCTGAAGACGGCGATGCCGAGGATGGGCTGAACACGCCGAAGCGAATGCATCAAGAGAGCGCGGCGAATAATTCTTCGCAGAAAAAGCCGAAAAAGCCGAAAGTTTCCGATAGGGACCTGGATGAGACTGATCCAAGGCATTCCGAGGCGAAGAAACGAGTTGTAGAGAGCAAAGACGGAGAGTTTGCCAAGCTCAAGGCGATGGTGGAGACGCAGTGTGACACAATTCGTACCAAGGAGACGAGCAAGGCGAGTGACGAAGCGCCGAAGCGTTTTACGTTTGAATGGACGGATGAGATTGCGGACTTCATGTATTGCACGCTCTCTCGTCTGTTTTTTGCACTACCGAAGAAGGGGGCGAATGTACTCTGGAAGGAAGTAGAAGAGCTATGGCCGAAGGATTTTGAGATGCAAGAGACGACTCTTCGAAAGAAACACACGTCGGTCCAGAAGAAGAAGACCGCCGCGGAGAAGCAAGCTATCATTGGTTTGCCCGGTGAGGAGGACGGTACGCCAGCTTAAGCGACGTTAAATATTAGGTGTCCGTATTAGTCAACAATTCGAACAGCACCTCGCGTCGACGTGAGCACCCCTCTTCAAACACCTGCGACACGCGGTCAATCAATCCATGCGCGGCGTCGATGGCGAACGCCGCGCGTTCGGTTGAACGCTCGCGATCTTCGACGATCGCCTCCACGGCTTGCCCGACGTCGTTCGCGAGCAACTTGCCAACGCCTCGAACCGTTGCGTCCGCCTCGACGAGTTTTCCGCGCACCGCGCGCAGAAATTCCATGAGTTCATTCCTCTCTGCCTCCGCCGCCTCCCGGCGAGCTCGTTCATCCCGAAGCGCGTTCTCGTACCTCACTAACTCGCGCACTCGATTCACTTCCTCTCCCTTGGCGTCTCGATTGATCTCCATGAGCGCCGCCCGCGTCGCGCGCGTCTCCTCTCGTTCCGCGCGTCTCAATCTCTTCACCGTCTCCAACTCCACCAGCGCCTTCCGAGCGCTCGCGCGCCCGAGTTCAATCTCTCGACGCATCCGTGCGCGCTCCGCCGTCCACTCGCGCTCGGCCTCCCTTCGCGCGCCGTCGGTCTCGTCAGTCAACTGCGCCGGTTCGCTTCACGCAACCTTTACGTTCGGTCAACCCGTCTCCTCCGTCGTTCGCGCGTCCCTCGCTCGCGCGCGCACCGCACCTGTGCGTCGCCACCGCTCGAATCTCCCCGTCCGAGCGCGGCATCGCGACGTCTTCGATCTCGACCGCGAGCGTCGAGCGTCGAGCGATGTCGTCGAGGACGACGAGCCATTCGTCGATTCGCCTTCGCGCGCGCAAATCCATCGAACGACGACGCGCGCGCGCGTCACCGCTCGCGCGCGTCATCACATCGCGCGCGTCATCGCGTCGCGCGCGACGTCGACGCGCGCGACGCGAGCGCGACGCACCGGACGCCGCCGCCGACGCTTTTTCGCCGCGCGCGAGACGACGGACCGCGACGCCGACGACGAGGGATGGAGACGACGGGCGCGGGCGCCGCGAGCGATCGACCGTCGAGCGTCGCGATCGACGACGCGGCCGAGCCGACGTCGTCCGGTCGTCGTCCGGAGATGTACGTCGTGGCGCACAACGTGGCGAAGAGACACAACCTCGGGATGATGATGCGCTCGTGCACAGCGTTCGACGTCAAGGCGCTGGTGTTGATCGGAAGCCGAAAGTTTAACGCGTTTGGGTCCCAAGGAGCGGACGCGCACGTCGCGTTCGAGCACTACGAGACGTTGAGGGAGGCGAGAGAGGGGTTGACGGCGAAACGCGGCGTGACCAGAGTGCTGGGGGTGGAGATAGTGGAAAGCGCGGAGCCGATCGAGAGTCATCCGTTCACTGGGAACACGGCGTTTGTCATGGGGAATGAGGTATGTTTTAACGCGCGACTGACGCGCGCGCGAGCGGTGTGATGAACCCGAACGCGCGACTGACGAGCGAGGCGCGTCTTGACGCGCAGGGTCACGGACTCACGGAACAACAAAAGGCCATATGCGATGGATTCGTCTACATACGCCAGTACGGCCCCGGAACGGCGTCTTTGAATGTTTCTGTCGCGGCGTCCATTGTCATGCACCAGTTCGCTCTGTGGGCAAATTATCAAGAACGCGAGCGCGTCGGCGAAAAGTTTGTCGTCGCCGAGCGCCCGCTTCGCACGCGCAAGCGCGGAGAGATCGGAGAGGACCCGGAAGAGGTGCGCGCGAGACGCGCTGCCGCTCGTGCGGCCAGAGAACTCGAAAATGCTCGCAAGGACGAAGATTCGACCCCGCTCATCGAGGCATTAGACATGTAAGACGACGCCTCAGGCGTCCCTTAACCAACTCGTTCCAACTGTAAATCAAATCCTTCCCGCACTTATCGACCCCCCTCGCGTGATGAAAGTCGCCGTGCGCTGGTCCGGGGGCGACCCGTCGACGTTTGAGGTCGACGTGAACGGCGACGCCACCGTGTGCGAGCTCAAACGCGCGATCGAGCTTCGAACGTCGGTGAAATCGTCTCGAGTCAAGCTGCTCAACGTCAGAGCCGGCGCTAAGTTGGCGTCGGACGAGGACACATTGACAACGCTCAAGATGCCAAAGACGGTGATGATGATGGGCGTGCGCGAGAGCGCGCTGGCGGCGATGCGAGAGAGTGAGGCGGTAGCGGAGGCGAACGCGCCGGAGTTGGAGGATGACCTGGACGAGACGAGCTCGAGAGAAGTCGCGGCGTCTTGTGCGACGGATGAACGCTTCTTGGCGAAATTGAGAAATCGAATCGCGAGCGCATCGATGAAGGTGCTGAGGGAACCGCGGGTCGGGGCGAAATGCTTGGTGTTGGACATAGATTACACTTTGTTCGATCATCGAACGACGGCGGAGACGCCAGAGGAGATTATGCGCCCGCACTTGCACGAGTTTCTCACGCGAGCGTACGAAGCAGGATACGACTTGGTCATCTGGTCCGCGACATCACTCAAGTGGATCGAGCTGAAGATGACCGAGCTCGGAGTTTTGACCAGCGAGTCCTTCAAAGTCGTCGGTCTCATTGACTCGACCGCGATGATAACAGTCGAGACAGCCAAGTACGGGTTGTTTAACTGCAAGCCGCTTGGATTCTTGTTCGCGAAACTCCCTCAGTACACCCCCAAAAACACGCTGATGTTTGACGATTTATCGAGAAACTTCGTCATGAATCCTCAGCTCGGACTGAAAATTCGCCCGTTCCGGAACGCACATACACATCGAGCCACCGACAGGGAACTCTTGGGACTGGCGCGTTACGTCGAGGCCATCTCAAAACTGGAAGATTTCTCCGGACTCAATCACAACCGGTGGGAGTCGTACCTCGCCAAGCGCGATCGTAACGATGACGCGAACGACCGCGCATCATAGCCACGTAGCACAAACTTTGCGCGCGCGACCCCCACCGGCTAGCATCTCGATCTGGTCTCCGCAATCCCCGTCGCGTTGTCGACGACCCCAAGAGGTGCTGAGAACGCTGCGTATGTTCATCTGCGAAATATACGGCCGACTATTGCACGCGTAATCACCATCAAGCGCACGACGTGAGTTTCAGAGTTTCGGGATTTTGATTTTCGACCAAGAACCGACCGAGCTCCTTCCAACATGGTCGAGCACCCGTCGAGCCCGAAGAAGTCGATCGATGACGTCGAGCGCACGGTGTTAATCGCGGTGGAGATGATGGAGCGACAGCTCGGTCGACAACTCAGAGTGCTATCGACGCAGGTGGCGGATCTCTCGCGAGAGCTCTCGCGCACGCACACCGAGCTGAAACACTTGATGGGGGAAAACTGTACAACGACAACAGTGACGGTGGACGCAAAGCCGGCGGCGATGCGATTGGAGAGCAAGGCGGAGGTCATGGAGTTGAACGAGATTGTCGAGAAGGATAAGACGAAGGAGGAGGCGCAGAAGAAACCGGAACCCGCGGCGTGCGGGCTGCTGCAGTCGACGAAAAAGGAGCGCAAGAGTGAGGATAAGAAGCGAAATTTTGTGGAGACGGACGCAAATGCGGAGGTAATCGAGGCGAAGAAGAAGCGTACGTTTCTCGACGATGACGACAGGACGTTTCTAGATGATGACCTGACTCAAGACGAGCAGTTGCTCGTCACCACGGGTCGCGGCCGGATGGGTGAGGTGCAGTCAACACCACTCGGATTCGCTTACTGGACGAAGGGCGACCGCGAGACACTCCTTTCGATCGGGACGAAGATCGGTGTCGAGCCGCTGACCATGTACAGCATGAACCGTTATAAGCTGAAATTGAAACAGTTCAGAGTGCAAGACGAATTCGTTAGTGGCACGCGGCTGTGGATTGTCCCACACGAAGACTGGGAGCATCAGTACATTCAAGAGGATAGATGCAAGGTTCTTCAAGACTTGTACGATCGCATCAACGACGTCTGGCCTGATTTCCTGAAGAACACAAAACCTCTGGCCGACATCAAGCGCTCCCAGCTCGCAAAGTACGAGAGCTCAAAGAGGTTCTACGACATGGTGCAGGCGACAATGAACCGGGCCGAGACGCAGGCGAGAACGGCGTGTGCCGCGGAGCATTTGCACGATTTAAAGATCGTTCGTCTAGAGTTCGAGAAAAAATGGCGAAGGGACGGTTTCTTACCCCCTAGCGAGATCATTGAGCGACATTAGGGCAGCTTTGATACCAATATACATGTGTGTGCAGAGAGTGGCGTTGCTCCAAGATATCGTCAACTGCGCGCAACAGCCTCACTCAGCGCCTCGCCGACGTGGATACAAGCTCGCGCGCGTGTCAAACGAACGTGATCGTCGCGCGCGTATATACTGTCTCCGTCGTCCCATGCGCGCGTGCGCGGCGCCGCGCCCGTCCGCGCCAACGATAACCGTCTCACGTCGGTCGGTCGAGCCAGCACGTACCCAACACCGAATTCGTCGTCGTCCAAACATCACCGCTCCATCTGCGTCGACGGACGGTGCGAGTGATACGTCTTCATCGTCTGCGACCTCGCCGCAGCGCGTGCTCATCACTGGATCGACGCGCGGATTGGGACTCGAGCTGGCGAGAAGTTTCTTAACACGTGGCGATAAGGTCTTTGTGACATCGCGAGACGCGGAAAAGGTCAGAGAAACCGTCAAGGCGCTACGAGAGGAGTTCGGAGATGATTTTGTTGCCGGTCTCGAGGCGGACGTCAGTCGAGCGGAGAGCGTCGAGGCCGTGGCGGAGGCGGTGGTGGACGCGTTTGGAGGCGTGGATTTGTGGATTAATAACGCTGGATCGAACGGTTATGCATACGAAAACTTAGAGGAGGCCGATCCGTTGGTGTTGCAAGAGATCGTGATGACAAATTCGCTGGGCTCATTGCTGTGCACGAGACAAGCGATTCGAACGATGCGAAAGACGTCCGGAAGAGGACACATCTTCAACATGGAAGGCGCCGGCTCAGACGGCAGCGCGACTCGCAAATTTGCAGCTTACGGACACACCAAGGCTGGCATGGCGCAGCTTTCTAAGACGATGGCGGTCGAACTCAAGGGTTCGTCCATTGGAGTTCACACCATCAGTCCGGGTATGGTGTTCACTGAGCTCATTTCCAGCGGGCGCTTTGCCTTTGGAAGTCAAGGCCGCATGTTTGTCAACGCTTTAGCCGAACCGGCCAATGTGACGGCAGAACAGATTGTGAAGAAGATAAAAGTGGCGACGGAAAGTCCAGAGTCCGTCAATAAGACGCTCGCTATCAAGATTTTGACGCCGGACGTGGCACTTAAGAAAATGTTTGGTCGTTTCATCCTCGGTGAGAACAAAGATCGATATTATCCGGAGAAGGAGTGATGCTTATGAAAAGGTCGTCATCGTGTGTGAAAGATCAAGTGAGCTATTTAACGAGTGCAAATGTGTTTTTGTTTTTTCATCTATGTTGCGTCGCGCCTGTCGTGAATCGAACGTCTCATGATGACTCTCTCACGACATCTGAACCCGTTCACTTCAATGGCTTCTCCGTTCACGATGGCATTCCGAGTGTCTAAATCAGTCCATTTATCGAACGATACCACAGCGAAGAAACATCTGACTTTTCTCGAAACACCAACGTATACGCGTTCGACCGAACCGTAGCCCGTCATGATGCCCCGCACCCAAGAACTCGCCTCCACCGAGAGGGCTTGAATGACTCGGTACTCATTCTCTGACGGAGAATCTCGCAGTTGAAGAATGCCATCATCAATGCGAAGCTTCTTGCACACTGATTGCATAAAATCAAGGGGCAGCGATTTTAGATTCACCTTTGGGTTGCTCAAATTTCTTGGCGTTTCGATGATCGTCGCCTTGTACCAATCGTCGACTGGCGGAAAAGTGAGCGGCGGCGATTCGCTGCTGCATCTCGACGGGGCTCCCGTATTCACTTCTTTTGCGGTCACCTCTTTCGCGGGTTTGTTCGCGATTGAGGCGTACGCCGGCTTCTCTTCATAGCGTAAAATCGTCGATCGCATGTTTTCAGGTGGAGGTGGGACAATCGTGGGCGCAATCGTAGGCGTCGCCTCTTGATCAGCTTCCTCAGCGCTGAGCCAATGTGAGGAGAGAGGTCCGACAATTCGAGCGCTGAGCACCGCTTCATGAAGTGTCACTATTCCTACGGCGCGATACATTCGCCCTCCTCGACGCGATTTGATGATATCAACGACCACCGCACCCTGAGTTCCTGAAGATCGTGGATCGCACTTGAATGGGAGTAACATCTGAATCTTACCAGGTCCGCGTTGACCTTGCAATCGAGCAAATCGCAGCACAGGAACGTGATAGCCGTAAGACACCAAGCGCGCTAAACGCGATACGGCGTTCATACTGAATTGCTGTCGCATGCTCGTATCGACAAACTCTTTCGGAAATATTGCCGCATTATCCTCGAGAGAGGCCCAGAATTTAGCATCAATTTCGAGCGTGACATCGTCATCGTTGTCAGCCAGCCATAGCCGATCGAGCTCGTCGTCGACAAACGTTGCCCGCGGTGGAATGTGTAGAATTGGCTCGATTGCGTTCCACGGCTGCGATGGATCTCGAAGAGCGATATCGTCCACGAATCCACAGAGCTCCCATCGCTCACCATTCACCATCGCCCTGGCGTCATCGATCCCAGCGTTCAGCGAAACATGAGATTGGGCCTTCGTCGCGGTGATTTTCTTCTGCGTTGGGCTCCCAGCGTCGGCATAAAAGAAATCGGCGTCCTCCTCGGCGAAATCTCGACTGAACACGGCGAAAAGAGAGAACTCATCCCTCGAGAGCAAATTGCAATGAAACACTGCCCAAGCCGCATCGCCGCGTTCCGTGAAGCATTGGACCATCTTACCCTGCTCGATGCTTCGCAAAAATTGCGCGTCAAGGTAGGCCTCCATCATTCCAGGACGCCATTTCTCCACGCTGGCGACGCGTTCCAAGCCTACCGCGCTCGTCGCCCGGATCGCACGCATCGTCCCCGCGCTCGTCCTCGTCGCCTCCCCCTCAACCTCCTCGTCCTCTCTCATCCGGGCCCACTGCCTGAGCGTCAACACGTTCTTCTCGAATCCACTCAATCGAACGCCATCGACGTTTGAATCGCTCAACATCCCTCGTTCGTGCGACAATTTTCCGCCGACTCGGCTCGGTCGACACCACCCCGGCTCTCGTCCGCGCGCCGGCGCTTTTCCATCCGGAGAAGGCATCTTATGCGTCACCGAATCCGGCGACGACGCGCGTCCCCATTCGAGTCTCTTCGTCGACGTATTTTCATCGTCCATCATCTTCTCCCGTCCGAGCGCGCCGTCGCCACCGCTTTCCACCGCGCACCGAGTGTCGTTCGCGAGCGATCGATCGCGTCGATTCGCCTTCTCCACTCCACCCCCCGCGCCCCCGTCCCACGCGGCGTCGTCGTCGTCGTCGACGCGTTCGCCCGGCGCGCGTTCGCCCTCGCGGTTGCCCTCGTGGACGTCGCGTCGTCCGCTCCCGTCGCGCCCTCGCGCGGCGCCGCGAACGCGTCGTCGATCGGTCCGAGACCACGCGCGCGCGCGCTGACCGCGTCTCGGACCGATCGACGCCGACCCGTCGGCGATCTCGCGCGGTTCGAGACGGGCGACGCGGGCGCGGGACGCGGTCGAGGCGCGAGAGCGCGCACCGACGACGCGGACGACGCCGACATGGCGTCGGCGACGACGGTGAACGAGAACGATCACGACGCGCGGTACGAAGCGGTGAACGACGCGTTGCTCGGCACGGGGTCGTACGGGTACACCAAGCTCATGCGCGAACGGGCGACGGGGAAGATGTACGCGCTGAAGTACATTGAGCGCGGGGAGAAGATCACCGAACACGTGCGGCGAGAGATTACGAATCACAGAAATCTGTCGCATCCGAATATAGTAAAGTTTAAGGAGGTGTTAGTGACGCCGACGCACCTGGCGGTGGCGATGGAGGCGGTGGGCGGGGGGGAATTGTTCGGGTACGTGCAGCAGCAGGGTTCGTTCACCGAGTCGCAGGCGAGGTATTTCTTCCAACATCTCATCTCTGGGGTGGAGTATCTGCACAACATGCGAATCTCGCACCGAGATTTGAAACTCGAGAATACGTTGGTGGATCTCACGACGACGCCGGTGCTGAAAATTTGTGATTTCGGGTTCTCAAAGGGCGGATTCGATAGCCAGCCAAAAACACAAATCGGGACGCCGGCGTACATCTCCCCAGAGGTGTACAGCGGGGCACAGCCGTACGACGGGGCGGCTTCGGACGTTTGGGCGTGTGGGGTCTTACTGTACGTCATGTTAGTGGGGAGATACCCGTTCTCGGACCCGCAAGATCCGAACAACTCGCACAAAATGATGCAACGCGTTCTCCAAGCGAGGTTTGCGTTACCTAAGGATATGACAGACGAGTGCAAGGATTTGCTCACGAAAATCTTCAACGTCGATCCGAGGAAGAGACTTACCGTGGCTGGAATTTATCATCATCCCTGGTTTTTGCACGATTTGTCACCGAACGTGCCACTCGGACCGAAGCAACCGGGACCGCTGGCACCGGACACGGAGGGGCTGCAAAGCCTTGATGACATCAACGCCGTCATCGACGTCGCTCGCGAGCCACCGGCGAAGTCATCGAGTCCATGGGGGTACGATGAAATTGATGGGGAAGTGATAGACGATGGAAGTTATCTTGATGACGACTATTAAACATGTTGATAGGTGCTAAAAGCAAAAGTTTCAGTAGACTGCCGAACGGCGTGTGTAAATAAAAAATTCTCTAGAGCTCTACTGCACCGGCTCAGCGATACTGGTGCATTCGCAAAGGACAGTTCCTAGAACCTGTTATCCGGGCGCGTGCGTAACCATTCTTGCACGCCCTTGTTCCGCCCAACCTCGTCCACAACGGCCCTAACCTTTGGGGCGTTAGCGCACGCAGCCATCGCCTTCTCGCCGTCGCTGAAAGACTGCGTCAGGGCGCAATACAGCACGATATCGGCGAGAGACATCTTCCTTCCGATGGCATAACCACCTTCGCCGGTAATACATTCAATCTTTTCCATCCATTGCTTCATGGTCTCGTTGTACCACTTCTCCTTTGCAGCTTCAATCTCCGGGGTCGTGGGAGCAAAAGGATTTCCTCTCACCTTTTGGTACGCCTCTCGAAGATCGCGCACGTGTTCGCAGTACGCATCGATTTCGGCCTCCTGCAACGCGCCTTTACCCATCAAACCCAAATCTTTCGCCACGAATCGCTCGATGGCGCGACTCTGACCGATGCGTTGCCCCTGGAACTCCAAAACCGGCAAGCGCTTGAGGTTCGAATTGAACACGCCAGCATCTTTATCCACGCCATGCTGATCGCAAATCGTCGGCTTGGGACCGTCCATGGAAAACGTGTACCTATAGTCCTCGAAATCCACGCCCGTAGCGGCAAAGATCGTGCGAATGACCTCGGCCGCCCCCTTGGCATCAAAGTACCGAAGCATCGGCTTGCTCTTACGCAGCTTGGACCCGCTCTTGGCCGCGATGTGCGCCTTGACGATCAGCGCGCTCGCGACGAAGCCGGCGGTGAACGCCGCGGACGGAGACGACACCACGCTCTTCCAATCCGTCGTCGGCTTGACCTCCTTTGTAGGCTTGGCGGCGATGGAGAACATCTCGCGGTGGGTCACTGGCGGGGCCAGGGCGTCGACGTTCGCTTTGGCGACGACGCGAACGCGACGGTCGCGACGGTCTGTCGCGTTGAGTGCTTTCGCGGTCAACGCCACGGGCGCTCGTGCGGCGAACATCCGAATTGGACGGCTGCGGGACGACGCGTAGTGCGAACATCCTTTTGAGAGCGGTCTTTTTGTTGTCACTACGGAGAGTCTCTACGGATCTAGGAGCTACGATACGAGTACAATGAACTAAATAACTAATGATCATCAACATGACTTTTTTGACGATCCGGTTGAAAGCCGGGCGCGTGACAACACCGGATCGAGAGAGTGCGTTCGAACGAAGGTGACGAGCAACGAAACATTTGCAGTGAAGAAAGTCATCGAGGCGAGCCAAAGGGGCTCGAACACCTGTGCACCCTTGAATTCCAGAGCGTACGCCCAAGCGAGCCAGTGTAATTGGGCGATGAGCCAGATCATCATGGCGAACCCAACCTGTTTGCGCCCCTCGCTTCGAGCAAGAGAGGGCAGCAGGAGCGGAAGGAGCATGAACCACCAAACGAAATACTGAGCCGTGACCACCTTGTTGAAAGCGACGAACGCGAGGGTTTGCGAGAAAAGTGCGAATGGAAGATCACACGCGTACCGTACACCCAGAATACTCACGACGATCAGCGATGGTAGAGCACTAGACGCCAATCTGTGCAAGAGCTCTGCCGCCGTCGAGAGCGACACGCTCACGTCTTGATGCGAATCTAAATAAACCCCATAAAACGCTGAAGCGAAATTATGACGGTGGTCCTTCCTTTGCAAATGGTACAACATCGCCTCGTTGATGTAATCCGAACCGTACGCGGCGTACGAACCCCAGGTGAGAGCCAAGAACGTCACAGCGGAGACGAGTCCGAATTTCACATTTTCAACGGTCACCCATCGAACTGAACTGAAACGACCTCCTCCGAGCAGGGGACGATTACCATCGTAATCCTCGTTTAGGAACGCGATGAATGTCACGACGTGTATGATGGGATAGAGACGGAAGTGCACGAGGGCGCCGTATGCGACTGCAGCTCTCGACGTCTTTCCCACCAACAGAGCTTCGACCGTCAACAGCACCAGAGTTCCCGTTAGCGCTTCACAGCTCCCTCTGGTGCTAATTGTGCACGTGAACGGATTGAATAACCAACACCACGCCGCGTGTTTGAGCTCCCGCGCGCTCGCACCTCGAAGACGTAATATTTTTACCAAGAGCACGCCCACGACGACATCCAACACACCGAACAGCACCTTCCCGAAGCACTCGTGCACGAAGACGTTCGGTGTTAACAGCGCCGCTAAGAGCGGCGGGTATCGATACGTCGCGCGCTCGTACGGAGATCCTCTGCGCGCGACGTGTCGAGCGGCGTCGGTGTAGACGAAGTAATCGATGTCCGTGTACTTGACAGCGAAGTTTTTGTCCTGGTAGACGCTCCACGCGATGAGTACGATGCGAAGGGCGACCGCGAGGAGAAAGGTGACGCCTAGGCCGTCGCGCGGACGCGGTGCCATCGGCGGTGGCGCTCTGTAACCGAGCGCCGCGCTGTGGGACTTGTTTGGCGACGCGTGCCGAAACAGTTGCGGCAGTACTGGAACGCTTCAAGCGCAAGCACGCGTCCGCGGTGTCGAGATGGACAGTGTTCAACTTCAAAGTTGCTATGCTAGTATAGTTACTTTAACGTGCTCGCCTGATCTCTGCGACAAGTTGATCGAGCTTCGAGCGGAGTTCCTCTCGAGGCGTGCTTGCAGCGCGCCAAGACGCCTTTTGCTCCGACTGTGCGTCGCTTTGCTTTGCCCTAAAATTGAGCTGAGTGCGAAGAGACTCCAGGGAGTTGATAACGCTGGCTGTCTGTGAGCATTGATAGATAGGGTAGTCCATGCAGAGCGGAGAGGCCGGTCTAGAAGGCGTCGAGCAAGCTGTCGACGAAGGTGACCTGCCGACGCGATTCATGAAGTCAACCATTCTTCGCAGACGTATTTCTGCATTCTGTGCGGCCGTCTCGGACGCTGCACGACGAACATCCGCGTCTTTGGCCGCTTTTTCGATCATCATCAAACGGTAGTATGCCTTTTCTTCTTCAGATGCGGGCGTGGGACTGTCATCAAACAGACGCCGCCCTCTGACGTCCATAATCGGACTTTCGTGTGGCGTGTTGTGCGCGCTGTCAAAAATATCGGATCTGAGGCGACTGACTTGACACGAGGACTGTGGCGTCATCGCGTTCATCATGTTCCATGACATTTCTCTCTCAGCCGTCTCTTTCGCGAGTTGAAGAAGCTGAACCGCCTCAGCAAGCGCCTCCTGAGATTTCTCGATGTCCGCTTCGCATCGGATCTTCTCCTCCTTGAGTTGCTCGACTTCTGTCTTCAGCGCCTCCGTCGCTTTTTCAGCGGTATCTCTGGCCTGTTGCTCTTGTTCCAACAACTGTGTACCCAACTCGCGCTGTTGATCGAGCTGAGCTCGCACCTCCTCCAACTCCTGCTCAAGTGTGCTCTGATCTCCGTCGAGCTCTCTCAGCATTGCCGACTTGGATTCAACAGCCCTCTCAAGCTCCTCAAGCTCGGATCGCACCTTTTCTATGTAAGACTCGTGCTCTTCGAGAATATTCGCCGCGACTTGCGTATCAGATTTCAACTTTTGCATGTGCGCGGTCTCGTTCTCGACCTCCGCTCTGACCTCATCCAGATGCTTACGCAACCGTTTCTCCTCCTCTTGACACGCCTTGCGAACGCACGCGGAGTTCTTTCGTTGGTACTCCAAGTTCTCCGCCAAACGCGCCTCTTCGTCCTCTAAGAGTGATAGTCGCGTGCGCGTTGAATTTATCTTATTCTCTACGTCTTTGTCTTCATCGTTGGACGTCACCACGACGCGCGCCGTGAGTGCGTCCTTGGTCTCCCTCTTGAGCGCCTCGAGCTTCAGTCTTTCCACGATGACTTCGCCTCGTACTTTTTCCAGCTCAGCTCGAAGTTGTGCTTGTTCGAATCCATAATTCAGGGGATCCGGACTGGCTACGTCGTTATCCGATCCCACGCGTTCGGCCGTTGTCTCCTGCTCCTCGCGCTCGCGTCGACTCTGCAGCAGCGCCCTGACGAGCTCTTCGGCGTCAGCGCTCATGGAGCGGGCAACGCCTGATCTCTCAACCGGCGTTGCCGGCGGCGCCTCCGGTCGCGTCTCCATCTGCGTTGCTCTCTCTTCGCTCGCCGTCGCTCCCGAGGAATCGTATCTCTCGAACAATTCCTTCGCCTTCTCTGTCGCGCGTCTTGCCTCGTCCCGGACCGCCTCGCACTGCGCCTCCACGCGCGCTCTGAACGCCGCCGCGCGCGTTTGCTCATCCGTCGCGCTTTCAACCGTTCGTTCGCTCGGTGTCATCGCGCGCGTCGATCCAATCGCACGCGTCGCCCTCCGCGTCACCCCGCGCGTCTCTTCGCACCGCGAACACCGCTCGGATCGAACGCCGCGATCGGTCGACCGATCGTCCGCGCGCGGTCCCGCCGCGATTCCCGCGCGATCGATCGCGCGCCCTCTCCCGCGCGCCGTCTCGCCGTGACGCGTCGGCGCGCGCGCGAACGACGGTGGTGCGAACACAGTCTGCACCGATGGTCGATCGCGCGTCGGCCGCGACGCGCACTGACGCGCACGCGGCGACCGCGCGCGAGCGGACCCGCGCGCGCAATCGCGCGTTTTCGCGCCCGTCGACGCCCGCGCGCGGTCTCTTCGCGTTTTCCGTTTTCTGACTCGGATGCGTGGCAAATTCGTGGTTCAGGACTCGCGCGATGGATGGCTGAAAAATCAGGAAGGCGAACCGGCGTTTTTTTCGCAATTTCGGCGTCCCTCGCGTGTGTCGCGAAAGAGAATGCGAAGCGTCGCGGTGCGTCCAGGCGGACGCCGTGGGTGCGTCCAGGCGGACGCGCACTCGTGCTCGCGCTCGGCACACGTGGGCGCGGGATCTCGCGCGACGCGAGGGAAACGTGCGAGGGAGGACGCCGCTGCGTCGTTTCATAGCGATGACGCCGATGCATGGCGAAGACGCCGACGCATTGACGGCGGAGGACGTCGTCGCGCTCGTCTCGAAGATGCGCGAGCTGGACATCCTGGACTTTGGTTCTCTCATCGTGAGCGACGCGAAACGAGGTGTGGTGACGCGCGATCGGTTGCGTGAGGATGCGCGCGCGGAGTTACTGCGACGGGGTGGACGGGCGACGACGACAGCGATCGCGATGGCGCTCGAGGTGGACGTAGGGGACTGCGAACGCGAGCTCAAGGCGTTGGCGAGAGACAAAGAGTTAGGCGCGCGGTTCTTGGAGGGAGAACTCATGACCGAGGATTACTTTTCTACCGTTGTTCACGAGATCGTGGAGACGCTGCGAACGAGCGGAGTGACGTCGATCAGGGATTGCGCGAGGAAGTTTTCGCTGAGCTCGGAATTGGTCTCGCGCGTCTTGCGCGAGCGCGTAGGCGCGTCAATCGAAGCAAAGTTGGAGGGATCGTTAGTGTACACACCGGCTTACGTCGATCGACTTGCGGAGCGTATTCAAGACGCGTTAGGCGAGTGTACGGCGCCGACCTCGAAAGAGGCAGTGCTCAGTTTGGCGCTTGGCGACAATGATGGTTTAGTGGACTCTGGCGCGCAACTCGCAGCAAAGTTGCTAAGCGATGTCATCAAGTCTAAGAAGGCGCAGGGTACGATGAACGCTGGATTTTGGTATCCGGAGGTGCACTTGATCGCGCAGCGGAAGAAACTAAGAGAAGCGTACGAACGGCACGGTATTGTGACCGTCGCCATGGGGGCAGCCTTGGGAATCGACGCGGAGGAGACAAAATCCATCATCACGGTAATAGATGGTGGATATGTGGATTTTGGATCTTACTTCGTCGCGAAAAGGGTGTTAGAGCAGCTTGAAATCTCCATCAGAGAGGCGCTAGCTGAAGACGGATACTGTCGAATCGCCGACGCCTTGCCAGATGGTCTCGGTTCAGAGGTGCTCGCACACACATCCGTGCTAAAAAGCAGCGCAAGCGTTGGAGATTACGTCGTAACCAATCATCTAGTGAAGAAATGCATCGAGAATGCGAAACGAGTCGGACAGTCGACGGCGGAGAACGTTTTGCGTGAGAATGGGGCGGACTTAGATGCATTGAAGGGAATGCTCGTTTCGACAGGAGCTTCTGCCTCAACTGAGGAGAAGATCTACGCAAAGGGACCGAAAAAAGGCAAAAAGGATTCAAAGGGTCATCGTGCTCGAGACGATGCGTTGGCGGGCGATCAAGGTCTACCGCTCAAGTCTAACGCTCAAGGAAACAAACTGTCTACATCTTTGCACGTGTTGAAAGATTCCGACATCACCGGGAGTATGCGACGGGTCGTTCCTGAAGCTGATGATGAACTCGTGCGAGAGCTCACGAAGATGTTTAGGACGTTCGCTAGTGCTGAGTTCAACGAGCGTGTGTCTTTTGCCATCGACAACTTTGGCGACAAATTGAAAATGTCGCGAGAGCTTGCTGCTAAGAGATTTTTGGAATTGTACCCCACCGCGGCGCTCATTTCCAAGGGTACGGAAGAAGTACTAGCCAATGACGTGCATGCCGTGAAGTACACTTGTCGACAGTACGCTTTGCCATGTGCTGATGCATTTCTGCGCTCACAAATGGAGAAGGCCGTGGACGACTGTGATGTCACGGCGCCACTCACCGACAAGTGGCGCTCTGGCATAGTGGAAAGTTTTCCAAACTATCCAGCCGACGGTAAACCGCTCGGACGCGCTCTCTTGGAGTCAATAAAGAGTGGCAAGTCTCCGGTGGACGTCGTGGAGCGCGTCGCGACGCTCGCGGAGGCTTTTGGCATTCGTCTTCCTTCAATGAACAGAGCGGCGGCGCGGTCGATCCTTCAAGCACACAAAAAAGGTCTCGAAGATCAGCTCAGCGCCGAACGAGACGTCGCAAAGGCATTGCTCATCGCTGTGCCGTATTTGGTCGCCGTCACGCGTGGCAAAGTCGTCGCCATCACCGGAAGATCCCTTGTTCCCGCGCTCGAGGCGTGCGGCGAGAGCCTTGAAACTGCTCGCCGAAACGTCGTCCGAAACGCCATCGCTAGAGTGGTCGAAGAGCTCTCTGGATCGTCCCCCGCATCGCCCACGGTCGATATCGACGCTCTCAAGGACGCCGTTTTTTCAAGTGCCGATGCCGACGCGTCGCAGAATGATCATTAGTGTACATATAGAAGCGCTCGCAGCACTCACGCAACCGCACGAGCCACCTCTTCCGCACAGCTCGCCTTGCGCGAGCACCCTCGTCGTCATGTCCGCCATCACGGTACGCGCGATAACGTCAAACGAATATAATCATGCGCGTTCCGCCGCGTCACGACGTGCCCCGTCGACCAATCGCGCCGTCGACGCGTGCGCGAAGAATCTCATCTTTCGCTCGGCACCGTTGGGTTGTTTAGCGAGATCCTCCCCGTCGATCGCGCCCTTTGACTAATGACATCGAATCGCGTGCGCGAATACATTGTGAACAGGTTACGAACGTGGCGCCGAGCGCGGAGGAGTCGAACCTTCGAGAGTTTTTCAGCACGGCTGGGGAGATCGAGCGCGTGCGCATCTTCGACGGGAGCGCTAAGACGGGCGGACGACGCGCAGTGATTGAGTTCACGCATAAAGAGGCGGTGAGCGCGGCGGTGCTGCTAAACGGATGCCTGTTACTAAATCATCCGTTGAACATCGTTGAGTGCGCGTATCCGGTCTCGGATGACGTCGCGAACGAGGACGTGAAGCTGAACACCTTCGAGAGCAAGTTTGCCGGCTTTCTCGGTAAGACGCTCTTGGCGGGCAAGCAGGCGCTTGAAGCGGTGAAAGATTTCGACGAGAGGAATCAGATCACAGCGAAGACAAAGCAAAACATCAAGGCGTTGGATGACAAGCTTCAGTTTACCGCGAATGTGAAGAAGTTTGATGAAAAGGCTGGCGTAACGGAGGGTGTTAAAAAGACGGTGGCAACGGTGAACGCTCAGGCAAAGGAGATCGATCGATCGCTGAAGATCTCGGCGACGACGAACGCCGTGGTTGGAATGGGCAAGGACGCCGCTGGTATGGCGGTAAACAAAGCCATGCAAAACAAGGTCATTAGCGACGCCGCGGCCACTGTCAGCGACTTCAGTACTTCGGCGTCAATCAAGATGAAGACAGTCGCGGCGGAGGCGAAGGCAACGGCGAACATCGGTGGGCCGACGGACATTCAGTCGACGGAAACTTCTACGACAACGCAAACGCCGGCGGTGACCGAGACGCCCGCCGCGACGGAAGAACCAGTGTCTGCGTCCATCTAAACTCTGTTGTAAGCACACGTAAACACACTCGAGCAACACAAACCGACGGCTCACCCCGCTTTCCCACGCGGCGCTATGCCGATCACGCTTTCGTGCGCGTCCGTGCTCGCATCCGCGACGACTTCGCAGCCGTCCACGACGCGGCGATCCGTCGTCACTCGCGTGGAGCCGTCGGAGAGCTCACGGGCGCTCGCGAGCCTAATCGCGGTGCTCGCGCTTTCGTCCTCTCCAGCGCTCGCGAAGACGGTGGAGATCTCAATAGACGCGAGTGCGATCGAGCAGTCATCGTGCGGCATGGCGGGAGGGGTACCGGGGAGCGGGACGTACAAGGCATCGTGCGTAGCGCTTAGCTTCACTGCGACCAATCCAAGCAAGGATAATGTCTACAACGCGGATGTTTTCGGCAACGTGAAGGATCAGGCGAACGATGACGTGCTGAATTCGGGTCGGATAGGTGCGATCAAGGAGCTCAAACCCGGGGCGAACGAGGTCAAGCTAGAGCTCACGGTCGGTGCATCGCAACCGCTACCTCTCAAGCTGAAAAAGTTCAAAGCTCGTGGGACAACTGAGAAGCTCACGATGAGCGGGAACCCGTACGATTACGAAGATGTGTTGGCGTACGAATCGTACTGAGCGAGAGTGTTAGCGTATGCGTTGGCGCGAGTCGAAGATCGATACACAATACACTAATCAATTCCTCCCCTGTGTCCTCGGACACGCCCCGCTACCTACGAGGAGGCCCTATGAAAAGCGCTTTAGAATTCGACAGCCCCCGAGCGCGCGCCTCGAAGATCGTGTACCAGCGGGCGAAAGTTCTTGCGCCGACAACGATTGAATGCTTGAAAATATCTTCAACGCACCTTGTTTGTTTTCTGTGTCTAACGTTTGCCGCACACCGACGTTCGCGCGAACACGAGGCACGTCGTGTCGATCGCCTCGAGGCGCGATCGTGCGAAGGCGTGGGTGCACGACCGTCTTGCCGGCGCGTCGACGGCGCGACGAGCGCCTATGCTATCTACCACTCGTGTTTAAGTGGCGAGCATTGGTCGCGCTCGCACGCGCGCACACCGACAGCGCTTCGGACTCACGCCGCGTCGCACGCGCGTCGAAGAGTGAAGAGCTTCGCGACTCTTGATCTTCCATCACAACTCCGTAGCCAATTCATACTCTTATTAAATGTAAAGTACGAACAATGATCTCCTTGAATGCGACTCTTCGTCTTCCATTTTTAGAGGTGCGCGCGCGCCGAGCGACGGAGATCTCGAGATGGATTACTCCCGCTTCGACGCCATCGAGCTCTCGAGCGAGGAGGAGGAGGAGGAGGAGGAAAAGCGATTGATCTGTGAGCGACGAGCGGCGCACGACGCGGTGCGGCGAGCGATGGAGAGCCGGAAGAGAGGCGACGCGAGAGAGGAAATATTTGGCTTGGGCGCGGGCCATCATGGGGAGGACGTCGTCAGCCTGAGAGAGTACGCTTGGGAAGACGGTGAACGCGAGGTACGGGTGTGCGTCGAGCTTCCAGAAGAGGACATGTCGATCATTTCCTCGGGGTTTCGGTCGCACAGTCTCAACGTCGAATTGCGCGGGACGCGTCGATACAGGTTCGCCGTCGCCGAGCTCTCCATGGAAATTCGGCCGAACCAATCCGAGTGTTTCATCGACGAGTATGGGAGGAGACTGGTGTGCAAGATTGTGAAATTTGGGAAATGTCCGTGGAGTGTACTGGCGTGCACGTGACCTCCCAGTAGCGTTAAGCTACATAAATTTTAGTTTTAATGGCTAGGTGTGAAACTATCCTCTAATTTCGACCAACGTCGAATGGTCTCCTCTGCATCCTCCCTTTGTTTTCGCTCTTTGACAGCGGTATGACGCGCCTTTTCTAGCTCGTGTATGAGATCTGTGGGATCACCACTCGTCGCAGCCGTGGTCACCGTTGTGTACCCGAAAGAAGGCAGCCTACTTGCAGTGGGAGTCATCAAATCCGAAGCCGGTGAGGTACCTGCGACGTATGCTCCTGTGATGCCTTTTGTGTGGGCCATCGCCGCTGCGGCAGATGCTATACGTTCTGCGGTCACCAGCGCTTGTCGAAGCGCCGAGACCTCACCTGATGCTTTCGCCGCAAGCTTTTCCGCGGAATCGCGTCTCGAGTTCTGCTCATTGAGCGCTGTTTGCAGCTCACGAATTCGCTCCTCAGAATTATCGCTCACCGCGCTCATGGGCGTTCCCGTCGTCCGTCGAGAAGGTGGAGTCGCGCGAGCAGAGAACTCTCCCGAAGACATCGCCGTCGAAAGGCGTTCGCAAAGTAACTCGGCCCATTCGCAGCTTTGCTGAAGATTGCAGTCCAGCTCCTCAATCGATGTACCGCTTCGACTCGTGTAAGTTTGACGACCTCGCGACATTGGCGTCTGCTTCTCCAGAAGCTCGAAGTGAGAACGTAAATTGATGACTTCTGCCGTTTTTGCATCAAGCTGCGTGCGTAAATCAAACGCAAGCTTCTCGGCAGCTTCCGCGTGTGTGCGAGATTTCAACTCTTCACGAGCGAGCTCTTGAACGATGAGCTCTAGTTCACGATCGCTCGATCGCGCCGGAGTAGTTGGCTGTCTCGAAAGCGTCACATCGAGCTGTACTATTTTCTTCTCTAACTCTACGATTCGCTTGGCGTGTTGCTCCTCTTTGACGTTTTCGCTCTTCCCGTACCCAGACATGCTCAATTTTTGAAGTGCAGATTGCAGGCGAGAAATCTCTGCGTCTTTGTACTTGAGCGCTTGACGCTCACTTTGTAAATCCTTTCGCTGCTCCGATATCATCCGCCGAGCCTCCTCGACGTTTCCTCGTTCTTCCTCAAAGCGTCGCTCAGCCTTCTTCAACTTTTCGCGAACACTCGCAGACTCCTCTCGCAGACCCCTAATCACTGTATGTAACTCGTTGATCTTCTTCGTTAACCGAACAATCTCGCCTTGTGCAAAGTGCACTTCCTTCGCGCTCTGCAACGCTCGCGCTCTCTGTCGCTCGTACGCGAGTGTCGCTTCTTGCCTTTGACAAAGAGCTTTCGCCTCGTTTTCCTCCGCCCTTCGCTTCTCCTCTAGCACCACCTCGAGCTCCTCCGCGAATCTCTCCACCGCCTCCTTCGTGGGCGTCCCCCACGGTCGATGCTCGTCGTCGCTCGGACACGCGAGCGTTCTGTCCGTTTCCGAGCTCGATGGTTCTTGTTTCAACGGTTTGCTTCGTCGAGAGACTTCGTCGACGACCGCATCGCCACGGCGAGAGGGAGCCGACATCGACGCCCGTAAATCGAGCGAAAGCGAAGCGTCGACGCCGCGTGCGCGCGTGCGCTGACGTTCGAATGAAGCGTGGATATTGCGAGGAGCTAAGTGCAGCGAGCAAGACGTTCACACCGAGCGCGCGCGTGACGATTGACTATCTCGTGTGGTGCGACTACACTACTAACTAGCGTATCCTAGGCATCTAAAATCATCCTCGTACAAGGCCTTTAGGCGGTTGACGTAGGCTCCGAGTTTGACGGACGGTGTTGGAATTTCGACCGGGTTGCCCTCTCGGTCATACATCACTCTAACAGGCTCGAAGAGCTCTCCCTTCGTTGGAGCCCGTTTTCCCTTAAGCAAATGCGAGTAGAACAGCGCAGATTGTGCACTGAGGAATTCTTCGCGTCCGGCAATTGAGCACTCGTGCTCGACGTGTTCGAGAGGTGCTCGAGCCGGATGGTTGGTGTCAACGCCGAGTTCATCCATGAGCCGTCCCCAGTCTTCGTTCAGAGTTTCGACGCGGCCAATAAAATGAATTGGCGTGTGTGTCCCGCGCTTAGTGACGCCAGAAAGCCTGTAGATTATTGATTCGAGATGCTCATCCAACCAAGGATTGGTGAGGAAGTCCCTGTCGCGCATTGACTCGCCGCGCCGATGTGAGCAGAACTCAACGCTTCCGCTGGCCTTGCTTCTGAGTATCTCCAAGAGGTCGATCGTTTGCTCAATCGTCGGCGGACGCGTTGGTGACATACCTCGCTCACACCCTTGACACATCGAGCGACAAAACGCCTGGCGATATCCAGAGAGAAACCGTTCACTCGGATTGCGCACGAAAGTGAAAAACTTATACGTGTCCAACACCTCGTCCGGCAGTGACGCTGTCGTCGATCGCCCTAACCCACTACTCTTCAATACATACTTTTCATCCGTCCAGGTGGCTTGAAACGCGTCCGTTAACCTCTTGCGGATGCTCTCACTCGCTGCCTTTGTCACGTCCACGTACACTGCCCGCAGCGATGGCACCACCACTACATCCGTACCCATCGGATCGCATCGGGCGTTCTCTGCCTCCGCACGCTCGAGACGCCATACGCACGAAGCGGAACGTAATGTCTTCTCCACAGATGTACCCACGATGGCGGCTTCTCCCAGACCGCTCGCAAGTCGTCCACTCTCTGACCGCGACCGCTCATTCAGCGCTTGACCGGCGCACGCCGCGACGCCGAGTGCGAGCGTGAGCGCCGCCGAGCCGACGCGTGCAAATGAAAAACATTTCGTTCGCCGGTCGCTCGTCGCTTCGCTCGTCGAAGCGTCGAGCAGGGCCGCGGACTCGACGTCACGCGCCATGACGACGCCGTAACACCCTTCGGCGTAGACGATTGCGACGACGTCGACAACAACAAGAGAGAGAGGCTGTGGAGACAGCGACGTCGAATCGACCGTCGCTGCGGTTTACGAACGTGCTCGGCGAGATAACGACGTCAAAACGTACTCCGCGCGTTGTGAAGAGAGATCGAAGGCAGGACGAGAGCTGTTCGCAATCTGATCAATGGAATAGTAAGATGCTCTCATATTACACGTTTCAGCGCTGAGCGCGGTGCATGTACGTTACAGGAAAGAGGAAGCTACTCCGCTTACTCTCTGCCTCCCCCGCTCCTCTTCGGAGCCCCGCGTTTCGGTCTCGGCATCGGAGGCGGAGCGGATGGGCGCTCAGCCAGTTTACGAAGCTCACCGTTGAGAGGTCCAATCAAATCTTCAATTTCGGACAGGAAGAGCAGCCTGTGACCGTACGACTGAATACCGAGGATATTCTGGAGTAGCAGGTGTTGATCTGACATCGACAACTGACCGAGCTCTTGATGCATCTTCAATAAAGTCTTACCTTGGATGTGTTGGTACTTGAACACGTGCACGTACGCCGTCAAACCGACAGCATTGAGCCATCTTTCCATGGCATCGTCATCGACCGGTACCGATACCCCTTGGGACGATGACGTCGTAGACGATGTTGGTGCTGGTGGTGCAGAAGCAGCATCCGCGGACATGTCACCACGAGCGTCCGGAACCACCTCACCAGCTCCCTTTTGCAAGAATTTCGGCGCCTTCGCGTCATTGTGGATAGCCTCAACAGCGGTGACGATTCCAGGAATAGCTTGCGTCATCATGTCTGAGTTATATACGTTGTAATAAAGTTTGCTTCCGACGAGAATACCAAGCCAACCGTCCGGACTGTAGCCTTTTTCGACTTTCACTGGAATCAACGTCTTCTTTCGAGTGTATGCATATTCTGCCTCGGTGCGACACGCTTGGGACTCCTTGTAGCGACCAGAGATACACATAATAATGGCATCAGAGGACTCGATAGCGGCAGCCATGGCTTCTAAAGTCGATCCCATCATACGATCGACATCCATCCAAACGTTGAAACCTCGGGCGTTGAGTTGCTCCTTCAGTTGCATGACTTGAGCTTGGTGGTGCCACTCATACGAGAGCATGACTTGCGCTTTTGCGTTCTCAATAGCGCCAAGCTTTTGCATATCTTCTTGGCTCAGACCGACGTTCTGCGTCGTCCCATCTTCCTTCTTGGTTTCCTCTTCGGGCGGTTTAAGCATCCATAAAGCGCCGCGGGCTTTCATCTTCGTATTCTCGCTTCCAAGTCTCCTCGCCTCTTCAAGTGCTTCAAACACTCCTGGTTCGGCGACTACCTGTGCCTTGACATCATCATCAAACGCGAGGTTCCATAACGCGCTCGCGGCCCAGAACGAGGCTCGGTCCCATTGATGCTGTTTTTCGCGAAGCACACGGACGAGTAGCGGTATCACTCCAGCCTTTGCGAGCCTCGGCTTTGCCGCCTCCATGGTTGCCACATTGGCGATGCCCTGCGTATACTTCCAAACCGTGTGCTTCAGATTATCGTAAGACTGCCCGTCAATAGCCTTTCGGAAGAGGTCAACGATCTCCTCCATAATAGTTTCATCAGCGTTCAATCGCTCGTCATTGTCCCCGCGACCGATTAAGTTAGCGATCGAAATGGCTGCGTTCACCCTCCCGACGCCAGTGTGAGTCTTCAAAAAACTACCGCAAAGTTCAACAGCTCCGTTGGAGACCAACAGCTTTGTTTGCGACGGATTTTGACTCAAGTTCCGCACGCAGTTCAATCCATGATCGCACTCGCTCAATCCCCGGACGTCACGCCACTCCATGTCGCAAGCCTCGATGCTCTGGCACTTGTTTTGCAGCATCTGCATCAAGACGGGAGTGAAGCGTGACTTCGCCACCACTCGATGCAAATCTTCGTTGAACGCCACGAGTGTCGACGCGAGGAAGAAAGCGGAGCACCGAATCGGTTCCTCGACGCCTTCCATGCACATCGTGCGAAAGTAAGCGAACATATTATGCGAGTTCCCCACCTTCCAACATGCCGACGCATTTCGATAGCACACCGCCTGCAGCGCGCACAGCGCCTCAACGCTGCCCTCGTGCGCCAACGTGCACAGATTTTCAACGACGTCCCCGAGTAAAATCTGCGCCTGCGCCGGTTGTAGTTTTCCTCCTGTCTCGATTCGTCGCACCAACGTCTGTCTGATCCACTCCGCCGCCTCGTTAGTTTCGTCCACTCCGCACTCGTCGTCTGAGCACTCGGCTCCGCCCTCGAGCGCCTCCACGAATCTCCGCAGCACCGCCGCGTTGTGTTCGAGCTTAGACTCGAACGCATCGTCGCTCCCCACGAACGCATCGTCATACAGCACCCCGGGCGCACGAGCGCTCTTCGCCACGTCCTCATCGCCCGCGATCGCGCCCGCTGCGATGCGACGTCGTCCCGCTCGCGCGTTCGACCACGACGACGACGACAATCGCGCGCTCCTTCGAGACCTCGCGCGCGCGCGCGCGATGGACGTCGACGAACGTCCGAGCGTCGCGAACGTCCCCGCGAGCACCATGACGACGACGACGCGATCGGAACTGACGCATCGATCGCGCGGTGGTGAGAATTATACGTCTCCGCCGAGACCCGCCCAGCGGGCGACGGCGACTGCAGATCGTGGACGATCGTCCACGCCTCGCGCGTGGACGTGGACGACGGGCGCAAGAGGGCGAGCGAGCGATGACGGGCGATCGAGGACGGCGATCGAGACCGCGCGCGTCGCCCTCGCGCGCGGTCGAAGGCGACGGAGGACGGGCGCGAGGAGGTGCGAGAGGACGCCCTCGAGCGCGCTCGCGGCGCTCGGAGGTGTTGACGTGCGTCGTTGGGCTTCTGATGAGCGCTCTCGTCGGAGTAGGCGCGGAGACGAAGATCAAGGGCGCTTCGAAGTGCTTGGAGTTGAGCGAGCGAGACGCCGTCGTGGCGGTGTGCGTGCAGAACGACTTCATGGACGCGAGAGAGGCGGATGGGTCGTACGCAAAACAAAGCGTGGCGGCGAGGACGATACCGGCGAGCGCGACGACCGATAATGGTCGGACGGTGCGGAGAGGCGCGTTGGCCGTGAAGGATGGACAAGAGGTTGTCGGTGTGACGAACGATTGGCTCGCCGCGGGGTCGGCTCGAGGGAGCCGGTTGATGGTGACGCTCGATCGACACCCAGAGAAACACTGCAGCTTTTGCACGTTCGGCAAGGGCGGGAAGCGAACTCTGGATTGCGTGTGGGGATGTGAAGGCCTGCAAGGTCTGTGTGTTAGTGGCTCGAGCGTCCCGCAAGTGGTGTTCGATTCGTCGAATCGGTGTGTGGACGAGATATCGTCGCGCGATTTTGAGCAGAGCCGATACTTTCAGTGGCCTCCGCACTGCGTGGAAGGTAGCTTTGGTGCGGATTTGGATCCATTTCTGCACGTACCGAAGGAAACGATGACGTTGCAGACGTCTGCAGCGCGCGATCGGGACTCCTACAGTATGTTTCAAGCCACCGAAGGTGACAGCGGACGGACGATGGAGAAGATTTTGAGCGACTACAACATAGATCGCGTCTTCATTATGGGTCTTGCGACAGATATGGTGGTGAAGAACACGCTTTGGGATATTTTATCGTCCCAGAACAACACCCTGAAGCAATCGATCCTCGTCGCAGCAGGAGTCCGTGGGGTTTTCGACGAACCGGGTGATTATTATCTCTCATCTCCGCAGAGCGGAAGTGGCATTGTGAAAGCGGAGGCCATCGCTCGTGGAGCAAGCATCGTCGCCGCCACCAACGTTGACGAAGCTCTCGGCGAACTTTGCATCGGAACTTGCGATTCAGACTCTGATTGCGACGGGGACATGGTTTGCGATACTTCGGCGAAGCCCTACGGACGGTGTAAACCTCGTCCAATCAGTAACGGCATCGCCACGGCTGTCACAATTTTATCCATTCTTGGTGCTCTCATCGTATTCCGCAAAGACATCATTGAATCATACAATAATCGCCACAAGGCGCGCGGGCCTCCAACTGACTTTGTAGTTCTCGCAGAAACGGACATCGAAGGCTCGAGTGAGCTTTGGGAGAGAATGGGTGAGCTCGGCAAGGGTGACTTGATGAAGAACGTCATCATGAAACTGCACGATGAATGTTTGAGACAAAGTATGAAAAAGCACTTTGGCTATGAGCTTCTCGTGCGAGGCGATGCCTTTCTCGTGGCATTCCATACCGTCGACGATGCTTTATCTTGGGCGCTCCAAGTTCAGATGGATCTCATGAACGCACCGTGGCCTCAAGAGTGCCACAACGTCACCAAAGGAACCATGCAGGAATTTGGCACTTTCAGCGGTCTCCGAGTGCGCATGGGCATACACTGCGGTCGGGTTGACAAATGCATCAAACATCACGGTAAGATTGTGTATGAAGGCAACGTGCTCAAGGAGACGACAAGCGTCGCGGATGCCGGCGTTGGAGGCGGGATTCTTCTCTCCCAAGCAACATTGCCCTTGTCTCACATAGACATTCCGTACGTCCTCTTTGATCAGGGCTTTCACGAGATGAGCGCATTTAGCGTCCCACAAAGACTGAAAGAGGTATATCCCGAAGAGCTTGCTGGTCGTGCCAACGTCAGAGCGGCCCTCGATACGACTCGAAGACTCACACCATCCTTCCATGACGCCCCCGAGGGAGATGTCACCATGTGCTATGCGCATGCAGTTGGGCTCAACGAATTGCGTAAAATATTCGATGTCAAGATCGTGGAGAAGGGACTTAGCGTTATGTTTGAGACGCTACGTGAGGTCATGATGCGTCCGCATTGTAGAGGCTACGATTGCCGGGGATATGAACCAAACGGTGATAACATGTATGTCTTCAGCACTTATAAGCAAGGTCTGTTGTTTGCACTCGAGGCCCAGGCTGCACTTCAGCAAGCCATCTGGCCGGATGAATTGCGAGAGCGAGTCGGACCCACAGGGGTCCGTGGCATTCCCGTTCGCATGGGCATGCATAGCGGCCCGCTGAAGCGCATTCGTATTCCAGCGGAAGGTCTCGCAGATTACTACGGCGAAGCCGCGAACCGCGCGGCGCGCGTCATGTCTGTCGCAGTCGGAGGACAGGTGACCTGTGTAGAAGTTGAACTCGAGCGCATGTTGCAAAACGAGGACAAAGGATTACCAGATATCTTAGTGGACCATTTAGGTACGTTTTCCTTAAAGGGTATTCCGGGGGTCACCTCGTTAGTCCAAGTTGCGCTCACTGAAACGTTGGCTCGGCAGGGTGGTCGCCAATTCACAGTTTCAAAGAAGGCTCAACAGGTCCATCCGGCCTCGGCGGAGCGTCGCATTCATAAGGCACGTTAACGTTGTAATGCACAAAAGTTTTCATGAAACAGTATCTAGGAATCAAGCTGTTTCGACGAGGAATCTGACGAATTCGATAATATCAAACTGAGACGCTCAAGATTCTGCCGCACCGCTTCGAAGCCCGCTTCCGCAAGGTGGTTCGACAGTCCAGACATGAGCGCTGTGCTGCCAGTCTCATACTTTTCGCCATGAGGTCCGAAGAGGATTATCGGCGTCGCGGCCGGATCAGCGTAAAAGTGGTCTCTGATCTGCGCTCTGGGCTGCATGCCCTGTGTAGTGATGAGATTCGAGTCGAACGCGAATGCGTGATTGTGTCCGACTTGCCACTCAACTGGAACACGCTTCCCGTGCTCGTTCAATCTACAGACGCAATATTTGTATTCGTGAGGTTCGTCGGCGAAGAGCGATAGGGTCACGTGCCATTTGCCATCTACGCCGTGCTCCATGTAGTCACTCGTTTGAACATCCCAGTCATTCCAGCTTCCCACCAGAACAAGGAATTCATGCTCGCCGACCTCTTTATGTACTCGGAATTCGCACGAAACTGCGCACGTGAATAACTCACCTCGCGCCTGCTGCCGCATCTTCATCACGATCTGTTGAATCTGCGCTAGTGTAAGGTTTACAGCCGTTCTAGCCTCGTGGAGATTAGACTCCGTTGAGTACGAGATCGGTGACTTTTGTGGTGCTGCTGAAATATCGGAGAGCGTCTCCGTAAGCGACTGTAACTTACTCTCCATGCTCTCCTCAAGTTCGAGCAGACGATTCTTATAGCGATCTGCCCGCTCATTCGCCGCCACGATTTGCTGTTCCATGCGGGCGATCGCGTCAGAATCGGCAGAGTTTGTCTCCTGCGAGAGTCGAGCAGAAATATTTGATACCTCAGCTCGAGCAGATAGCAGTTCAGCCTGGTATTTTCCAGCTTCCTCGGCACTCACGGCGGCTTTCACTCGAAGGGTCTCAAGTTCTCTCCGCAGTGCCTCCACTTCCTTGTCGTGTGACGCGTCACTCGAGAGGGAGCTTGCTGTTTCATTAAGCAACGAATTGATTTCCAGTCGCGCAGCTTCAAGACTCTCCTTATAACCTTCTGCGGAGGTACGATAGTCATCTGCCTCATCTTTCGCCTTCGACAACGCCATCTGTGCATCTCTCAGTTCGTCCAACAGTCGTGTCAACTTCTGAGTCGATTCAGCACCGTGCTGAGAAACTTGTTCTCGCATCATCGACATCTGCTCTTCAAAGAGTTTCTTCTCCTTCATCTCACTCTCAAGAGCAGCGTTCGCGCGTGCGAGCTCCTCCGTCAACCGCTCCACTTCTTGAGACGCTTCCATGCCTTGCTGAGAAACTTGTTCTCGCTCCATCGACATCTGCTCTTCAAAGAGTTTCTTCTCCTTCATCTCACTCTCAAGAGCAGCGTTCGCGCGTGCGAGCTCCTCCGTCAACCGCTCCACTTCTTGAGACGCTTCCATGCCTTGCTGAGAAACTTGTTCTCGCTCCATCGACATCTGCTCTTCAAAGAGTTTCTTCTCCTTCATCTCACTCTCAAGAGCAGCGTTCGCGCGTGCGAGCTCCTCCGTCAACCGCTCCACTTCTTGAGACGCTTCCATGCCTTGCTGAGAAACTTGTTCTCGCTCCATCGACATCTGCTCTTCAAAGAGTTTCTTCTCCTTCATCTCACTCTCAAGAGCAGCGTTCGCGCGTGCGAGCTCCTCCGTCAACCGCTCCACTTCTTGAGACGCTTCCATACCTTGCTGAGAAACTTGTTCTCGCTCCATCGACATCTGCTCTTCAAAGAGTTTCTTCTCCTTCATCTCACTCTCAAGAGCAGCGTTCGCGCGTGCGAGCTCCTCCGTCAACCGCTCCACTTCTTGAGACGCTTCCATGCCTTGCTGAGAAACTTGTTCTCGCTCCATCGACATCTGCTCTTCAAAGAGTTTCTTCTCCTTCATCTCACTCTCAAGAGCAGCGTTCGCGCGTGCGAGCTCCTCCGTCAACCGCTCCACTTCTTGAGACGCTTCCATGCCTTGCTGAGAAACTTGTTCTCGCTCCATCGACATCTGCTCTTCAAAGAGTTTCTTCTCCTTCATCTCACTCTCAAGAGCAGCGTTCGCGCGTGCGAGCTCCTCCGTCAACCGCTCCACTTCTTGAGACGCTTCCATGCCTTGCTGAGAAACTTGTTCTCGCTCCATCGACATCTGCTCTTCAAAGAGTTTCTTCTCCTTCATCTCACTCTCAAGAGCAGCGTTCGCGCGTGCGAGCTCGTCAGCTTGTACAGATACCTTTGCGCGCGCTTCTTGCAGGGTTTGCTCAACCATTCCCAACTTGTTCTTCAGACCGACAAGTTCAACGGACAAGCCTGATGTTTCTTGATCCTTCGATACGAGCACTCCTTCAAGCTCCTCGACCTTAATCCGCAGGCCAGTGACTTCTTGTGAAAGCGTAGAGGATTCATCGCGAGCAGCATCCAGTTCACCCTTGTTTTGCGATGCCTCCTGTTGAGCAGCATTGAGAGCTGCCTGGACGGAATCAAGCTTACTACGCACGATATCAAACTCATCCGACGTAGACGACATCTCGCCTTTGGCCGTCTCAAGCTGACCTCGCACTTTGTCATACTCAACTCGAAGGCTATCAAGCTCTTCGGCCAACTTTGACTTCTCGCCCGTCACTGCCTTGAGCTCATTCACGATCGAGGACAATTCCTCTCTGACACCTTTGAGTTCGTCTCGAGTCGCAGATAGATTAACAATGTGCGAGTTGGCCTCGTTTTGAGCGTTCTGCAGCGTTGATTCGGCCTCACTCAACTTTGCTTGGTATAATTTGATGCTCTCCTCGTATTCAGATACTTGAGTTTGTTGATGCGACTGGAACGATTGCAGGTCACTTTTGACAGTTTCCAACTCAGACGTAGCGGCTTTGAGTTCCTCCTTGACGGAAATTAGATCGCTTGAATATGCCGATGCCTCTAATCGGGAGGTTTCGAGTTCAGATTCAAGCTCGCCAACTTGCGTGTTTGCGCTTGTGATGTTAGCGGTTAGCTCAGAAACGTCATCTCTGGAAGCCGCGAGCTCGAGCTCGAGTCTTTCCATATCTTTTCTGTACGTATCCAGTTGATTCAACGCAAGAGTCACCTGCTCGCTCTCCTTGGTAAGCGCTCGTTCGAGCTTGTCGTTGACATCTTTCAGACTGGCGATTTCGCTCAGCGTCTGCTTGTATGCTTCTTTTGCAGCAAGCGCCTCATCCGAGTATTCATCGCTGATGCCTCTCAGTGCCATGAGCTCGGATTCCATATCAATCACCTTTTCTCTGTAAGCTTGAGCTTGTTTTTCATACTGAGCTGCTTGCGACTTCGTGTCTTTGAGTTCAGACGCAGAGTTGTGCACAGCTTCTTGAAGTGTGTCCAGCTCGGCTTCAGAGTTCGCGAGATCTCTCTTGTACTGTTCAAGAAGCTCTTCGCCTTTAGCATTAGACGTCTCTAGTCGTAGATAATCGACATTTTTGGAATCCAGCGACCCTTTTAGAAGGGAGATTTGCTCTTTCAACGAAGCGTCTGATTTTGTCGCACTCTCCAGCAGCTGTTGCAAGTTAAAAATTGACCGCTCGTTCCGCTGCCATTTTTCCCGAGCCTCGCCGAGCTCTCTTTCGACCGCATCTCGTTGCGTTTGAAGATTTGTTATTTCTTCGTTTTTTTTCTTCAGATCCGAGTCCAGCGTAGATTTGATAGACGTGAACATCGCGGACACTTTCGTTCCTCTACCGGAGAACGCTGCTCCAGTAATTATGCCAGCGATGAGCACTCCTGTGTAGGCGAGAGGTGAGCTCCAACTCAGCGATTTGGCCGCCACGAAAGCGGTAGGAGTAGGTTGACCCACCACCGCGACCATAGTACGATAGCTCGGCTTCAAATCCTGCGCAGAACGGATGACAACTCTGTCGCCTGGAAACGTCGTTGACAGGTCCACGTGCGGGTTCAGCTCTCTCAACTTCGCCATGTCTATTCCCGCTTGTTCCACCAACCACGAAGTATCCTCGCCTCGTTTGAACGTGTACCACTCTTTCCCATCATGCACGTCCACGACGACGTCTGTATCGCTCCCTGGAACGCCGCGCCACGCTCTCTCCGAGCTCTCCACGCTCGCCTCAGCGCGAGCGCGACTCCAACCCCGTCTCTCGATCGTCCTCGATCGTCGTCTGCGACGTCACGAAATCCAAGCGACCGTCAGTATCTCTCGCGTTCGAGAAGCGTCGTCACCTGATCCGAGAACGTGTCACTCCATCGCAACTATCGACGTTCCTTTCGTCGAAAGATTTCAAATCGCTCGCTCTCTGTCGCGCTCGCACTCGCGCTCACGACGACGCCTTCGAACGCGCTCGACGACGCACCTGGCAGAGACGTTCGTCGCCCTCGCTCGAGGCGCTCGCACGACGCCTCCGCGGGCGCTCATCGCGTTCGACGACGCCCGCGAGCGAGTCGCCCGGGCGCCCTCTTCTCCCGGGCGCGTCGTGACAGGAAACCAACGTCGAGGGACTCCTTCGTGGCTCATGACTCTTAGAAACGGGCGTTCCTTTTAGTGTTGGGTTGGGCGCCTCGGGAACGTCAGAGCACGACGCCGCGACGACGCCACGGAGCGACGCGCTCCGATCGTCAAAGCGTCCGCTCTCGCCGTCGCGAACGTGCGCTTCCAAGCGCACAAGCGCGCGAGTGCGGGAGGAAGGACGCGTCGAGTCGAGCCGATGCCCGCGCTTCGTTTGTTCGGGCGGCGGTGGTTGCTCTCGAGCGATGACTTGCCCCTGCCGATGGCGGGCCTCATGCTCGTCCACACGGTGTGGTGCGTGATCATATTGGTCGTGTACGAGCGCGCGCATCGAACGCTGCGGCAAGACTGCAAGGGAGGGAAGCGGGCGATGGTGTGGCTGTTCACGACGTTCGGGTGCTACTTCTTAGCGCTCCTAGTCGAGGTCATCCTGCTGCACACGTCGCTCAAGGGGAGGATAATGGAACCGGGGAAGAGGAAGTTGGTGCCTTACTTGCTGTACGCCCATCTGTTATTACTCGCGACGGACATTGCGTTGACAATTCTGGGGACGCTGGTCGAGCGCGGGCTGGCCACGTGTTTTAATCAGGCGAGGGTGAGAACGATGATCTTGAGCGTAATCATAGGAAACTTCGTCGTGTTGGGAATGCACTTCTTCGGAATCGCGCTGATGTTTAGCATGTTTGGGCACCTTCCGAGCGATAAGAAGTGGTATAAGATTTTCAACATCATCTCAACGGTGCTGTGTTTGAGGCGAAGAGAGAAGAAGATTGATCCGGAGGTTGATAGAACATTAGATGAACAGGGTACGCTGGCCCACATAGCAAACTGTTTCGCCGAGGTTTTTCAGGGCGCGGATGTGGTTCCAAGCGATATCGCGGCAGGCATGGGGTTACTTGCGATCCAGCATAGGCACCTGATTGAGGAACAGCCACTTGGAAAGCCATTTCTCAACGACTCCGATGCGCTTGCGCCGTACGAGTCTCTTGGTGAGATGTACACAGATGCCGCACATTACTCAAGATTTGCACTCGCGGCGTACGGTTGGGCTCTTTTCGCGTGGGCGGATCCCAGGACTGGCCTGGGCATGGCGTGTTCAGCGGAGGCGTGTGCAAACTGTTGTGGTTGCACGTCGTGTATGAAGAGGTCTAATGAAGTTGAGCCTCACGACTTGGACCGCAAGGCCCTGAAAAAGTGCGCCGGCATCGAATCAGAGGACTTATTATTCGTTTCGATGGTGAATGGAATAGGCGAGCCTCCATTCTTCATTGCGCGCGATGTCCGTCGCAAGGCGATTGTGATCTCTATCCGGGGTACACTCAGCGTCGCTGACTGCATTACGGATAGCATGTACAAGCCGTGTATCCTCAACCCCGATGTCATCATAGAAACTGGCTTACAAGGTGCCGATCTGCACGTGCATTCTGGCGTATTCAGGGCAACAAACTTCATTCTTTCAGAGTTGGCAGAGAGTAGAATTTTAGAACAAGCCATCCTTGGTGAGGCGCCGACCGAAGGGTGCACACCGCTTCCGAGCACAGCCGCTGGTTGTCGCGGGTGGGGTTTGGTCATCACTGGACACTCGTTGGGCGCTGGCGTTGCCGCGAACCTTTCGTTGCATCTCCGGAAAAAGTTCCACACGTTGAAGGTGTGGTGCATTGAGCCACCAGGTGGGGTGTTGAGTCCAAAATTATGTGAAATCACGAAAGAGTGGACGTACAGTACCGTGCACCACTGTGATTTGTTTTGTAGACTATCTGGTCCGTGTTTGTTGAAGCTACGCGGCGATATGATGGACGCGCTGACGAACTCAAAGTTGAACAAGTTTTCGCTGCTGATGCGAATGACGTTCAGTGGTACCAAGTTACAAATCTCTGATGTTTTGGACCCGACTCAGGCGGCGAGTGAATCTACGACGCTTCGTGACGATTTCAGACGGTACGCCGATGAGCAGATATCAGTAACACCGCTCATGTCAGCCCCGTTGCATCCTCCAGGACACCTCATCCACCTGCAACGGCTGCCGCATGGAGAATACGCTCCGCACCTTGTCGAAGCGAGTGAGTTCATGGCACGCGGTATGATGATTCAATACGGCTTCTTCTCTGATCATTTCCCAGATAAGGTCGCGGCGGTGCTCTCTGACTTAGCCTCGGCCAGCACCGGCGCCTCGCAGGCTATCAGCTCTGAGGGCACCGTCTCAGAAGATACTCTCATTGACAAGCTCGTGAGTACCCAGTCTCGCCGCAAGCGACCGAGCGAAGATAACGTTTAGCGTCCTCCGTGTATTTCTTCATGTCATTAGCCAGTCTCCCACCCACAATCGAGCTTTTCGTTCGCCGTGATCGCTCACGAGCCGAGCTTCTATATGCCCCGTCCCCAATACATGTCACGAGGTGAGCTCCGAGGGCCCCCACGCCATTCTTTCACTCCGCCTTTATTCTCATGCTTCGACGGACGATCGCCGACTGCGCGCGCTCGGCGCGGATGAACTCCACCGCGCTCGCGTTCTCTCGCGCTCAAACGCGCGCGTACGACAAAAAGGTGCGTCGACGAACGAAGCGCGACGTCGACGTCTCACGCCCTCGAGCGTCGAGCGAGGAGAATTATCGCTGACGCACGCTGCTTTCGCTCGATTCATAGGTTGTAGAGCACTTTGATAACCCAAGGAACGTTGGTTCGTTCGATAAGAAGGACATGAACGTCGGGACGGGGATCGTCGGCGCCCCAGCGTGCGGCGACGTGATGAAGCTTCAGATTAAGATCGACGAAGAGGGCAACATTGTGGATTCTTGCTTCAAGACATTCGGATGCGGGAGCGCCATCGCGTCGAGCTCGGTGGCGACGGAATGGATCAAGGGCACGCACATGGACGAGGCGGTGACGATCAAAAACCAAGACATAGCGAAACATCTCAACTTGCCGCCGGTGAAGCTGCACTGCTCCATGCTCGCCGAGGACGCTATTCGCTCCGCAGTGGCGGACGTCAAGGCTAAGCGCGAGGCGTCGGCACAGGCGAAGGCCGCGTGATTTCTGAAATGTAGGTGCGCTCGTAAAATTCCCGAGGATCCATTACCGTGGTTTTTTGTGCTGTAAAATCAAGCTAGAGAGTTTTGAAAACCGACTCCTTTAGTCCGTGACTTGCGGCTCATCGCCGCTCGCGTCATGGCATGTCCACGTCACCGCGTCGCGAACGATGTCACTCCTCGCCCGAATCGCTTCGTCCGCGGTCGATCACTCCGATCGTCCACTGAGCAGTTGACCAGGACTCCGATACTGATTGTTTCCGATCTCGACGGAACCATGGTCGGGAACGACGAGTACACGCGCGCTTTTCGTCAATTTTGGGAATCGAGCGCCAAACCTCCGGGGTCGAAGCTCGTGTACTCCACCGGTCGCTCCTTGGAGTCGTTCACGCGCCTGATTGAGGCCAAGGCGGACGTCTTGGTGCAACCGGACGGACTCATCTGCGCCGTCGGTACAAAGGTGTTTCAACGAGCCAGCGACGACGCGTCGACGGCTTGGACAGAAGACGTTCAGTGGACCGCAGCTTTGGATGTGAACTGGTCCTGCGAACTTGTCACAAGAGCGGCTCAGGAGGCGATCGATGCGTGCGGACATGAGAACGCGCACTTTCAACCAGCGGATGAACAAAACAGACACAAGGTCACCATAGGCGTCAGGGACGAGATAGTGAGCGAAGTAGAGACTATGATTCGTCAAGCGTGCGACTCAAACGGGTTAGATTACACGGTAATCGTGAGCGGATCGGGAGGGTGGAAATTCGTGGACTGCGTGAGCGCTGGCGCCGGGAAACTTGAGAGTCTCGAGTATGTCCGAAAACGATTAGGCTTCGAACTCCTCGACACCGTCGCGTGTGGCGACAGTGGGAACGATATTTTGATGTTATCTGGGCAAACTAGATGCATCATCGTGGGTAACGCCGAGTCTGAACTTCGAGATTGGGCGAGTGAGTGCGTAGCGAATGGCGAGCTCTCACTCGAGCGCGTCTTTCTTGCAAGCGAGAACGAGGCACTAGGCATTCTCCAAGGACTCGCTAAGTTCGGATTTTGCTGTTAGCCCGATGTCGAGCAAACGTATTTTAGCCACTGTATTTTTAGCCTTAGAACTTCTAGACCGATGTCCGATGAATTGACAGTCGTAGCGAAGTGCACAGCCGGTGTTCTCACTGGCACGCACGACAAGGCCCACCTTACTTTGACGCGCTGCAGCGCGATCGCGATCTGCGATGAACTTCTTGCGCAGAGTCGGTGACGTCATGAACGACGCATTCGCGGAGTCGGACTCTGATCCTGCCTCGGACGAGGACGAGGACGGAGTGAGAGCGGAGCGAAGACGCTTCGAGGACGTTGGAGCCTCGGAAGTTGTGGAGCCGAGGACGAGCAAAGACGGGGACGGGGACGACGCTCGGTGGCGACGAAATGAACTCATGACCACAGCATTCACTTTTGGTCGCGACACGCTCGAGAAGCTGAAGGACGTCTCAAAAGGAGTGGGAAAAGAGCTCGCGGAGGGACTACGGGACATCAAGGAACAAGTCAAGGAGGACTTGGCGACTTTCGGCGAGAGCGAAGAAGAGGAAGAGGAAGGCACTACGAGACATTCCGAGCGAACGAATGGCGAGATGGACGAGGCGAGCGGATTGGTTTTCACGGGCGATGGAGTGATGATAACAGGTGACGAAGACGAAGTTGCGCTCAAGGTGAACGATGAGCTCGAAAAGGTTGGAGAAAAGATCGAGCTTTTAGGCCAGAAAATGTTCGTGGGCGCGGGAAAGATACTGAATCAAGTGAAAGAGACGACTCGAGATGCCATCAAGGAGACGCACGAAGCGATCAAAGAGACGAGAGATGCGTTCGCAAAAGATACAAAGCCAAAACGTGTGCGAGACGAATTCGCTCTTAGTGTGCACGCGATTCAGAGAGATTCGAGAACCTATTGCGACGAACCCAAAGAGAAAGAGCTTTACAAACGTTTTAGGGGAGAGTTTACCATCGGTACTCGAGTACGAGAGATCTCCACCGTGCTTGACTCGAACAACTTTATGAAAGAACTCTTTGCACGAATCGTTCCAACAGTTGTCGATGAAGACACGTTCTGGTGCCGATACTTTTTCAAGATTTACGAATTAGAGATAGAGTTCGGACGAAAAGAATTACCTGAAATACCGGTCAAAGGTGGAACCGAGAGTGAAAGCAACGAATCTGCGCAAGAACTTTCTGTGAAAGAAGGCAACAAAGTACACGCGCGCGTCGCATCTCTTGCGACAGACGAAGAAGAATTTGATTCTGACTCTAGCCTAGCGAAAAATGAGTGGACCAAGATCAAACAGCGTTCCAGCGATGCTGCGGCAACGAGTTCCGAAGATGGCCCAGAAACGACTCCTGACGACGATACTCCGATTGATGACGCTGACACTGACGAGATTGATGAAGACTGGGGTCTCTCGTAATCTGTGTGCCACTTTGTAACAATTACGATATACCATTACGCAGACGATTTTTTCCGTCCCGATTCCACGCATTTTTCTTTCGTTTCGCAGCGTGAAGCATCGACTTGCGCGCGCAATGCTTTTTGCGCTTTTTCTCAAGTAATCAAGTCAAATCAGTTCAGGGTTCCTTCACTTTGTCGCGCTCTGTCCTTCTCAACATCGCGTCTATGTCCCGCTTCATCAGCGCGTACCACATCTTGAACGTCGCTGTCATTGCGTCGTATCCATTCTTCTCTCTGTGGGCTCAGCATGAGTTCCCGAACGCGACCTCGTTGCTCGTCGGGTGGGAAAAGCAAACCTTCACCACCCTCGGCGCCATGGCGGCGGTGAAGTTCGTTCGAAAGTCCAACATCGACGCCTTCGTATCGGATATGTTCATGTACACGAAGTCAGGCATTTTGCTCCTTTCCTGGATGATGGATCGTCGCGTTTTCAGCTGGTACTGCGTCATGTACGTAATGCTCTTTCTGTATGTGCGAAAGCCGGAGTACAAGGGACCAAGTAAGATTGAATGGATGAATCCGGCGACGCTGAAGCGACGAGTGCTTGAACCGGATGATAAAGATAAAAACGTCTCGTGGTTAGTTGAGTTCTACGCCTCGTGGTCGCCGCCGAGCGTGAATTTGGAACCCACGTTTGCAGACTTGAGCTGCAAGTACACTTCCGCGGACCTCAAGTTTGCAAAGTTGGATCTCATGAGATGGCCTTATGTCGGGGAAGACTTCGGTATCAATGTCTCTGGGACGAGCAAGCAGCTACCGACGCTCATTTTATTTGAAAAGGGAAAGGAAACGATGCGCATTCCTCACGTTTACAGGGATGGAAGAATTGCCCGTTCACGTTTGCGAGCGAGTGACTTAATCGCCGCTTTCGGGCTTGACAACCGGAAGAAGAAGTCGACAATCAAGGCGGAGTTCGCAAAGGCGAAAGAATAGAATAGCATGAGTCCAATGAAGACGAGAAGCACTTTGTTCCATGATTTTTTATGTATTGATGACATCAAGATTAGCTAAAAACATTTCTACTCACTACATGGCTACACCTTCTCGAACACAGCATTTGAGCTGAGGATGATGGCAACGATAACGCCGAATAGACCGAGAGCGCTGCCAAAAATTTCAATCACCAGAATTTTGACGAACAGCGCCGGATTCGCGGCGTCCGCAAGCGCACAAGAACTACCAACCACACCCACGCATATCCCGCACACCAAGTTCGCCAGCCCACACGTCAAACCGCTCGCAAACACTGCGTATCCAGCCATCATCGTTGACGGGTGATACGCCCCGGTATCCGGATCGCGAGGAACATCACTCAATTTTGTGCTCAGGATGATGGCGATGATGACTCCGTAAATCGCAACCGCTTCGCAGAAGATGACGCTGATCAAGTTTTTGCTTGTGATGCGAGGCACGTGCACCGCAGCTCCGAGCAAGGTGCTTCCCGTGATAAAGATCCCCCACGCCGCGCCCGCAACGCTAAGTCCGACCGCGGCGGCGATACCGAGGGCGGAAAAGAAGTAAGGGTTGATTCGAGTGAACAGCAGCCAGAGACGAGCCCAGTCGATGCCCAACGCAGATCCTTCCTCCACGCGAGTTCCCCGCACGATGAGGACGAGCGTGAGCGTCCACAACGCGGCAAGGACGGGAATCGATCGCTCGTTAAGTATTCCGGGCATTTTCTCACGCTCAGTCGCTGTCGCTGGACGACGCGCCACCGAATAAGGAAACTGATTGAAAACTGAAGTGACTCGGTGCACATGTATCAGATGAGAACAAACAAACCATCTCAGGTACGATGCACCGTGCGAGTCTCGGAGCGAGTCGATCTAGTAATACGCATAAAATATTTAATAGGTTTTGCTAAGTCTATTCTAAGGGTGCATTAGGTCGAACGATGTCTGCGAAGGCCCAAGCATGGTTTGATAACCAGGCGTGCGCCGCGTTGCGTAAGTTCACGTTTGGTATCAACTGCTCCGGTTTCAATGGCTCTCTCGTGATGGGATCAAACTTTGAGATCTTGAGGTGCTGTAAAATCGCAAACTTCTCGTAACTGTGTCCACTCGGGGCGATCACGGGATCCCGAAACACCTCAAAAGTCAACTTGCAGCAGAACGCGTCCGGCGGTTCGCTCGACCGATCGTCGGGTGCCCTGGCGCACGACATCACCTCTCGCATCGTATCCGCGTTCTCCGCCCCGAGACTCGACCATATTGCTCTCACGCTACTTTCCAAGTTTGAGTACCTTCGATCTCGATCGCTCGCAAGCAGCTCCCATTCTAAATATTTCGCCCGCGCGAGCTCTCGCCACACGTCATCCTGAATCACGTCTCCGCTCTCTCTCGCCTCCTCCAGCGCTCTCGTGAGCGATTTAGCGGCATCCGTGAACTTCTTATCGGCGATGAGCGCCAGTCCTAACATGTACAGCGCCTTGACGTTGTTTCGATCGAAGTGCAGCGCCGTCTCGCAGTCTCTCTTCACGCACGACCATTCTCGCTTCTTCATATGGCACAGCGCGCGGTTGACGTACAGAGCCGTCCATCGCGGGTCACACGTGATCGCCTCCGTGTACGCCTCGATGGCGGCACCGAACTTACCTCTCTGGTACAGCTCGTTCCCGCGACTCTTCAGCGCCCCGGCGTCCATGACGACGACGAGGCGCTCTCCGTTGCAGATCGAGCGCTCAGTGCAGACTGTGACGATCGATGGTGTCACCTTCTTTCGTGGTGAGGGACTCCTTGACGAGTCATGACCTCAATTCCCTAACCCTAGCCTTGTCAAAAAAATGTCGCCCGCGCCGCTCGAAACTGCGCTCGCGCTTTCGGTGGCGCTCATACGCGCGCGCGCGACGGCGACGATGGAGCTCGCGACGTCCACGGTGGACACCGGGATCGGTGATCGAAGCGTTAAGGTCGATGGTGCTCGCGGAGTCGAGCTCGAGACCCGGACGCAGAGCGTGGGCGTGATAATCCCGCCGCCGGACGTGCGAGTGATCGTGGACAAGACGGCGCAATTCGTCGGGAAGAACGGACCGGAGTTCGAGCAAAGAATCTTAGCGTCGGAGAAGAACAACGTCAAGTTCAATTTTTTAACCGCGGGGGATCCGTATCACGCGTATTATAGACAGCAAGTGGCCGAAGCCAAGGCGCAGGCGAGCGGCGCGGCGGTGCCGGCAAAGGAGACAGAGCCTGCAAAGGAACAGCAAGTCGTGGTGAAACCGAGCACGGGCGACGCCAAGCCGGTGATACTGGAGCCACCCAAAGCGGATGAGTTCACCATTCCGATCCCGGCGGGAATTTCCGCGGTGGACTTGGATGTGATCAAAATCACCGCGCAATTTGCGGCGCGAAACGGGAAAAAGTTTGTCACGGCGTTGGCCACAAAAGAGGCAGCAAATCCGCAATTCAACTTCTTGAGGCCCAATCACTCGATGTTCACCTTCTTCACGGCTCTCGCGGACGCGTACGAGAAGATTTTGAGCCCAACCAGTGAACTTTTAGAGCGTTTGGAGAAGGGCTGTGACAAGAGGGTCCTGCTGGAGCGCGTGTTGAAGAGACTTGACTGGGAGACGGCGCAAAAGAAAGCAAAGCAGGACAAGGAAGACGCCGAAGAGGAGGAGCGGATCCAGATGGCACTCATCGATTGGCATAGTTTCGTCGTTGTGGAGACGTTGGACTTCGAAGACGCGGAAGATCGTGACCTGCCACCTCCAATGAAACTGAATGAGGTCATTGAGGCGATGAGAAAACGAGAGCTTGAGGCGCCAATCGAAGAGGAAGTTGTAAATGAAGAAGCTCCAAGGGTGATGGTGACTATGGATGAAGAAGAGCGAGACATGGTCCGCCAAGCTGCGGAGCCGCATTCGAATCCAGAACCACCCATCGTCGAGAATGTGGGCTCAATGAAAATTGTGCGGAACTACAAAAAGCCAGAGGAGCGCAAAGCGGCAGCACAAGCTATCGACTCAACGAAATTCGTTGTTTCACCGATCACAGGAGAGATGGTGCCACTCGACGACATGGCGGAGCATATGCGTATTTCTTTGCTTGATCCTAAATGGAAGGTTCAAAGAGAGGCAATGTTGGCAAAGCTTCAGGGAAGCACACAGGCGTCTCATGAAGATGTTGCAGCAAACGTCCTTAACTTGGCGCAAAACCGACCCGACATCTTCGGTTCCTCCGATTCCGAAGTATCAAACGCCATCAATGCAGAGTTGATGAAAAGACGACCAGTTGTTGCGCCCGCAAGCGCGCCGAAGTCGTCCATCACGCCTCCGCTGATGGCTGCTGCGCCTGTTCCGACCCGAGCACCCCCGCCACCGCCGAAGGTTGTGCCACCA